CAGCAAAACGTAGACAAACTTCAAAACGACATCGCTGCACTTATGAATAAGAAATCAAAATGAGTATCTAGGGTTGAAGAGATTGTATTGAAGGAAGAATATGTCATATAAGACAATAGTATTAAGAAATAAGAAATCAAAATGTCTTATCTTTCCTTCAATGCTCTCTGAGTTTATCTTTTCCTTTCAATGCTATGACATTCTGACTTAGCTGCTCTCGGTTTCTGGATAACTAGTAGAGTACCCGCACGTTTGTGCGGTGTGACGTTGTTGTTTTGTGTAGAAAATTTAAACCCTAAATCCGAACCCGACAAAAAACCCTAATCAAAAAATTTAAAAACCCAAACTTTTTTAATAGGTCTAAACATGAAAATCCGAAATCAAAAAAATCCCGAAAACCCTGACTGAACAAAAAAAATCTGGAAACTTTTTCACCCGGAACCCGACCCCAATACCTAATCAAAATTTTAAAATACTCAATTTTTTTAATATATCTAAACCAGAAATCTAAAAAATCCGGAAAACCCTAAACTGAAAAAAAAAATTGAACCTAACCCGAACAGAAATTTTCAAAGAAACCCGAACAATTTCTATATCTCTATATATATCTCTATAAAATTATGTCTCAGATTTTCACCCAAACCCGAACTTGTCTATAAAAACCCGAAAATCCAAAAAGCATATTCTATTGATTTGGAATTATCGTTAGATTATGTTAAGTTTTCTTTTTTGCAGATTTTTAAGAGATGGAAAACGGAAGTTTTCTAAACCATCGGTTTATTTTAAGTTATTATTCTTGTATCCAAACAATTTTTTCCATTTATTCTTCTATCCAAATAGATTTTTCTCTTATTCTTATATCCAAACAACTTTTGTTTCCATTTATTCTTCTATCCAAATAGATGTTTCTCTAATTCTTGTATCCAAACATTAGAATGTACTTCTCAATTAATAATATAAAGATTAGGGTTTCGAACTAGGAAAAAAAAAAGTTGCGCAGATTGATGTTTTGCTACTTGCCACACAAGGCTGCCAATCTTTCCTTTTTTGAAGCAATGTAAAAAACAATTTCCATTTTCTGTGTAAATTTGATTTATATGTTAATCTCTTTAAAATTAGTTTTGTTCGAATTGGTTTATTAATTAGGTTAACCGGCTTATATGAAATTGAGTTTGGTTCGCTTTAAAATTGATTAGGTCCTTTCTTCACTAAACTAAAATAATTCTGGTTTAGATGAACCGGTCTGGGTTTTGTTGTTGTTTCTTGGGCTTTTTGTTTCAGGTGGTTCAGTATAATTAACTAAAAAAATTATTAACTCGAAAAAGGAAACATTAGTTATGCTTAATTCATTTGATTAGCGGATTTAATTACCACTAGCTCTATATATGTCCTGGACAGAGAAAGAGAGTGGCCATCTTCTTTCTATTACGCAAAACAAAACAAAATCCACAGACACAAAAAACCTCTGTTTCGACTTTGCGATTTGATAATTAGGATTTAGGTTCTTCACTGAAAAAAAAAACGATGGCGAAGGCGAAAGGAGGCACTAAGAGAAGTCTTCCAATGGAGAAGATAGCGAAGAAAGCGTCACTCTCAACCTGTCACACAAAACGCATTCATGGTCTCTATAGCAAAGCTTCACAGCTATGTCTTCTCTCGGACGCACAAATCGCAATTCTAGCGACTCCTTCTTCTGAAAACTCAACCGGTGAAATAAATTCACTAACCTCTCCCTCCTCTTAATCTGCTATAAGCTGGAAATGTCGTCGACCGACGGCCACGACAACCGGTGGATCCTATCTCTTATTGTCTAAATGGCATTGACACCGGCATGACAAAGCAGCGACCAACGATGTTAACTAATGGTTTAGCAGTAACCAATGGTTTATACAATTTCCTAAATCTATTGGAGTTGCATAAAGGACCGACGCGCACTTCTAAGGAAATTAGGAATCACGACCGACGTGGGAAATAGAAAGTTATGATCGACGTCAAAGCCCAACTCGATAAGGACTAGGACCGACAAACACCTATAAATAGGAGGTCCTAGAACCGAGAGACATATACACAGAAAAACACACAAAAACCCTAATAGCTACTTGTTCTTCGCCTCTCGACGAGCAAGCGACGAACAACCTAGATACGACGAACTACGATCTACGACGAGCGACAGACGAGATTCTCTTAGTTTAATCTTTGATATTGACTTGTTGTAGCTCGATATTCAATTGATTAATAAGATATCTTCTCCTGCGTCATTCCGTTTATTGTACTTGCGAACCGGTTAAATTTTGCCCAAACAGTTTGGCGCTAGAAGGAGGGGCAATTTTAACTGCGTGAGACATGGCGGCGGGAGATGATACCACACCGACCGAAACACCGACCGTCACCGTTGCTCAGCTGGAGGCTCTCACAGCTCAGATGAAGCAGAACGAAGAACGACTTGCGCAAATCCAGGCGGAGAACGCAACCCTACGAGCAGAAAACGCGTCATTGGTTCAGGCTCGCAATAGATATCGAGCACCGGTTCCTCCTATGCAATCGTTCGACACTCCACCACTTACGGGTGCAACAGGAGCAACCTAGGAGCAGGAGCTACCGACGCTGCGCAAGGTAACCAAACATTGGTTCCACCCCTTGCACCAACGATGGAACATCAATCTGAAGACTCACATACTATGTTCTCAAAGCGATTGGAGGCTATGGAGCTCTTGCTCGCGCGACTTCCAGGAGTAGCTCCTCCAATCACCAAAAGTGCTCCAAATTGCTATGCAGACACTCCCTTCACGGATGCCATCGCGTTGGTTGAGATGCCAAAGAAGTTCATCGTCCCTTCAATGAAGATGTACGATGGGACGACCGACCCTGATAACCACATAGCACAGTACAAGCAACGCATGTTTACAACGGCAATAGCAAAAGAATATCGCGAAGCTAGTATGTGTAAAGGATTTGGATCTAGCCTCACGGGACCAGCCCTTCAGTGGTTTACGAACCTACCGAACGCGTCAATCGACTCGTTCGCGTCATTGACGGACCGCTTCGTTGAGCAATTCGCGAGCAGCAGGAACATAGAAAGGACAGCCGACGATCTCTATGAGGTGATACAGAAGAGAGGAGAACCGTTGCGTAATTACGTAGGTCGCTTCAACAAAGAGAAAGTATCAATTCCGGCATGTGTCACCTCCACTGCTATCTCTGCATTTAAAAGAGGGTTGCTCCCAGACAGTGACCTGTACAAGGAGCTGACGAAGTACCAGTGCAGAACGATGGAGACGTGCTGTCTAGAGCATGGGCTCAAATAAGGTGGGAGGAGGATCCTGCGTATCGACACCTGGTTTCCCCACGATCTGATTCACGCGTCATTAGGAACGAGCGTCCCTTCTCGAGACGACAAACCCTACCAGAGACCTCGCAATGAAAGCACTAGCAAGCGAAGCGACTATAAGAGTAGTCATCGTCCTATCAGCCAAATAGAAGACGACCGACGACCAACATCAACATGGCCAGACATCAGCAATCTCTCGATCTCTCATGGTGAGCTGGTTGGTGCGTTGAAGCAGTTAGGCGGAGTGGTGAGATGGCCCCCAAAGATGAAAGCACCAGACGAGAAGCGCGACTCCTCAAAGTGGTGCGAGTTCCATAATGATCATGGACATCGAACCGAAGAGTGTATATCACTGAGAATGGAAGTGAACGAGCTACTAAAAAAAGGTCACTTGAGAGAATTTCTCTCTGACAGAGCGAAGAATCGACTGGACGACAGGAACGACGAAAGAGCAACGAAAAAACCAGCCCCCACTTCGTCACCGAGACACGACCGGGTTATCCACGTCATTTCAGGAGGTTCGGAGATCAGTGGAATAACCCATTCGGCCGCTAGGAGGAGCACTAGAACAGCTAGAAGTAACCATGGACATGGAGATGTTAAAGCCATGGACGAACAACTGTCTAGGTGCTCCATCAGCTTTGATTTCGACGAAGACATGAATGTGATAGCCCCACATCATGATGCACTAGTCATATCTTTGACTGTTGCTAATAGCTTGGTGAAGCGAACACTCGTTGATAATGGGAGCTCGACCAATATCCTATTCATGGATGCTTACAAGGAATTAGGGCTAGATGAGGAGGCACTGACTCGAAAATCTACACCATTGGTGGGATTCAGCGGTGAAGTGAAGCAAACTGTTGGAGAAGTGATGCTGCCTGTGTATGCAGGAGGAGTCAACCGACAGACGAAGTTTATGATATTGGATTGCGCCTCCGCATACAACGCAATTATGGGACGTCCATGGATTCATGACATGAGAGCTATACCATCGACGCTCCACCAAACCATAAAATTTCCTACTCCTTGGGGAATAAGAGAGATCAAGGGTGAACAAGAACACTCACGCTCGTGCTATCAGACGTCCTTAAAAGGGAAAAGCCATCAACTATATCAGCTAGAGAGCAAGCCGTCGATCCCCCATACCGAGGAACCAGAGGTAGAACAACTTGACGAGGTACCATTAACTAAAGACGATCCGGATAAGAAGGTCAATATCGGATCCAAGCTACCGACCGACGTACGACGAAGACTCATTGATTTTCTAAGATCCAATGCTGACTGCTTTGCTTGGTCACATGCCGACATGCCGGGGATCGATCCTGAGATCATTATGCACAAACTACAAGTCGATCCTGAACATCAGCCAGTAAGACAAAAACGAAGGAAGTTTGCTCCCGAACGTGATTTGATCATCAACAAAGAAGTGGAGAACCTACTTGAGGCGGGATTCATTCGCGAAGTACGCTATCCTGAATGGTTAGCTAACGTTGTGGTCGTTCGAAAAAAGAATGGAAAATGGAGAGTGTGCATCGATTTTACTGATCTCAATAAGGCATGTCCGAAAGACCCTTTTCCGTTACCACACATCGACAAACTAGTGGATGCTACCGCAGGTCACGAGCTGATGAGTTTCATGGATGCCTTCAGTGGGTACAATCAGATCTTGATGCACCCTAGCGACCAGGAGAAGACGTCTTTCATGACCTCACGAGGCATATACTGTTATAAAGTAATGCCATTTGGATTGAAGAACGCTGGATCGACCTACCAGAGGCTCGTCAATATGATGTTCGCTGATCAAATTGGTTATACTATGGAGGTGTACATTGACGACATGCTTGTGAAGTCGTTGGTGGCAGAGGATCATATCATGCACTTGCAACAAGCCTTTGCTACCTTGCGAAAGTACAACATGAAGCTAAATCCTACGAAGTGTTCATTCGGTGTAAGCTCTGGGAAGTTCCTTGGTTATATTGTCACTCACCGAGGGATCGAAGCGAACCCAGACCAGATAAGAGCGATACAAGTTATCCCTTCGCCGAAAAATGTGAAAGAGGTACAGAAACTAACCGGAAGAATGGCTGCTTTGAGCAGATTCATCTCAAGACTGTCCGACAGATCTCATACCTTCTTTGCTGCTCTGAGAAAACCGAAGGACTTCATGTGGGATGATAAGTGCGAGAAAGCATTGAAGGAACTGAAGAACTACCTAACATCACCCCCTCTTTTATCTAAACCAAAAGATGGAGAAGTGCTGTTATTGTACCTGGCAGTGTCGGACCACGCCGTCAGTGCTGTTCTGGTTCGAGAAGAGGAAAATAAACAGTACCCTGTTTACTACGTCAGCAAGTCGCTCCTAGACGCAGAAACGAGGTACAGTCAATTGGAGAAATTGGCCTTAGCGTTGATAACAGCAGCGAGGAAGCTACGTCCCTACTTCCAAGCTCATCCTATTGTGCTTGTCAGCTCAGCTCCCATAAAGGCGGTTTTACATAAACCAGAAGTATCAGGAAGATTAGCAAAGTGGGCAGTTGAACTTGGCGAATACGACGTCATATACCGACCGACTATCGCCATCAAATCACAGGTGCTTGCGGATTTTGTGGCGGAATTCACCCCCAATTTGATTCCTGAAGTGGAGGAAGAGGTGAAAACCTTACAAGAAGGATCTCACAAGGGAATTTGGAAGCTGTATGTCGATGGGTCCAGCAACATACGAGGTACATGCCTTGGGATGGTTATAACTTCTCCGACAGGGGAACTTGCATCAAGAGCAGTTAGGTGCAACTTTCGAGCCACTAACAATGAAGCGGAGTATGAGGCATTGATAGCAGGACTGACGCTGGCTCATGATCTTGGAGCTAGAAATCTAGAAGTGTACAGCGACTCACAACTCATAGTTAACCAGATGCAAGGAGATTACCAAGCACGAGATTCGAAGATGACGCGGTATATGAACGTAGCAAAGACGATTGTGGAAAAATTCGACGATTGCAAACTCGCACAGATTCCAAGAGAGGAAAATTGTCATGCGGATGCTCTTGCCAATCTTGGATCAGCCCTTAAAACTGAAGTTTCGACTAGCATTCCACTATTAATCTTGCAGTGGCCGGCCACAGACAAGGATTTACCAAATCTAGAAGTTGCATCAGCGGATGTCGCTCCGAATTGGATGACACCTATCATCAACTACCTAAGAGACGACCTACTACCATCTAATCGTAGGGAATGCAGGAAAATAAAACAACAGGCAGCACGCTTCTGCCTATATGAAGATAAGTTGTACCGCAGGTCGTTCTCTAGTCCTTACTTAAGGTGCATTACTCCAGAAGAAGCAAGGCAAGTTCTAATGGAGTTGCATCATGGAGAATGTGGATCTCACTCAGGTGGACGAAGTCTAGTATTAAGAGCGGTGAGAGCCGGATACTATTGGCCGACGATGTCGAATGACGCGACAAGATTCGCTCGTCAATGTGACAAGTGTCAGAGACATGCTCAAGTGTCGAAACTACCTCCAGAGAATTTGAAAAGCATAAGTTCGTCATGGCCATTCATGAAATGGGGCATGGACATAGTGGGAAAACTACCAACAGCGCCAGCACAAAAGGTGTTTCTCTTGGTAATGACTGATTACTTTTCTAAGTGGGTGGAAGCAGAGGCATTTAGTCAAGTCACAGATAAAGAAGTCAGAGGTTTCATATGGAGGAACATCATATGCAAATTTGGAGTTCCTCAAGAGATTGTCACTGACAATGGCCCTCAATTTACGAGCAACAACTTCAAAAACTACTGTATCACGTGGGGAATAAAGCTTAGCTTCGCGACACCCAGGCACCCACAATCCAACGGACAAGCTGAATCTTCAAACAAAACCATTATACAGATGTTGAAGAAACGGCTTGAAAGCGCAAAAGGCAAGTGGGTAGAAGAGCTCCCTGGCGTGTTGTGGGCTTATCGAACGACATCCAAAATAGCAACTGGGGAAACACCTTATTCTCTAGTGTACGGGATGGAAGCGGTAGTGCCATCTGAAGTCACTGTGAAAACGATACGAACAGAGCATCTACAATACCAAGAAAACGAGGAGCTGATGAAGCTCGACCTCGACCTACTCGATGAGAAAAGGGAAACTGCAAGGATTCAAAACTGGTGCTACCAACAGGACATCGCAAGACGATACAACAAAAACGTGCGAACTAGGACTTTCCAAGTTGGCGAATGGGTACTCAGGCGCGTCTTTCAAAACACGATGGAACGTGGTGCTGGAAAACTGGGGCCGACTTGGGAAGGTCCCTACAAGATAACAGAAGTGCGAGGATCAGGTGCATACAAGCTACAAGATAAGGATGGGAAGAATCAACCTAACAGCTGGAATGCTTTGCACCTCAAAACCTACCAATTCTAGGTTCGTTTGATAATTTGATGTTTTGGCTTTTTCTTTGGTTTTGATTTGGTGTTACTGAGTTTTTAGACGATCCATGTGACGTCGATGCTTTTATCTACTTTTATGTATTTGCTTATGTCTACGGACAAGCTTTCTAATAAGAAGTTTTCTACAAATTGATTCTACTATGATGTAACTCGTGTTGTCACTCGTCATAAGGCATAAGAAAGATAAGCGACAGTCGGAACACAGTGACGACCGACCAAAAAAAAGATAAAAAAAAAGAGGGGGCAATGCCTCAGGAATAAATCGACCTTAGACCACATTGCAAAAGGCAAGTGTCATGTCCTTGAACACACCAAGGAACGAACGAAAGTTCTGCACGATAGGAAGGAGAACGCCCTCCTCGAAAGCAGAAAACAGTGACATGCGCATAGCAATATTATTCACGTTTAAAGCTTCTTATACTGAATTTGGTTATATTGCGCACCGTCTGTGTCGATATGGTCAAACACGAGGTACGATATCCTCGAGAGAGCGACAACCAGCAGCCTTGGTTTACTCCATTGGCGCTAAATGTCACCAACAGCCAAGAGCAAAACATCCTCAAATCGAGTAGAGAGACTATTGTCACTCTTAACCTCGAGAATAAGGATATAGCCCAAAGGAAAATAACGTTACGTACGTACACATATAAATAACTGTTGAATATATAAAACACAATTATATAAAAAATCAACAATGGTTAAATACCAAATGATTAAGGCGTTCGATAAGCGACTTAAAATCCAAAAGACAACCACAAAAGTTTAGCTGAGAGCCTACATGGTCACTCGTCAGAGCAACAAACCTTAAACAGAGGAGCTCCAAAAGAAAAGTTTGAAACAATACTAAAAACCAGAGTTCAAGGAAACTGCTAGTAGAAACGATAAACGACAAACGCGAGATCACTGATCACCACCAAGGGGAAGACCACCATAAGTATCACCACCAAGTATCCCACCAGTAGGAGCTTCGTTCTCAAAGTCAGTAAATGTCGCAGAGAAAACGGGTGGTACCTTCCCTTCCGCTTTGGCTTCCGCTGTCAAAACCTCACGATAGGCCTCCTCTGCAGCACGAACGTCCCATGTATGAGCTTGACCCATCTTGAGGTCTCTAACCATTGCCCACTGCCTCTTGATGGCTCCTGCGCTAGCTGCTTTAAGTGCGTTCTTCTCTGAGCGACGAAGGTCAAGTCGTAGCTTGTTCTCTGCGGATTTCAAAGCCGCTATCTGCTGATCATGGTCAGTCTTCAGTGAAAGAATCTCTCCATCTTTCTTAGCCATGTCAGTGTCATATCGCTCCTTCCCTGAGACGAGGTCCGCTTTCGCCTTGGTGAGGATGTTGTTGAGACGCTTGTTATCCTTGGAGACGGCGGCGAGCTCCACCTTCGAAGAATGGCAGGCAGACATCACCTAGATACCGAGAAAAATCGACGTTCAAAGGAGCAACTCGCAAGGGAACGACGTACAAAAGTTGTGAAAAAGAATAAATTATAACCTTGAGAAGGTAAACTTGTGACTCGTCAAGGACAGCAGCATGGCCGAGTTTGCCGAAGCTCTCCACATCTCGAGGAAAAGCTTTCTTGTTGAGATCGGCAAGCACATCGGAGTGATCGACATTGGAGAAGAGATCACCGGTGGAAGTTTTTCTCTTTGAGGCACGAGAAGGACGAAGATTGTCAGTCGGTGCAGCAACTTGCTTCGGCAAAGCATTGGAGCTGGGCGGGATCTCTGTGGTTACGATCGTGAGATCGTCCTCCATGTCATCTTCGTAAGCAGCTCGGAACGCAGCTAGGGCACCTCCGCCTGTCGATACATCAAACGCAGACATCCTGTAACCTGCAAAACGTGGTCAATGGCGATAAGGCGCGGTGCGACAGACATGTAATATTGATAAAAGTGATCTCCGAAAAACAGAAGGAATGAAGTTACCCCAAAGAGAACTCTTCTCCAAAGCGAAGCAACTGACTAGGAAACTCACTAAACGCTCCGGCTTAGGACGTACAATTAGCTTGAGTGCACGTTCTTCTCCTTCTTCGCACCTTGGATGACTGAAATCTGCAAAAAGAAAGAACAACATTGTTAAAGATCATGGACAGCGACATAAGATGAAGTACAAGCGGCTATCTACCTCTAAAAAACCAATCAACAGGGAAGTTGGGGTTAAAGCCCACTTTCATAAACAAGAATCTACTCTGCCATTTCTTCTCATAAGGCAAATTCCTCACTGCGCCTCTATCATAGTCATAGACCAAAGGTGGAAACGACGTCGTACGTTTGCTAATCGTACACCTACTAGCATCCACGTTATGAGCCTTGAAGAAATAAGAAAAAAGCACTTCCTCCACCCTCACGTCTACATTGTTGAACTCTCCAAGGACTTGTAAAGCGATTAACACTCTCCAAGCAGTAGGAATAAGCTGTCCAGGAGAAATGTTGAAAAACCGAGCGACATTGGCGATTATAGGGGGCATTATCCCACGAAAACCTATGTCAAAATAAGCCTCATAAACCACGATCTCATCTGATCTTGAGTTATGCGCCCTCTCTGTGTCAAGGGGAGCTCTAAGCGACAATGAATCTGGGAGGCTATACGTCATTCTCAGCGCCTTAATATCATCCTCTTTAATTGATGAGGCTGGGTAATCACGAAATGGAGTCGACAGACGAACTGCACATCCGCGCTTCGGTCTAATCTTAACTCCGGGCATCAAAACTGGCTCACTCATGTGAAAGGGGTATTGAAAGTCAGATTCGGTATGTCCTACTGACACAATAGCCTTATCCGAGACAGAACGACATCGATGGAACCCGAATCTACCCCTCGTCGGTGACTCTTGATACATGTAAACCGGAGAATCGCAGTCGATGTCGTGTTCACTTCCGGAGTCGGGGGCAGACTCATCGTCGAACTCACTTTCACCGTCACTCGAGTAAGAATCTAAGCCAACAGAGTTCCCTAACCTACTAGAGCTACTCGCCATCTAACTCGACCTAAACGAGAAGAGGGAGAGAGGCTGTTTGAACTCACCAATGAAATAGTGTGAAAGCAGCAGCGGTTGTCGAAGAATAGCCCCCAACTAATCAGAAAAGATTGACCTGAGAAAAGGAACACATAAGATGAGTGGTCGAACGACGCTCAATTTGAGTAAAGAAAGAAGAAAAGAGAAAATTCACTGTCGAGTGAAATAAAAATCCGAAAGGAGCAAGAGAGAAATGGAGGAAGGAGCTTACCAATGGCTGCCGCTTTCGTTCCCGAGATGGAAAAGACGACTAGACTAATTAACCAAATTGGAGAAAGACATGCGATGGGCTTAAGTGAATGGTTCTGTATTGGGCCTAGCTGATTCTGAAATTGATTAAGAAATGCAATTTGGCTGCATATGTTAAAACCCACGTGGAAAACATATCAAAAGAAGAATAAGCAAAGCACTTGTCCATCTCCATTTTTTATTAATCCCATGTGGATACTTGAAAGCACGACCGACCGACCGGCATGAACGTCTTTTTTGTTTTGTTGGATATTTTTATTCAACACTTATCTTCTTACTTGCGTGCGACAGACAAATGAGCATATAGGTATGACTTTCCATTTTGCTATTCGATTTATTTCTTTTAAGTCTGTCACTCTGTGGGCACGTCCACACTTGTGGATAATTCAAAAGGAACCATACCACTTGACGGTATATACCTTTTGGTAGATTGGCTTCGAAAGACCGAAGCATGAATTTCTTTTTAGTTTTCTACATCGACATTGGTAAATGACCCACAGTCACATATGATATTATCGAGCATCGACCGACGATTTTGTAAGAGATGTTACTCTACAAGTTCTCAATGAGAAATTGAAGAGTAGGGGGCAAGTTGTTNTTTTACATAAACCAGAAGTATCAGGAAGATTAGCAAAGTGGGCAGTTGAACTTGGCGAATACGACGTCATATACCGACCGACTATCGCCATCAAATCACAGGTGCTTGCGGATTTTGTGGCGGAATTCACCCCCAATTTGATTCCTGAAGTGGAGGAAGAGGTGAAAACCTTACAAGAAGGATCTCACAAGGGAATTTGGAAGCTGTATGTCGATGGGTCCAGCAACATACGAGGTACAGCCTTGGGATGGTTATAACTTCTCCGACAGGGGAACTTGCATCAAGAGCAGTTAGGTGCAACTTTCGAGCCACTAACAATGAAGCGGAGTATGAGGCATTGATAGCAGGACTGACGCTGGCTCATGATCTTGGAGCTAGAAATCTAGAAGTGTACAGCGACTCACAACTCATAGTTAACCAGATGCAAGGAGATTACCAAGCACGAGATTCGAAGATGACGCGGTATATGAACGTAGCAAAGACGATTGTGGAAAAATTCGACGATTGCAAACTCGCACAGATTCCAAGAGAGGAAAATTGTCATGCGGATGCTCTTGCCAATCTTGGATCAGCCCTTAAAACTGAAGTTTCGACTAGCATTCCACTATTAATCTTGCAGTGGCCGGCCACAGACAAGGATTTACCAAATCTAGAAGTTGCATCAGCGGATGTCGCTCCGAATTGGATGACACCTATCATCAACTACCTAAGAGACGACCTACTACCATCTAATCGTAGGGAATGCAGGAAAATAAAACAACAGGCAGCACGCTTCTGCCTATATGAAGATAAGTTGTACCGCAGGTCGTTCTCTAGTCCTTACTTAAGGTGCATTACTCCAGAAGAAGCAAGGCAAGTTCTAATGGAGTTGCATCATGGAGAATGTGGATCTCACTCAGGTGGACGAAGTCTAGTATTAAGAGCGGTGAGAGCCGGATACTATTGGCCGACGATGTCGAATGACGCGACAAGATTCGCTCGTCAATGTGACAAGTGTCAGAGACATGCTCAAGTGTCGAAACTACCTCCAGAGAATTTGAAAAGCATAAGTTCGTCATGGCCATTCATGAAATGGGGCATGGACATAGTGGGAAAACTACCAACAGCGCCAGCACAAAAGGTGTTTCTCTTGGTAATGACTGATTACTTTTCTAAGTGGGTGGAAGCAGAGGCATTTAGTCAAGTCACAGATAAAGAAGTCAGAGGTTTCATATGGAGGAACATCATATGCAAATTTGGAGTTCCTCAAGAGATTGTCACTGACAATGGCCCTCAATTTACGAGCAACAACTTCAAAAACTACTGTATCACGTGGGGAATAAAGCTTAGCTTCGCGACACCCAGGCACCCACAATCCAACGGACAAGCTGAATCTTCAAACAAAACCATTATACAGATGTTGAAGAAACGGCTTGAAAGCGCAAAAGGCAAGTGGGTAGAAGAGCTCCCTGGCGTGTTGTGGGCTTATCGAACGACATCCAAAATAGCAACTGGGGAAACACCTTATTCTCTAGTGTACGGGATGGAAGCGGTAGTGCCATCTGAAGTCACTGTGAAAACGATACGAACAGAGCATCTACAATACCAAGAAAACGAGGAGCTGATGAAGCTCGACCTCGACCTACTCGATGAGAAAAGGGAAACTGCAAGGATTCAAAACTGGTGCTACCAACAGGACATCGCAAGACGATACAACAAAAACGTGCGAACTAGGACTTTCCAAGTTGGCGAATGGGTACTCAGGCGCGTCTTTCAAAACACGATGGAACGTGGTGCTGGAAAACTGGGGCCGACTTGGGAAGGTCCCTACAAGATAACAGAAGTGCGAGGATCAGGTGCATACAAGCTACAAGATAAGGATGGGAAGAATCAACCTAACAGCTGGAATGCTTTGCACCTCAAAACCTACCAATTCTAGGTTCGTTTGATAATTTGATGTTTTGGCTTTTTCTTTGGTTTTGATTTGGTGTTACTGAGTTTTTAGACGATCCATGTGACGTCGATGCTTTTATCTACTTTTATGTATTTGCTTATGTCTACGGACAAGCTTTCTAATAAGAAGTTTTCTACAAATTGATTCTACTATGATGTAACTCGTGTTGTCACTCGTCATAAGGCATAAGAAAGATAAGCGACAGTCGGAACACAGTGACGACCGACCAAAAAAAAGATAAAAAAAAAGGGGGCAATGCCTCAGGAATAAATCGACCTTAGACCACATTGCAAAAGGCAAGTGTCATGTCCTTGAACACACCAAGGAACGAACGAAAGTTCTGCACGATAGGAAGGAGAACGCCCTCCTCGAAAGCAGAAAACAGTGACATGCGCATAGCAATATTATTCACGTTTAAAGCTTCTTATACTGAATTTGGTTATATTGCGCACCGTCTGTGTCGATATGGTCAAACACGAGGTACGATATCCTCGAGAGAGCGACAACCAGCAGCCTTGGTTTACTCCATTGGCGCTAAATGTCACCAACAGCCAAGAGCAAAACATCCTCAAATCGAGTAGAGAGACTATTGTCACTCTTAACCTCGAGAATAAGGATATAGCCCAAAGGAAAATAACGTTACGTACGTACACATATAAATAACTGTTGAATATATAAAACACAATTATATAAAAAATCAACAATGGTTAAATACCAAATGATTAAGGCGTTCGATAAGCGACTTAAAATCCAAAAGACAACCACAAAAGTTTAGCTGAGAGCCTACATGGTCACTCGTCAGAGCAACAAACCTTAAACAGAGGAGCTCCAAAAGAAAAGTTTGAAACAATACTAAAAACCAGAGTTCAAGGAAACTGCTAGTAGAAACGATAAACGACAAACGCGAGATCACTGATCACCACCAAGGGGAAGACCACCATAAGTATCACCACCAAGTATCCCACCAGTAGGAGCTTCGTTCTCAAAGTCAGTAAATGTCGCAGAGAAAACGGGTGGTACCTTCCCTTCCGCTTTGGCTTCCGCTGTCAAAACCTCACGATAGGCCTCCTCTGCAGCACGAACGTCCCATGTATGAGCTTGACCCATCTTGAGGTCTCTAACCATTGCCCACTGCCTCTTGATGGCTCCTGCGCTAGCTGCTTTAAGTGCGTTCTTCTCTGAGCGACGAAGGTCAAGTCGTAGCTTGTTCTCTGCGGATTTCAAAGCCGCTATCTGCTGATCATGGTCAGTCTTCAGTGAAAGAATCTCTCCATCTTTCTTAGCCATGTCAGTGTCATATCGCTCCTTCCCTGAGACGAGGTCCGCTTTCGCCTTGGTGAGGATGTTGTTGAGACGCTTGTTATCCTTGGAGACGGCGGCGAGCTCCACCTTCGAAGAATGGCAGGCAGACATCACCTAGATACCGAGAAAAATCGACGTTCAAAGGAGCAACTCGCAAGGGAACGACGTACAAAAGTTGTGAAAAAGAATAAATTATAACCTTGAGAAGGTAAACTTGTGACTCGTCAAGGACAGCAGCATGGCCGAGTTTGCCGAAGCTCTCCACATCTCGAGGAAAAGCTTTCTTGTTGAGATCGGCAAGCACATCGGAGTGATCGACATTGGAGAAGAGATCACCGGTGGAAGTTTTTCTCTTTGAGGCACGAGAAGGACGAAGATTGTCAGTCGGTGCAGCAACTTGCTTCGGCAAAGCATTGGAGCTGGGCGGGATCTCTGTGGTTACGATCGTGAGATCGTCCTCCATGTCATCTTCGTAAGCAGCTCGGAACGCAGCTAGGGCACCTCCGCCTGTCGATACATCAAACGCAGACATCCTGTAACCTGCAAAACGTGGTCAATGGCGATAAGGCGCGGTGCGACAGACATGTAATATTGATAAAAGTGATCTCCGAAAAACAGAAGGAATGAAGTTACCCCAAAGAGAACTCTTCTCCAAAGCGAAGCAACTGACTAGGAAACTCACTAAACGCTCCGGCTTAGGACGTACAATTAGCTTGAGTGCACGTTCTTCTCCTTCTTCGCACCTTGGATGACTGAAATCTGCAAAAAGAAAGAACAACATTGTTAAAGATCATGGACAGCGACATAAGATGAAGTACAAGCGGCTATCTACCTCTAAAAAACCAATCAACAGGGAAGTTGGGGTTAAAGCCCACTTTCATAAACAAGAATCTACTCTGCCATTTCTTCTCATAAGGCAAATTCCTCACTGCGCCTCTATCATAGTCATAGACCAAAGGTGGAAACGACGTCGTACGTTTGCTAATCGTACACCTACTAGCATCCACGTTATGAGCCTTGAAGAAATAAGAAAAAAGCACTTCCTCCACCCTCACGTCTACATTGTTGAACTCTCCAAGGACTTGTAAAGCGATTAACACTCTCCAAGCAGTAGGAATAAGCTGTCCAGGAGAAATGTTGAAAAACCGAGCGACATTGGCGATTATAGGGGGCATTATCCCACGAAAACCTATGTCAAAATAAGCCTCATAAACCACGATCTCATCTGATCTTGAGTTATGCGCCCTCTCTGTGTCAAGGGGAGCTCTAAGCGACAATGAATCTGGGAGGCTATACGTCATTCTCAGCGCCTTAATATCATCCTCTTTAATTGATGAGGCTGGGTAATCACGAAATGGAGTCGACAGACGAACTGCACATCCGCGCTTCGGTCTAATCTTAACTCCGGGCATCAAAACTGGCTCACTCATGTGAAAGGGGTATTGAAAGTCAGATTCGGTATGTCCTACTGACACAATAGCCTTATCCGAGACAGAACGACATCGATGGAACCCGAATCTACCCCTCGTCGGTGACTCTTGATACATGTAAACCGGAGAATCGCAGTCGATGTCGTGTTCACTTCCGGAGTCGGGGGCAGACTCATCGTCGAACTCACTTTCACCGTCACTCGAGTAAGAATCTAAGCCAACAGAGTTCCCTAACCTACTAGAGCTACTCGCCATCTAACTCGACCTAAACGAGAAGAGGGAGAGAGGCTGTTTGAACTCACCAATGAAATAGTGTGAAAGCAGCAGCGGTTGTCGAAGAATAGCCCCCAACTAATCAGAAAAGATTGACCTGAGAAAAGGAACACATAAGATGAGTGGTCGAACGACGCTCAATTTGAGTAAAGAAAGAAGAAAAGAGAAAATTCACTGTCGAGTGAAATAAAAATCCGAAAGGAGCAAGAGAGAAATGGAGGAAGGAGCTTACCAATGGCTGCCGCTTTCGTTCCCGAGATGGAAAAGACGACTAGACTAATTAACCAAATTGGAGAAAGACATGCGATGGGCTTAAGTGAATGGTTCTGTATTGGGCCTAGCTGATTCTGAAATTGATTAAGAAATGCAATTTGGCTGCATATGTTAAAACCCACGTGGAAAACATATCAAAAGAAGAATAAGCAAAGCACTTGTCCATCTCCATTTTTTATTAATCCCATGTGGATACTTGAAAGCACGACCGACCGACCGGCATGAACGTCTTTTTTGTTTTGTTGGATATTTTTATTCAACACTTATCTTCTTACTTGCGTGCGACAGACAAATGAGCATATAGGTATGACTTTCCATTTTGCTATTCGATTTATTTCTTTTAAGTCTGTCACTCTGTGGGCACGTCCACACTTGTGGATAATTCAAAAGGAACCATACCACTTGACGGTATATACCTTTTGGTAGATTGGCTTCGAAAGACCGAAGCATGAATTTCTTTTTAGTTTTCTACATCGACATTGGTAAATGACCCACAGTCACATATGATATTATCGAGCATCGACCGACGATTTTGTAAGAGATGTTACTCTACAAGTTCTCAATGAGAAATTGAAGAGTAGGGGGCAAGTTGTTGGGTGAAATAAATTCACTAACCTCTCCCTCCTCTTAATCTGCTATAAGCTGGAAATGTCGTCGACCGACGGCCACGACAACCGGTGGATCCTATCTCTTATTGTCTAAATGGCATTGACACCGGCATGACAAGGCAGCGACCAACGATGTTAACTAATGGTTTAGCAGTAACCAATGGTTTATACAATTTCCTAAATCTATTGGAGTTGCATAAAGGACCGACGCGCACTTCTAAGGAAATTAGGAATCACGACCGACGTGGGAAATAGAAAGTTATGATCGACGTCAAAGCCCAACTCGATAAGGACTAGGACCGACAAACACCTATAAATAGGAGGTCCTAGAACCGAGAGACATATCAGAAAAACACACAAAAACCCTAATAGCTACTTGTTCTTCGCCTCTCGACGAGCAAGCGACGAACAACCTAGATACGACGAACTACGATCTACGACGAGCGACAGACGAGATTCTCTTAGTTTAATCTTTGATATTGACTTGTTGTAGCTCGATATTCAATTGATTAATAAGATATCTTCTCCTGCGTCATTCCGTTTATTGTACTTGCGAACCGGTTAAATTTTGCCCAAAGACAGACAGTGTTTGATTTAAAAGCTAGTGTGAGCTTAAAAGATGATTCAAAAACTGCCATATGGTTTCACAGTGTTTGGAATAGGTGCATTGGGCCAGTTAAATGGGCTTTTTCTCTAATTCAAGTATTACGTTAGGCCCAGTAATGAAGTGAATAGTGTAATTTGCTAGTCAATGGTGGTGACAGCACCAGTAGAACAAGTTGTGTAATTTCCGAGATTTCTTTCCAAATGTCAAATATTCTTTTCACTGTGTACAAGACTGACTCGTGGCGCATATACAATGCCTTTGAGCTTTGTCTGAAACTTCAGGACTTAAAAAGAATAAAGAGAGAGAATCAGAGATGTGTGCGTTGAAAAGGCGCAACTGTAAGACAAACTGAAACGAAACTCCTTTTCCTCTTCGTAAGCCATCATCATCACTCTCCTTCTTAGTTTGGTCATTCATTCACCAACTGTGTCTGCTTTTATTCATTTCTTGTATTCTAATTTTCTGGGTTTCTCAGAAATTTAAGCTCTTTGGTGCCACACTGTCACTGCTGATTCCCTGCAAAAAAAAAAATGGAATTGGAATTTGCAGTTAATGGAGAGAGATTCAATATCAACTCTGTTGATCCTTCTACGACTCTACTCGAGTTCTTGCGGTCCAACACTCCTTTCAAGAGTGTCAAGCTCGCCTGTGGCGAAGGCAATCTCTCTCACTCTCTTCTCTTTTCTGATTTTAGCGAAAATTTATTCTCTGTTCACCAAAAGGTCGTGCCTTTATGTTCTGAAACAATCGTTGGAGTCTCGTGTTGATGTTGATGTCGATGTCCTTATTACCGGAATTAGTGAAATTGAGGAACATATCTGTAAGTTAATGTCTGAACAAATCTTTAAGTTAATAGCGAAGGCAAAATCTCTCACTCTGTTCTCTTTTCTTCTTTTTAGGAAAAAAATATTGTCTTTTATCCAAAAGGTCGTGCCTTTTATGTCCTGAAACAATCTATATGTGTCGCTGGAGTCTCGTGATCATGCCTTTTATGTCCTGAAACAATCTATTAGTGAAATTGAGGAACAAAATCTTTGAGTTAATGTCTGATTAAAAATTAAAAATGTGACTTTTTTGTAAAAATTAGTGCAGGAGGGTGTGGTGCTTGTCTCGTAATGATATCAAAATACGACCAAGAGTTAGATCAAGTGAAGGAAGAAACTTGTATAAACTCTTGTCTCACTCTTCTCTGCAGTATCAACGGATGCTCAATCACAACATCGGAAGGTCTCGGAAACGCCAAGAAAGGATTCCATCCGATCCACGAGCGGTTCGCAGGCTTCCACGCGTCACAGTGCGGTTTCTGCACGCCTGGGATGTGCATTTCCCTCTACTCAGCTCTCTCAAAGGCTCATGATAAAAGCTCGAGCCTCACTGTAACCGAAGCTGAGAGATCGGTCGCTGGAAACCTCTGTAGATGCACCGGTTATCGTCCCATTGTCGATGCTTGTAAGAGCTTTGCTTGTGATGTTGATATTGAGGACTTAGGGATTAACTCCTTTTGGAAGAAAGGTGATACCAAAGAGGTTATGTTGAAGAGTCTGCCTCCTTATAACCATCTTGTAACAACATTCCCTGAGTTCTTGAAGAAGAAGAAAGTTGGTAATAATAGTTTGGATCTTTCGAGGTATCGATGGACTACTCCTTTTAGTGTATCCGAGCTTCACAGTACGTTGAGAGCTGGTAAGTCTAAAGATTCGTTGAAGTTAGTTGTCGGAAACACAGGGGCTGGTTATTACAAAGATGAGGAGCGTTTTGAGAGGTATGTTGATATTAGTCATATCCCGGAGATGTCGATGATCAAGAGAGATGGGAAACGGATTGAGATTGGAGCAGCTGTGACTATATCGAAAGCTATTGATGCTTTGAATGAGGAGGAGGGAAGCAAATCTTGCTTTATTTTCAAGAAAATGGCGAGTCATATGGAGAGAATAGGAAACCATTTTGTGAGGAATTCCGGGAGTATCGGTGGTAATCTAGTCATGGCGCAGGGGAGGAAGTTTCCTTCTGATATCGCCACGCTCTTGCTCGCTGCGGATGCGTCGGTGTATGTGCTTAACGGCAGAGAAACCGTGAAGGTCAAGATTCAAGATTTTCTTGAATCTCCTTCCGTGTTAGACTCGAAACGAGTTCTTGTGAAAGTCGAGATTCCGTTACCGACTTGTGATTCACTCTTTGAGAGCTATCGAGCAGCACCTCGCTCTATAGGAAACGCGTTGCCGTATGCGAATGCTGCTTTCTCTGCGCGAGTGTCTCATCAAGAACCATTTATGATGGATGAATGCCTGTTGGCGTTTGGTTCTTATGGCGGTGATCGTTCAATCAGAGCGAAAGAAGTGGAGCGTTTCTTGAATGGTAAATTACTTAGCCACAGTGTTCTTTACGAAGCTGTGAGTTTGCTTAGAGGAATCATAGTTCCAGGGAGAGACACTTTGCATGCTGAGTATAGGAAAAGCTTGGCCGTTGGATTTCTTTTCGATTTTTTCTATCCGTTGATTGAGAGAAGCCATAGAATATGTAACGGCCATGTTGATTGTCCTGTGAAGTCTCTTCCTTTCCTCTCATCTTCACAGCAAGTGTTGGAGAGCAATGAGTTTCAGCCTGTTGGTGAAGCGGTTGTCAAAGTTGGAGCTGCATTGCAAGCTTCTGGTTAGCTCTTTTTGCCTATCTGTTTTTGACATTTTTTAGTAACTTGATTTTTTGGCCTTACATGAGCTTTTCTTCTCTTCAGGTGAAGCTGTTTTTGTTGATGATATTCCGACTTTACCGGACTGTTTACATGGAGCATTCATTTATAGCACAGAGCCTTTGGCTAAGATCAAAAGCGTAACCTTCAGTGGAAACGTGACACCGGCTGGAGTTTTTGCTGTTCTTACTTTCAAGGATATTCCGAAAACGGGACAGAACATTGGTTCCAAGACCATATTTGGACCTGGACCTTTATTTGCTGATGAAATAACTCAGTATGCTGGTCAAAGAATTGCTCTTGTGGTAACTCCAAAATTTTCTTCTTTTCTTATTCATTGCTCGTCTTTCTTTGTATAATTAATCAAGAAGTGGTATTTCTCTGCATAACTAATCAAGAAGTATCCGGTTTTGACAGGTTGCAGACACACAAAAACATGCAGACAGGGCAGCAAAACTTGCGGTAGTCGAGTACGATACAAAGAATGTAGAAGAACCGATACTAACCGTCGAAGATGCGGTTAAAAGATCTAGCTTTTTCGAGGTTCATCCAATGTTTTACCCTGAACCAGTCGGTGATGTTTTGAAAGGAATGAAAGAAGCTGAGAAAAAGATACTCTTGGCTGAGGTATCAAACACTTTTTGTAATTACATCCTTAAGTTCACATCTCGTTTGTGTGTTTTGAAACTTTGGTTATGTATATATGTATCCAGTTCAGGCTCGGGTCGCAGTACTTCTTCTACATGGAGCCACAAACAGCACTAGCCTTGCCAGATGAAGACAACTGTGTGAAGGTATTCAGCTCATCTCAAGCGCCTGAGTACGTGCATTCAGTAATCGCTACATGTCTTGGCATTCAAGAAAATAGCGTCCGAGTCATCACCAGAAGAGTTGGAGGTGGCTTTGGTGGTAAAGCTGTGAAGTCAATGCCTGTAAGTGTTTATGAATTCAATTTTTGTCATATGGTTGTAAAAATGCTCATTTTGAAATCACGTTTTTCAGGTTGCAACAGCATGTGCTTTGGCTGCTCACAAGCTGCAGCGTCCTGTGAAGATGTATATGAATCGAAAGACGGACATGATAATGGCTGGAGGAAGACATCCGATGAAAATGACTTACAATGTCGGTTTCAGATCAGACGGGAAGCTCACGGCACTGGAGCTTACAATGCTGATAGATGCAGGGAATGAGGCTGACGTAAGCCCTATCATGCCGCGGAATATAATGGGACCTCTAAGGAAATATGACTGGGGAGCTTTGTCGTTTGATGTGAAAGTTTGCAAGACGAATCTCCCGAGCAGGACAGCGATGAGAGCTCCAGGGGAAGTGCAAGGCTCTTACATAGCGGAATCCATTATCGAAAACGTAGCTTCTTCTCTTGGAATGGACGTTGATGCGGTGAGAAAGACAAACCTACATAGCTATGAGAGCCTCAAGAAGTTCTACAAGCACATTGCTGGTGAGCTTGATGAATATACACTGCCTTTGTTATGGGACAAGGTGGAGATATCTTCAGAATTCAAGAAGAGAGCTGAGATGGTTAAGGAGTTTAATCAGTGTAACGTGTGGCGCAAGAGAGGGATCTCTAGAGTGCCTATTATACATCAAGTTATGCAGAGGGCTACACCGGGGAGAGTAAGCATTTTGAGTGATGGCTCTGTTGTTGTTGAAGTTGGTGGGATTGAGATAGGGCAAGGGTTGTGGACTAAAGTCCAACAGATGGTTGCTTATGGTCTTGGTATGACGAAATGCCAAGGAAGTGAGAAGCTGTTGGAGAGAATACGAGTTGTTCAGTCTGATACACTCGGTTTGATCCAAGGAGGTTTCACTGCCGGTAGCACGACATCTGAGAACAGCTGTGAAGCCGTTAGGCTCTGCTGTGTAATCTTGGTTGAGAGGTTGAAGCCTTTAATGGAACAAATGATGGTGGAGAAATTAGGTTCTTTGACATGGAACATGCTCATTCAACAAGTAAGCAACTAAGTAACTCTGGTTCGTTATTTTACCAAAGACTCTATTAAAGTCTGCTTTTCTCTCTTCAGGCGTATGCTCAGTCTGTGAATTTATCAGCGAGTACATTGTATAAACCGGAGTTTTCTTCCATGGAATACCTCAACTATGGTGTTGGAGTCAGTGAGGCAAGTCACATCATTAGCAAAGTATTATTTGTTTAAAAATGTGAAGTGTCAAGCAATAATCTGAACTTTCTTGCAGGTGGAAGTGGACATTGTGACGGGAAGAGCAGAGATTTTAAGATCTGATATCATTTACGACTGCGGAAAAAGTCTGAATCCTGCTGTTGATTTAGGACAGGTTAGAAGTTAAGCTACTCTCACATATTTGTTTTTCTTTAGAGTCATTTCTTGATGTTAAGCAAGAAAATCTTGATGGTTTTGTGTGAAGATTGAAGGAGCGTTTGTTCAAGGAATCGGTTTTTTTATGATGGAAGAGTACACTACAGATGAGAAAGGGCTTGTGATGCAACAAGGCACTTGGGACTACAAGATTCCTACAGTTGATACCATCCCCAAGCAGTTCTACGTCGAGCTTCTCAACTCTGGACATCACAAAAACCGCGTTCTCTCCTCCAAAGGTAACGCTGCACGCGGTTTAGTGTTTTAGCCATAACATACAAAGTTTTGGTAGATATGATGCTGCAATAAGTTTTGATGTTTCTTTACTCTTCTTTTCTCTGTTCCGTATTGTATTTGTGGGGTCTCTACTTTCATGCTTAACAACTTCTTGATTCTGATCCACAGCTTCTGGTGAACCGCCTTTGCTTCTGGCGGCTTCGGTTCATTGTGCAACGAGATCAGCCATTAAAGAAGCTCGGAAACAATCCTTGTCATGGAAGTGTAATGATGAGAACAGTGACGGCTCTGGTATGGATTTTGAGTTGCCGGTTCCGGCGACTATGCCTGTGGTGAAGGGTCTTTGTGGACTGTATAGCGTAGAGAAGTACTTAGAAGGGAAGATATGTGAGAAATAAAGCAAACTCTTGTTACTACACAGTACACACACAGTAATGTTGTGATTCAGATTTCATAAAGGAAAATAAACATTTTTGGTGCGATATACACAACTAATAATGTTATTATTCAATGCACTTGTATGTGCTGTTTTTTTTTATAAAGGGTTATATATTAGTTTTTCCATTTAAATATCACGTGTAAGCTATTAGCATATGATATTCGTAAGACTATGCTTTGCACTGCAATCTTAATTTAATCATTAATTTACAAGAAGACAAAGTATCTGCATTGCCTCCATGCATGAACTAAAGTAACATGATGTGTAGAGCATAGACCAGCTCATCAGCTAGTAACAAAAACTTTTAATATGCGTGCAATTATTTTCTTTGAATTATTCAAAAAAATAAAAAAAGGTTAGCTTCTTTGGATTGTTGTGAATTTAATAATTTATTCAACACAAAAATAACTTCTTTGGCGTCAAAGCTGGTCCTCTCTACATATAGTCATATACTAGTAATATTAAATACTCCTAGTAGTATAATGCAATTAAATGGGCAGTAAACTTATATATGGATCGGAGAACAAACAGCATAACATTTTGGAAAAAAAAAATTAAAAAACTCGTATACTTTTTATCAACTTCTACTATTTTCTCTACAGATATTCAACTTTTAGTAAAGTGATCAAAAATCGAAATACTTTTGCCCTGGATGATTAAAGTTGGCTCCTAATCTGGACTTTTGCATTAAAAATTCAAAGAATCTTAGTAGAGTGATAAGATGCCTTAATTAGGTTGCTTTGGTTTTTTTTTTCTCTATAATAGAGAAAAAGAATAAGAAAAGGTCGTTCCTCGTTGTCTCGTAATGCATGCAAATGCAATTGCTGACTTTTGTCGTTGTTTGTCAAGAAGGGCATTAGCGTTATAATAATATTATTTGTAGTCTTAATTTAATCTTTGATTCACAAAAAGACAGTATCTGCATTGGCATCCATGAACTGAAGTACTTTGATGTGTAGAGCATAATAAACCAGCTAGCTCATCAGCTAGTAATACAACTTTTAATATGCGTTAACCATGGTTAGCCTTTACTCAGTCTAGTAACCATAGTTAATGAAATGTGAAGACATCTCAATTATTTCCCTTAACTATTTTTTTTTTTTTTTTTTTTTTGAATTCCCTTAACTATACTTATCTGGTCCTCTTAATTCAAATAATTAACTTATCATAAACTATTAAACTACATCGTGGGTCCTAAATTATTCGACGTTGTCATTAAACTAATTTTTTCATGTAAAGCATGTCGAATCTTCTTCCTCTTTTTCTTTTGTTTATAACAGATCAATATCTAGCCCGAGGTGGACGTTAGTACTCACGTTTAATTATCTAATCAAATTTTACGGTAACATGCAGGAGGAACGTGCGAGTAAAAGAACAAGAGAGACCATTGGTGGAACCAAGCGGAATTGTGTCTATAACAGGGACATTTTTACCCGAAATTCAGATTAATCCTCAGAGTTTTATGAAACGTTGAATACTCTTAACATTAGCACGTGCAGCTCGTTTCTTTTTCTCATCGGTGCAGACTTGTTTTTACTCGTGGAACACAAAACTTTAAAAATTATGACGTATCACATGTTGGAAATGCAACGCCAATCATATTTTTACTTTGTTTGCGACAAAATAAAAATCGTTCATACATAAAATTTAATGTAAAAAAAAATTCAAACAAAAAGATATTTCTCATGAGTATAATGAAATTAACAAATAAAATTGCTGGTAAAAAATTCACTACATATACATAGTTTTTAGTATGTAACTAAATATTATAGCAATGATAAACGCATGGATGTTACTTAATGTTTATGTCTAGAAATATTTTAGTGAAATATATGATAAATATAAAAATATTACGACAATGTGTCCGAAGTATAGGCAGACCAAGCTAGTGTATATATATATAGACATCTAGATAGAGAGTCATACCAAAACAAAGACATCTTCGTTCTCATCAATATGTCCACAACGTACTTTTCTTCTTCCTCTTCTCTTATTGTGATCGTCTTCACATCTCTCCTCTTCGCTTCCATTTCCTCACTCCAAACTCCCAAGGTAACTAGCTCTTACTATAAACTAAGCGGTCTTAATCGATTTATGTTTTTGAACTAGATTTTTTTAGTAATAAAATTGTATTTTTGAGACATTTTTATTTACTTTTAATACGTAATCACAAAACATACGTACATGTGGAACTTTTTTGTAGCATTATGTAGTGTACATGGGCAGTCCCGTTGAAGCTGATTTACATAACGGAGAAGCTTCATATTTCCAATTGTTGGACACTCTTCTTCCAAGGTTGCGTATATATTTTTTCTTTATTCTATACATACATATACACAAGCCAGCCGGCTTTGAACCTACTAAACTTCCTTTAGTTAAATTGGTTAAGGCTCTGTGTTATTTGGTAACAAAATCTAGGGTTTGAATTTAAGACCAGCTTTATCAATTTTTCTCAAATCTTAACTAAGTGAAAGCAAACAAAAAGGCGAGACAAGAGGAACTTTACAAATCTTAACTAAAAGTCAAAAACCAAAAATTAACCAAAAAAAGAAGTGAAAGATCAACACGTATTTGGATGTGTAGATTGTGTAACTAAAGAACAACATGAAATGATTTTGTAGGGAAGAGAGTGAAAGAAGCAAAGGAGTACATCATTACAAGCATGCCTTTAGAGGCTTCTCCGCTATGCTCACCGAAGAAGAAGCCGCGGCGTTTTCCGGTACTAGATAATTACTATTTAAACCTTAATTAAGAACAACTTTACGACTTTTCAAGGCATAAAAAAAACTTACACTGTATCTAGTAATACGATCACTTTTTGACTTTGTACATGAACCACCAGAACCGTATGTTTGTTAACCAACCCTGCCGAAAGATTTTTTGAAGCAAAAATGTGTAATGCTATTAAAAGAAAAGACGAATAAAATAAAGGGTTTCTTGCACAAAAGTTTGTTGGGGTTACCGAAAGAAAATATAATTAGTCTAAGCAGAAGAAGATTAGTGTTTTGTATGGCCATGCTATTAATTATAATTGTATGATTACATGGCCATGGTATTCTTGCATGGCATATTTATATATATGCATCGCCTAATTAGATTTGCTTTACCATAGTGCTTTTATCATAGAGCAGGATTATACTGATATTTATATAATAAAAATGGTGATATGTGTGTGTGTGTGTGTATTACTGTAGAACATGATGAGGTGGTGTCGGTGTTCGAAGATCCGATGCTTCAACTTCACACAACTCGGTCATGGGATTTTCTGGAGTCACTTTCAGGAGTTGCGTCTTCATTCCCTATTTATAACAGTTTTCATGGATCATCTGATATCATAATTGGCGTTGTGGATACCGGTGAGAATACGCCAATTTATAGTTTCAAATATCTTGATGTCCATACTTGAAAAATGTCAAATTTTGAGGATATCAAAGTTTCAGCATGTGCTATTTATTTGGATTCCGATTTTGAAATAGTTTTTTTTTGTTTTGTTTTTGTTTTTATCGTCAATGCCTATCTGAAATCTAGAAAATTATATCTAACTGCAGAGATAATATAACTTATGTAACGATCCTAATATTGGCATATAGCTAATTAAAGTCCTTAAAATATATAGGGATATGGCCAGAGTCTCCAAGTTTCAATGATAAAGGGTTTGGAGAAATACCTTCAAAATGGAAAGGCACTTGCATGGAAGGTCCTGACTTTAACAAATCCCACTGTAACAGGTGTCCCTTTTTAAAACTTTTCCCTGTCTTATTCAACAATTTCAGACATTTTTTTAGTTTATTTATGTGTAAATATTAGAATACATTTGGCATAATTAAAAACATAAAAAACATGATTTTAGGAAAATAAATTTAAGGGTACACAAATTGTAACTCAGTTATGTAAAATAACCAAAATTAAGAAGAGATTGAGATTTAGTAGTGTAAGTTTATTTCTTAAAATGTGTGAAAATGTTAAAGCATACATTTATACATATTAAAGGAACCAGATTGAGTTTTTTTTTTTAATAGTTATGTTTAGTTAAGGTCTAATTTTAGATAAGTGTGGATGATAATGCAGAAAGCTGATCGGAGCAAGATATTACACATCAGCCGGAGCCAAGTCGGCAAGAGATGCCAACAGTCACGGGACACACACGGCCTCCACAGCGGCCGGAGCTCACGTGAACGGAGCCAGTGACCGTGGCCTTGCGCGTGGGACGGCCAAGGGAGGCCAGCCAGGGTGTAGGATTGCCGTCTACAAAGTATGCAACGACGACGGTTGCTCCGGCTCCGCCCTCTTGAAAGCCATAGACGATGCGGTCAATGACGGCGTTGACCTCATCTCTATCTCCATTGGCTTGAATGCTGCAAGTAGACCGGATTATCTGTCCGACCCAATTGCCATCGGAGCCTTCCACGCAGAGCTCAAGGGCGTTATGGTCATTGCCTCTGCAGGTAACGACGGCCCCGACCCCTCCACCGTCACCAACGTTGCACCATGGATAGTTACTGTGGCTGCTTCCACCATTGACAGAAACTTTCAGTCTTCCGTCATCTTGGGCAGCGGCAAGGTTTTACGAGTAAGCATGTTTCACTACATTACAAAACATTTAGTAGTAGCATTACTTCATAATGTTGAGTATAACACGTTGAACAATTAAGCTATATATCTAAAGAGTTAAAAACAAAATATTTTTTATTTTCCAACGTAAGAGTTAAAAACTTTATTTGTCAAGTTTATTGGATTCTAACTCAAACTCAGTCACAAATTATTAGATTAACACATATTCTAGTCCAACTAACAAAATGATTAAACATGAATTTTGCAATAATATTCATCAAATAATAATAACCATCAATAAAAATAAAATAAGTAATTTATTAATATTGTTTTTGGTTGGGTATATGCAGGGAGCAGGGATCCATTTCTCCAATGCCACAAGATCTAAGGCGTACCCTCTTGTGTATGCAAGAAATGTTGCTGCTGCATCTACGCCTTTTGAAGATGCAAGGTTTCGTATATGTTCTCTAATATTAAGGATATGGAAAATGTAGATTTAATTTAATTATACATATGTTTGATATTGTAGGGCTTGTCTTCCGGGAGCCTTGGACCCCAAGAAAATAGCCGGGAAAGTTGTTGTTTGTGTGATGTCAAGCACTACTGGTATAACAAAGCGAATCATCAAGTTGATATTAGAAGATGCTGGAAGCAGAGGTTTGATTTTGATAAACAAAAAGGAGAAGATTATAGCTTTTGACTCAGGCGATTTCCCTGTATCAGAAGTTGATATGGTTGATGGTTACAAGATTCTCAAGTACATACTTCATACCAAGAATCCAACCGTTACGATTGTCCCAACCGTTGAGATCAAACGAACTAAACCTGCACCTGTTGTTGCAATCTTCTCTTCTAGAGGTCCTGCTTCTCTAACAGAGAACATTCTCAAGGTTTTAGCTCTTATCCACTATACATTTCCATGTTTGATCATTGTAGATGTTTTAAAGAACACACTCATATGAGTGTTCTTTTATTTTCTTTTTCTCAGCCGGATGTAATGGCACCCGGTGTTTTGATTTTGGCGGCCGTAACTCCACCGGAGAATGCTAAAAGATCCACACCAACGTATGGGTTAAGGTCAGGAACATCCATGTCTTGCCCTCATGTAACCGGAGCAGCCGCTTTCGTCAAGGCTTTTCGACCCTCTTGGACTCCCTCTATGATCAAATCTGCCCTCATGACCACAGGTTTTGAATACTTTGTAAATAGTTTGAGGTGGTCTTGCTTTGATGTAGCTAGGTGTATGATCAATATCTAACATTAATATTTGGCTTCATGTAGCAATACAATATGACAACATGAGAAGAGCAGTGACAAACACCTCCAGACTCACATCAACACCTCACGAAACCGGTGCCGGAGAAATCAATCCTCACCGAGCAATCAATCCAGGGCTTGTCTTTGAAACAACTGCACTAGACTATCTCCAATTCCTTTGCTACTTCGGCTACTCTCAGAAAACCATAAGCAAAACACTCACCAAAGCAAATTTCATTTGCCCCCAAAAAGTCTCTGAAGATCTTATCTCCACCATCAATTACCCATCCATCTCCATTGGAAACCTGCGTCGTGGCCAACGTTACCAAAAGATCATCGAAAGAACTGTCACAAATGTTGGACCGGAGAAGAATGTGACGTATGTTGCTCATATCGAAGCTCCAGAGGGATTGGTGGTTAAAGTCACACCAAAGAGACTTGTGTTTGGAGAAAACGTGAGCAAAGTTTCATTCAAGGTTTGGTTCTATGGGAAGACGAGTGCATCAAAGGGTTATCATCATGGGTCTTTAGAATGGTCAGATGGTTACCACTTGGTGCGGACCGTTTTTTCAGTTAAAATTAAGTAATGGCTTAAGCAGCTCCTCCCTAATAAAAATTGCAAGAGGAATGAAACTCTAATTGTGAAGTTTGTTGAGTCACTCATTGTATGATTGTTTAATAATTGCTTTATGAAAGCAAATTGGATTGTTTCTTTGATAATTGGTGTCTTGGCATTATAAATTAAGGGTGAAATAATTAATATTCTGTCACCAGTAATAACTAATTAGTTTATATACTAAGTGCAACAAACTAATTGGAATATTTTATAAATGCATCCTAGATTCTGAAAAGTGATCAGAATTAACAGATGAGAAAAGAAAAAGTCGTTGTTTTTCAGGTATACTTGGATAAAATTATACAAACCTGAACTAAAAATTAGAGATATATATATTCCTAGAAGCAAACGTGATAAAATGTTTAATCCAACTTTAAACAAGTGTCACACGAGCTCTCTCTCAAGAACATGCAAATGCACCAAACTTTCCCTGGCAATAATAAAGAACACATGTTTAGCTTTATATACAAAGTCTAAAATACCAAAAAAAAAATTAACTGAGAAGAAAGAGCTATAATAACCAAACCTGAGTGATGATGAATCAGGTATCATGGGACTGATCTTTCTCGATGAAGTCCAAAGCCTGATCCTTTGAAATAACATTCACAACACTCACTCTGTTCTTATGAAACACTCCATATATCTTATCAGCAACCTTCACAAGCTCGGGACGGAAAGTCGTGGTTATGAACTGCGTGCTTACACTATCATCAGCTAAACCACGAATCATGTCTGATAAAAATTGATTTGGTTAAGGAACTTTGTAACTTCTACATATGCATATTGTGAGAAAGAAAGTTGCAGTAAACGATGAGATAAAATTAAAAAAGGATACTTCCGACAGCGGTTCGGTACTGAGGATCAAGCGCTGCATCAATCTCATCGAAAAGATAGAATGGTGCAGGATCGCATCGCTGGATGGCAAAGATTAATGCGAGGGCAACAACTGTCTTTTGGCCTCCCGAGAGTTGTTTCATTGATTGCGTCTCTCCTTGACCAGTAAACGAGACCTGTCAAACAAGTGCTAAATGTGATCAGCCTCAAAGCTTAGACAAGGGATAAGGATTCATCCTTCTTAAATATGTAGTGTCCGCAAGTCTCTCTGTACCTTCACTTTTACACCAATGTATTTCTCAACCCTTCCCTCTGCATCAGCTTCACGACCTCCATCGTCGTCATCATCTTCATCCTCATGATCACGGTCCTGTAATATGCACCCAAAATGTTTCATGACGGAGACAAGGGAAAGGTTTAAGTGAAAGTCAACAACAGCACAAAACGAATCAGAGAACATCGAAATGCAAGTAAGATGGCGAATAGGTTATTATAATTCCGCATTCAAGTTTCACTAGAAAACCTATGCACATAGCTTGTTAAGTACACTAAATTTATCTCGTTCAATTGCACTTCGAAATTTAGTTAACAAATTGATAATGGAACAACGTAAGCAAAGGACAGAGAGGAAGAAGTGTTATTGAGGAAAGGGAAGCAGAAACATGCCTTTTTCTTCATCATGACAAGGTGACCATGTCCACCTTGCACAAGCTCAGAGAACACATCCCGGAAGTGATGTGCAACTCCTTTGAAAGTACGTTCTATAGATTCGTCTTTCCGCATATCCAGAACTGATATCAGTTCTTTAATTTTCTGCAGAATCGTCAAATGTGTCAAGTCAATTTCTACTTTATACATAGAATTTGGTGAAAGTGTATGTAACAACCACCGATAATTTACCTCATCTCCTGCATCTAGCTCTGCTTGCCGTTTCTGAAGTTCTTCCCGTTGTTCTGTGAAATTCACATATTGATCAAGCGCTTTCTTGTTTACATGACTGAATTGTTGCAGCTGTTCACTGCACCGGTGTAGCATCTTCTGCAGCTCCTTGACATTTTTTCGTTTATACCTATAATATACCATAGCATATACATATGACACAACTCCTAGGAGAAAAACCACAAGGCAAGCACTCGGATAGATGGGAGTTAAGGACAGTAATACTGTTAAAGTTTCAATTAAATTGAGAACAGAGAAGAGGATTTGAGCTGGCAGGATGAAGAAGCAATATGAAAAAGAATGAGCAAACATACGAGTCAAAAGCTTCAGATGACAATGGACCCAGTCCCCTAATCTTCTTTGTATACTCTTCTTGCTTAGCTAGGAGTGTGTTGCGAAGGCTGAATAGTTCCTCTAATTTTTTATTTGCATCTTGCACGGTCATCTCACAGTCATCTTCCAATGCCTGAGATAACAATAATTTTTTGTTAGATACCTAAAGGTGAACGATATTCTCTGTATTTACAGTTTATATTACCTTTAACTTCGCTTTCTCATCTTTTATTTTCTTGACCTGCTTTGTCTTCTCATCAATGCTGCGACAGAGACCTAAAACCATGAAATAGCAGTGAGTTTACTCCTCCAAAGAGTAAAAGACGGCTCAAACAATGTCAAGCAATGTTGATCAGAATGATTGGAGCTTACTTTCAAGCTCGTTTGTGACCTCTTCAACCAGCAACTTTGCATCCTCAAGTTCTTGTGTTTTTAAGCCAGCCGAACTTGGCAAACTGTCATCCTCGATCGAAGCTATAGTAGCCTGTAACTCATTTATTCTCCTCTTTAAATTGGTAGCCAAATTAGTCTCCAACTCCGCTTTTCTTGTCTCCCTCTGTTTGTAATGGAAAGAACATAAATTAGAAATCAACTCAAAGAGAAAACAAACATATAAACTACTTTTCTTTTCAAAGCCAACCTCAATGCGATCCGTCTTGTATGCAATAAGTTTTTCCTTAAGATCCTTAATTTCAGGGTTTAATTTTGACAATTGCTCTCTTTCTTCTGAGGTTAGGTGATCCACAAGTTCTGTTCCCATTTCAGCTTCCTTCGTGACCATGCTAGATCTTAGCTGCTCAATTTGTGTTCTAATATCACCTAGTGATTTCTCCTGCAAACAGGTGAAGAAATTTGGTATGCAGAGGTGGGAAAAACATATATTTAACACTGAAGGCTGCTCGAAAAAATGAATCAAAAGAAAACCTTATTTTCAAGGGCTTTATGGATAGCATGTTTCTGCTTATTTGCGTTAACTATCTCCTGCTTCAGTTGCTCCACCTTTAATTTGCTATGTGTCCAGTCTGCTTCAAGTCTCTGCTGCTCAGTAACAAGTTGTGTGATCTGCTGATCTATCAGTGAGACAAGTTAAGTAAAACACTATGAATGAACAACTGTTGGCATGCACACATCAATGAGCAATATGATATAGTTCTTCAGCAAGTGAAAATTGCAATAAAAGCTAAACTAAAGTCGGTTATGGAAAGGATATCTTGCAGCTGTCTTCTAACATCCTCCAATACCTTCTCCTTCGTACTTATCGACTTTGTATTTTGTATTATGGTATTCATGAATCTCAATTTTGAGCGCCTGTGGTCATAGAATCCACCGGTCATGCCACCCTTCCTGCTCACCTGGTCACCTGTCATGGCACACCAGAACCTTTAGCTACATGTTAAGATGGGAAGTAAAGTGAGTATACATTCATTTTCAGTTCCAACCTTCCATAGTTATGCAATCCAAGCCATCAGTCTTAGCCACTCTTGTTGCCACATTCAGATCACGGCATACTACTGTTCTACCAAAAACCTACATCAAAACACGTTAAGATATAAATCTAAGGTGCATCTAAATCTAAATAAGTGGGCCATATGAGAACGGAAAGGCACATAATTTAGTTCAGAAGGAGAACAAAATATAGCTGGTCATAAAAGTGGTTGACAGAGACGAAAGGAGCACCTGGCCCAATGCTGGTGCAAATTTGGAGTCGAACTTCAATCTTCTCAGCAGTGGTATTGCATCAGAACTTTGTGGATAGTTTACGTGAGGCGCCTTTACCCGATTCAGAGGTATGAAGGTCACCCGTCCACCCTTTAGAGAGTTCAGGTGTCTAATAATCTTGGTTGAAATTTCATCATTCTCAACTACCACGTGAAAAAGGCTGTTTGTAGAACAACATATGACAAGAGAAGATCATAAGGTAAGAAGTAGAGCCAAAACTGTAGCTGTGATATTAACATTAGCAGGTTTCCCGCATACCTGTTTCCAGCAGTGACTTCAACTGCAGTGAAAAACTTTTCATCGCAATCGACCAACTCAACAATTGGACCAAAAACTCCATTGATCTTATAGTCTGAGCAAATCCGTCGAATAGAACTCAGCCCTCGCCGTACATCCTGAGACAATGAATGGTCTTAGTCACCAGAAACACAGATGAAAATAGCCAGCAAGTTACTTTAAAGTAGCAGAGACATAAGCTCAGCACATTGCTAGTCAACTTCTAACTAAGCTGTAGGAGCTTGAATGGATCTAATGCATCAACTACTTCTGAAAAATAACATTTTACCACCATATTATTGTCAGCAAACAAGAAAAGCGATATCAAAGCCAATCACTCACTCCTGGAGTTGCATGATCAAGGTTTTTCTTTGCCCTCTCAAGTTCCGTTTTCAACTTCTCAATTTCAGAAGATAGTTGACTTTCTTCTCCCCATTTCTCCCTGTGTTAACATGTCTCCCGTTATATTAATAAAAAAGAAATGTCTACTATACTTGCAAGTATGGAAATGACAACAATACTTACTTTCTTTTTCTCTGTTCCTCATCTCTCTCCCTCTTTTTAACATTAAATTGTTCATGGGACTTGGCAATGTGAGATTCCAGTTCACCAATTTCAACTTCATTTTTCTGGATGTGAGCATCATGCTCTGTCAAATCATTATTTAGACGAAAAATTTCATCCTGAAGTTTTTGCTCCTACAATAGAACAAACATGTTATATCACCAATCATATGAAACTGATTCCATATAACAAAGATGAAATTAAGGAGAGATCCAAATGTCATAGAAGTACACAAGATTTGGCCAATATTCCAACTTTTCAACGTCTAAACATTGTGTTATCATATGATATAATTATACTATGTTGCATCTTCCATCTTTAATAATGTTAACTCACTTGAACCATATTCGAGTCTAAAACACGCTTGAGATCTTCAATCTCCTTTCGGAGCCATTTGTCTCGTGCGGCCTTATTTGAAAATTGAGTTGCACGGCCCTGTTTCTGATAAAGAATACTAAGCTTCTTCTCCAGCTCCATGATTCTGTAAGGAAAATAAAAAGACCATAAACAATAGTTATCAATGTAAGAGGACTCTAAACTCAGAAACCAAAATGATCTTTTAGGGAATCATTACTATTGCTCCCCTCAAGCGCGAGGTCTATTGCAACATACAACCCGCTCATTTTCAGTAGGAATAAAGCTATTTCCAAGTTGCACTGACATTATATAGGCCTACCTTTTTGTTGTATCCCTCTCCTTCTCAACTTGACTTTCATACAAAGGATTAATCTCCTCTAATTCCTTCATAGATTTCTGCATTTCTATTTCCACCAGACTAAGTTGCTCAAGGGCATCATTCTGAAAGCCATAAGCACATCATTAGTGCACATTATCCATAGATATATAGAAACCAACTAGACGTGCAATTATAGTATGCATACTGATGTACGCATCTTTCCCAAAGTTTCTCTACAAATGAGAGTAAGTATCAGCTTGTGTGACCACATGTGTAGCCATCAAGTAAGTAGTACCTTAGACTGGATATTTCCAGCAACACGTTCCTTAAAGTCATTCTCATCAAGCTCCAGTTTTGTCTTCTTCTTTATAGCTTCAGTTTTTCGTGCTTCAACAGTTTCTTTCTCCTTGTACAGTGTCTGAAGCTCCTTTGTCAGTCCTTTCAGCGACTCATCTAAGCTCCTGGAGTCGTCCTGGGCCTTCTCAACTCTATCATACATTTTTGTAGACTCTTCAGATGCCTTAGTTCTCGCAACTTCTACCTGGATGACATAAAATTTCCAGGTGAAAACGATAAAAATTACTTACGTTCACAGAAGAGCACAGAAGCTCAGAGTCTGGCTGGGCCAACCAAAACATTCAAATTGACGTAGCACCATCAACAGAAAGACCAACAATATTTATTTTTAAAATCTTAAGCAACATCGAGTTCACAGGACAAAACTGAAAAGACAACATTGAAAACATATGCCTGATTTTATTGGCTGACCTGTTCAAGTTTCTCCTTGGTATCATGAAGCTCTTTGTCGTAAATGGTGTATTCCAGTGATTTTCTCTGCTTGTCAAGTTGTTGGTACTTTCTGAGTTCTTCTTTCTCTTCGTCCAATTCCCTTAGTCTTTCATCCAAGTATTGGACAACTTGGATGATCTGCTTCCGTTTATTCCCTGGAAGACGAGTCATTCAGCTGCATTAGATTTTTTGAGGTAGCCATGCATGTGATTTAAGAGGTTACATGATTACTTCAGATTGATAACTTGCCTGTATCCTGCATAATTTTTAAACTTTCACGGCGCCTCTCCTCATAAACACGGGTACCACCAATCTCTTTAAGCAGATCCAGACGTTCTCGGTCTTTCATTAGTGTCAACGAGGCTATCTACAAACATACCACACACAAAAAAAGGCATTTTAACAGCAGAAATTTGTTAGCCCACAATAGCTTCTCAAATGTCCTAGCCAACACAAGATTTGTCCAGTATATTTTCTCTTGCAGGATCTTACCTTTCCTTGTTGAACAACATAATAAGGATTAGAACGAGAAAACCCAGCACTCTCCAGTAAATTCATAACTTCGTTTTTTCTGCAAATTTGTTAAATAAATTTTCACCCATCCATGAAATAGGGCAAGGAAAAAAAGTGTGTAATCTCAAAGAAAAAGTACGCACGTAATGTGTTTCGCGTCCAAGAAGTATTCATCCTTCTTCAGACCAATTGTTCGGCGCAAACGAATTTCTTCCTTATCAACCTAGTGGAGAAGCATAAGCCACAGTCAAACAAATGAAATGTATCATTTCTTAAACTACAAGGAAACTATGAAACTAAGCCTACAAATAGCCAAGAAAATGATGACGGTTTAATGAAACTAAAATGGAAATTCAAATTTAAGTGATTGAAATGAAGCCATGAAATTAATCTAGAATAACATGTGCACTTGACTAAGAAATGACGGATCTAATATTTCTAAACTTAGTAACACATTTTTCCAGATTCTAGCTGACAGAAATATAGATGACAATACTGCGGTCCATCATCAACAACAAACATGAACATCATTATATTTAGACAGGACAAGTTTTAGGCAATGGAATTATTACCGGGATGCGGTTGTCAGAGTTATCAAACACAATCTCCACGAACGCAGACGCAACTTGATGACCAGCACCTTCCTGTCCAAAATAACAGGCTCGGGGTTAGAAAATTTAAATGAACACAACAGAGAAAACTTTGAAATATGCAGCAAACTTGTGGACATACGTGGAGCAACGCATGCCTATCTTCATTCCGCAGATTTTGGAAGATGTCACTCAATACAAAACGAATTGCTGCATCAAATACCAAGAAATTCATTCATAAACGAAATTTCTTTTTGAATACAACAAAAGAACATATAAATGAGTGAAAAAGAGTAAGGATGATCAAGATAGGCTCAATCTCACCATGGAAGAAGTTGCTTTTCCCAGACCCATTTGCCCCAACTACATCAAAAACAAATTATCTGTTAGAACAACAGATATAGATATTTTATCCCGTTTTCTCATAAGAAAGAGAACAGATCATCAGTTTCAGCAACCAGTTTAGAAGAATCCAATCAAACATGAAGGTGACAAACAACGTATCTAATTCCAATGATCCAACGACCAATAATCCAGAAACTAGTGAGAACTAGGATGCATAGGCACAACAATTAACCTCGATTACACATTTAACAAATTAATCCATCGGAGATTCACAAAGAGAGACATTACCAACACAGTTAACCTTGGGGCTGAAATCCTCAGTAGCAATTTGCTCTTTATAACTCTTGAAACCTTCGATTATAACCTTCGCAAAACCAAATCCGAAAACCCAGAAGAAATTCAGTAGAGATTACCAGATAAACAGCAGTTCCATATACAAATTTAGAGGAAGAGAGGTAGAAAAAATTCGCACCAGCTTAATATACATAGCGGAAGGTCAGTAGCTACTCCCACCTGTCGAAATTGCCACAATCCCCAGAGATTATTAGTTGAATCGAAGTAGATAAACGATGGATTAAACGCGAAAACCCTAATTTCGCTATGCAACTCAGAGTAGGAAAGAGAGAGGTGATTAAGAAGTTGAAATTCTAGGGTTTGATTTACTGGTAGAGTAGATCCTAGCGAAAAGCCGACGGAGGATAGAAGCAGCAGTAGGAAGAAGAGTGCTTACCGAATTTAGCGGTTTGTTCAGAGATAGAAGACGATGCAGAAAGATTGAGTTGGAATAGAAATGGAGGCAAAGTAGAAGAAAAATGACCGGGAAAAAAAGATCAGCCAAAAACTAGAACTGACAAAAAATTAAGAAATGGTAGTAGCAAAGCGAAATAACATGTTTTTTTGGTCCAACGGAGCAAAAAATATATTATTACGATTTTTCGTTAAACTTTATATTTCAGCCAAAATTGGATTAAACTTGACTTTTTTCATCAGAAAATGAATTTTCTTTTGTAGCAAAATACTGCAAGATGTCTGGTTCGTCATAGCGGTAAAATGTATAAATCCAATGAATTGAAAAACCAAAGCAAACTTAGATATAACCAAATAAAACTTACATTTTTACCTTATATAATGCACAAGTCAATTATATCATTATCAAAAGCACCGAACTTATCCAAGTATGTATAAGTATAATCACCAAATATACTTGCAGAAGTTTTACATGACATCAAATCAGCAATGTTAACTTGAAAAATGACCAACTATATATGTTTTTACAGCTACCAAATCCGGTGTAACAACTTGACAGACAACCTAGTTGTTGTGATATATTGGTTCAAAAGCTATCGCCTTTCGATCACTACACCACCAACACACCAAGAGAAGACGAGCTTTAAGATTGAACAAGACAAGGAACGGTATGAAAAACAGAGAAACGGATAAAACAGAGCACACCAAAGTTTAACGAGTTTGTGCCGTTAACAAGGTCACTACGTCTCGCCGGGATCTTTGTCACCGAAATCCACTAGACAAGAGAGATATACAGGAAATCAGAAAACCCTTTAAACCCCTTACAAGGCTCACACTTTGTTTTCTCTCTTTTCCCTGTTTCCCCCGAGAACACTCTTTTAAGCTTATACTTTTACTATGAGTTTCTCTCTCTCTTAAGTCTCGACGTCTATCTCTCAATGCTTAGCTCTATTTATAATCTCACACGTTTAACCTAGTCTCCATCTGCTCCTTCCACGAAGCTGCCGCACTCGTCCTTATCTTGAGTTGGAATGGGACAAACTTGCTTTTGCTTTATTGCAGCGGCAAAACAGCTTCTTGTTTGTGGTCCTGCAGAGACTGAAATACGTGGCTGATTGGATGAGCTGGCATTGCTTCTTCTCCACGCCTTATGTGTTAAACGGATTTTGACTTGATCTTCAATACTAAGAACAACAAAACTCCCCCTAGTAGTGACAGATCAAGAACAAAACAACATAAGCGGTTCTTCCTTGAGATAGAGATAGACGATACTTTCTAGTATACTGGATTCCGATCCCGGTTTCCTGAGTCCGATTACTCAGACTTGACTCTCAGCAAGTTCAGCGCAGCTTGAAACTTACTGACAGGCAAGATTTTGGTGAAGATATCAGCCGGATTACACAGGGTAGATATCTTCAGCACCTCCACAATTCCATCGGCGATTACTTCACGGATCTTGTGGTACTTCACGTCAACGTGCTTGGTTCTTTCATGATGCACGTTGTTCTTCGAGAGATCTATGGCACTTTGAGCATCACAGAAAATCTCAACACTTTTCTGCTCATAGCCAAAATCTTTCAACAGACCCTTCAGCCAAATTGCTTCTTTGACAGCTTCAGTGAGTGACATATACTCAGCTTCTGTGGTGGACAGAGCTACCACCTTCTGTAACGCAGACCTCCAACTGATCGTGTTTCCTCCAAGAGTGAAAACCATCCCACTGATTGATCTTCTCTTGTCCATATCAGTAGCATAATCAGAATCGCAATAGCCCTTAAGAATGAATTCAGAGCCTTTGCGATAGCACAGCTTGTTCTTTAAGGTTCCTTTAATGTATCTCAACACCCACTTGACTCCAAGCCAATGCTCCTTGATGGGTTTACTCATAAACCGGCTGATGATTCCCACTGGATAAGATAGATCTGGTCTGGTTCCGATCATCGCATACATGAGGCTTCCGACTGCGTTTGAATACGGAACAGACTTCATGAAATCTGCATCATCACGCAACTGTTTTTCTGTGGCTGGACACATCTTCAGATGAGCCCCAAGTGGTGTTACAACCTGTTTTGCTTGCTCCATCTTGTACAACTCCAGAACCTTACACAAATATCCTTCTTGTGATATCCATAACAAACCCTTTTCTCTGTCCCGTGAGATCTCCATGCCTAAAATTTTCTTTGCAGGCCCGAGATCCTTCATCTCAAACTTCTCATTCAGCTTTTGCTTCAACTCAGAGATAACTTCTTTGTCTTTAGCAGCAACCAACATGTCATCAACGTAGATGAGCAGAAAGATCTTTGAGCTATCCTTGAGAGTTTTAATGTAAACTCAACTGTCTCGAAGGCTTTTCTCAAAACCAATCTCAATCATAAAACTGTCGAATTTCTGGTTCCACTTTCTTGGTGACTGCTTCAGACCATAGAGAGACTTGTTTAACAGACATACTTGATCCGGCTCAAACTGATCTTCAAAACCTTCAGGAGGTTCCATATAAATCTTCTCATCCAATTCTCCATGAAGAAAAGCTGTTTTAACATCAAGTTGTTCAAACTCCAAGTCTTCTTCTATAACAATGGCCAATAGAATCCTTATAGAGACGTGTCTGACCACAGGTGCATAAATGTCTGTATAGTCTATTCCCTCTCTCTGAGCATATCCCTTAGCAACAAGCCTAGCTTTGTGTCTTGGCATCTCAACTCCGAGAATTCCAGGTTTACGCCTGAAAATCCATCTACAGCTGATCACTCTCTGTCCTTTAGGTCTTGTAACAATTGTCCAGGTGAAATTCTTTAAGAGAGACTTCATCTCTTCATCTGCAACTTCTTTCCACAGTAACCAATCCTCATCGCTCATAGCTTCTCTGAAGTTTGCAGGTTCAAGAGCATCACCGTCTACTGTCGTGATAAGGCACTCTGCATAGAAGTAATCACCTTCGTCATCACAGTCTTCTCCAAAGTAACCCTCTATATCATACCTTCTCGTTGCTCTAACCTCTCTTCTTTCTCTATCCCGAGCTAAGAGATAGCTCTGCGGTGATTCAGTTTCCAAATCTACTGCATCTTGATCATCTCCACTCTGCTGCGTGTCTTGAGCTGTTTCTGACCCTTGAGTTGTCGAGAGATCTCCCAGGGATCCTGTTTCTTCCGAGAGATCTCCACCCAAGGTCATATCCTCTGTTTCCTCAAGATCAATATCCAGCAGCAGAGAACCTGATTCTTCACTTTGATCGCCTGAAGCTTCTTTTCCCTTCTTTAATACGTCTTTATAGACTGCATTTTCTTGGAAAATAATATTCCTGCTTATTGTGCACTTCTTCTCTTCTAACAACCATACCCTGTAGCCTTTCACTCCTTCAGGATAACCCATAAGAACTCCCTTCTTTGCTCTAGGTGTCAATTTCCCTTCATCTGAGTGAACAAACGCTACACACCCAAATCTTCTTAAGTAACTGTAAACTGGAGCTCTCCCTGACCACTTCCTGTCTGGAATCTCAAAGTTTATAGCAGAAGAGGGCGTTTTGTTGATGAGAGTCACAGCAATGTTAGTAGCTTCAGCCCAAAACGTCTTAGGTAAACCTGAATCACTCAACATACTTCTCACTTTCTCCATGATAGTGCGGTTCATTCTCTCTGCAACGCCGTTCTGTTGTGAGGTGTAAGCACACGTTCTGTGTCTCACAATGCCTTTCTCTTTACAGAAGTTGTTGAACTGCAGGTTGCAGAACTCAAGGCCATTGTCAGTTCTTAAGATCTTGATCTTCCTCTCAGCTTGATTCTCTATCATGATACTCCACTCAACAAATGTTCCATAAGCTTCATCCTTATGCTTTAGGAAATAAACCCATGTCTTCCTTGTATAATCATCTATAAATGAGATGAAATACTGACATTTCCCTAAAGACAATGGAACAGAAGGTGCTCCCCACAAATCAGAGTGTATGTAATCCAGTTTGTCTTTTGTATCTTGTGTATCTGCTGCAAAACTGACCCTCTTTGCCTTACCATAAACACAGTCTTCACACATCTCTAGAGTAGAAATTTTCTTTCTGTCGAGAAGACCTTTCTTCACCAGCAGATCCATGTTTTTCTGACTCATGTGACCTAGTCTCATGTGCCATAAGACTGTTTCATCAGGTCGCTTCTCTGTAACGCATGAATGACCATTCTCAGGCTTCCCTTGAAGTATGTACAGCTTATCATGTCGTTTTCCAGTCAAGAGAGTTCTGTTTCCATCTTTAATTTGCAGGATCCCTTCCTTTGACTCAAAACTACATCCATGCTCCTCCATGGTCCCTATGGAGAGCAGATTACGGTCCATCTCTGGAATGTACCTCACATGAGTAAGCAGCACAGTGGATCCATCTTCATTTCTGATCCTTACATTCCCAATTCCCTTGACCTTTGATGTTGTTTTGTTTCCCATCCGAACAGATCCTCCAACATCTTCTTTAAGATCTTCGAACCACTCTTTCTTGTAAGTCATGTGATAACTACATCCTGTATCCATTACCCAAACATTCTCCAAACTTATATCTGTCGAATGCAGGGCCTCGGAAACGTACAAGCCTGTAGAATCATTCTTATTCGCTGTCACCATAGCAGCCTCACCTCTGCTGCTACTTGAGTCTTTACTCTTGCTCTGAGACTTGTTTCTGTTAGGACAATTGTTCTTAAAATGTCCCTCTTCTTCACAGATCCAACAAGCTTTCCTGTTCTTAGACTTGGACCTAGACCTTTGCTGCTTTGAATGCTTTTCTTTGCGTTCTCCTCTTCCCCTTTGTTCTCCTTTTTCTCTGACACATAGCCCCTCTGCTTGACTCTTCGAACTTTTTGGGCTTGAGCCAAAATCGAGCTCCTTTGAGTTTACTGCAGCAACCACCTCGTCAAGAGTTAGCGTCGCTCGGTTTGAGTACCTCAGAGTGTCTCGGAGATGATCAAACTGACGCGGGAGTGACATGAGAAGCAGGATGGCTTGATCTTCATCCGATACAGTAGCTCCGACATTCTCCAGTTCGTCTACCAGCTGAAGAAAATCATCGATATTCTTCTCAATCGTAGAGCTTTCCGACATCTTGAAACCATACAGCTTTTGTTTCAAGTAGATCCGGTTTGGGAGAGCTTTGGCTAAATACAACCGATCCAAAGCTCTAAGCATCGCTGCTGCGGTCACTTCCTTCCTGACCTTTCTTTGAACCCTTTCAGTGATGCATAGAACGATGGCGCTTCTAGCCTTCCTCTTCTTCTCTGCGAAAGTTTCATCCTTTTCTGCTTTTTCCGCCGTTTCTTTTCCCGATGGAGTAGCTGTTATTGAGTCGGATTCTTCCAAGGCTCTGGACAAACCCAACAGATCTATGTGAGCCAACAGCATGTCTTTCCATAGGATGTAATCTCCATGTCCGTCGAACTTCTCCACCTCTCCTCTTGAAGTCGACATGACCCTCAGATCTTAAAGAGTCACGAACCACCAGAACCTGGCTCTGATACCAATATGTTGTGATATATTGGTTCAAAAGCTATCGCCTTTCGATCACTACACCACCAACACACCAAGAGAAGACGAGCTTTAAGATTGAACAAGACAAGGAACGGTATGAAAAACAGAGAAACGGATAAAACAGAGCACACCAAAGTTTAACGAGTTCGTGCTGTTAACAAGGTCACTACGTCTCGCCGGGATCTTTGTCACCGGAATCCACTAGACAAGAGATATACAGGAGATCAGAAAACCCTTTAAACCCCTTACAAGGCTCACACTTTGTTTTCTCTCTTTCCCCTGTTTCCCCCGAGAACACTCTTTCAAGCTTATACTTTTACTATGAGTTTCTCTCTCTCTTAAGTCTCGACGTCTATCTCTCAATGCTTAGCTCTATTTATAATCTCACACGTTTAACCTAGTCTCCATCTGCTCCTTCCACGAAGCTGCCGCACTCGTCCTTATCTTGAGTTGGAATGGGACAAACTTACTTTTGCTTTATTGCAGCGGCAAAACAGCTTCTTGTTTGTGGTCCTGCAGAGACTGAAATACGTGGCTGATTATATGAACTGGCATTGCTTCTTCTCCACGCCTTATGTGTTAAACGGATTTTGACTTGATCTTCAATACTAAGAACAACACTAGTATATGAATTTGGATAAACTTAGTTAAATACTCTCTTGCTCCACATAATAATTAGTCTTTCAAAAATCTTATGTACACAATTATTCATGCTTAAATAGTATGTTGATCAATTCTATCATACGAAACACTGAAAGTGAACGGTTCATACATTAAATTCACATTTCTTTACTTTCGAATTGCTCCTGAAATTCATTTTGAATCGTTGATCTTTCTTAACTAGATCATCTTGATATTGTATATCCCTCTTTACTAACTCTTTTGATCAGTCAACTGATTTCAATGTCGAACTGAAGGTCAAAATGTTCAAACAATACATTGGTATTTTTAGTGAAATATAATGGGCTTCACCAAGCTTTTTCTCTTTTGTGATGGGCCGGATCTTACTTATGACTGGACCAAGTATGGGTCTTTGACACCATATATTCTTTGACCGCCTTTGTTTTGTTATATTTTGCAACTGCTATTTTACTGTTTTTTGTCCATCAATTTTCTATTACGTATTAAAGAGTTTCTGTCCAGCTGGTATTTCCAAAAAAGTTCCAATCAAACAGATAGAAGATGAGAAAAGAAGAAACTCAGGTGCTTTGATAAGCAAACAATTGGTGGCTCATGTGAATTTGAACAAACAAACACAGAAAGAAAGAGAACTCCAAAAACGACTTTCTTCCAAACATCACTCACGTCACGTGTGGACCAAACCAACGCAAACAAACAAACCTCTCTCTTTCTCAAATGATCAAATCGCAGCCCACAAAAACAAAAAAACAATTATTTATCATTTGTTTAATTTTAGGAAAAAACAAAATCAAAAACAAAATCTTTGGTTATATATCCTCTCCGATCTTCTCGGTGACTCGTCACTTCCATATTTATCTCGAATTCGTTATTTTCTCTCTGACCAGACGTTTTTTTTTTTTTCGTTTCTCGGGAAAATTTCAGCCAATCCCGAGAAATTTTCTCACAGCTATTTTACGTTAATCCTCTCCCCTTATTTCTACTTATCATCCACCAATTTTTTTTTCTTGCTGGGATCTTCATGATTTGATTGCAAACGTTACCAGAATCAAAGATGAATGACCTGAGCAATTATGGGTCAGTTTTCACTAGATTCTATTTTCTCGGGGAAATCAAGTTTCTCTGAGACGGTTATCTCGCTAATCTGATTATCTGAAGATCCCAGAGTCGTTTTCTCTCTTTTCTCTCTCAATCTCTCTCTCTCTCTATCTCTCTCTCGTCGTTATGACTCGTCATGTCATACTGAAATCGCCTTTACTGGAGTCGGAAGAATCAACGATGAGACATTCTCCGACGACGGCGATGAGCAAGCAGGTGGAGAGGAGGAAAGTGGGAGAGGTTGCGGGAGGAGCGGCGGCGGAGTGCGCGGCTGTGTGGTGTTGCTGCCCTTGCGCGGTGGTGAACCTGGTTGTTTTGGCCGTGTACAAAGTTCCGGCGGCGGTTTGCAAGAAGGCGTGGAGACGGAGCAAACGACGGCGTTTCACTAGGAAACGACACGGTTTGCTCGCGTCAGCGGCGGCGGAAGGGAGTCAGAGCACCGTACACGCTAGATTGAAGGAGGAAGATCTGACGGCTGAGATTGGTTTTCAAGAAAACGGGGCGAATGGTGAGCTAAACGACGTCGTCATGCTTGAGAAGGAAATGCTGGAGCGTTTCTATGGGGCAGGCTTTTGGAGAAGCCCTTCGCAGAGGGACACGTCATCGGGAAGTTTTTGAGAGAATAATAGTAATTTATTAAATTCACATTATTTATGTGTAAGCTTAATCGTCATGTGGGTGTATGTGAATAGAACAAACATAGTTTATTTTTAATTGTTTTTTTTTCGTTTTAAAATGTAACTACGTCTCATTGTGTTTCGTGTTCGAGAAATGGAGCCGATCAAGAAGGATTCAAAAACTATGGAAACAAAATGATTGGTTGATGTTATTTTCATAGAAATGTGGTTTTCAAGTTTGTTTGCAAAATTGGGTGGTTTTCGTGATAATTTCATGACTATTTTTTTATGAACAAAAGGTAGTGATGGATTCACGTGATTAGCCAAACCAAAAAAAAATCGATAGGTCGAAATTATTTTCACTAAAAATCACAAAGCTCGAAACACAAAAACGTTTTAGAGCTTTGTTTCAAGTTCAACGAAGCATGGCATAATATTTTGAAAGAATGTGATGCATTGAGAAGCATGTTGGGGTTAAAAGTATGAAAGAGTCATTTATGAGTCAATTTCTTGATGGTATCAATGAACGTTTACAGAAATAACGACCTAGAAGAGCTATTACACCCAAACAACAAAAATAGAGCAACAAATTAAAAGGAAGGCAACAGCTTCTGAAACAAGTCGCAAAAACACTCAATGCACTTCACATGCAAACCGCAACAAACTGCAGAGAAAGGAAAATCAGTGGCCATAGAGACTGGCTTTCAAAGATAAACCACATGAAACACACAAAAGATTCATGGTTTGAGCAATGTAAGTTTTCTTGAACACAGTGTACTATTAAAGAAGAGATATACATCTCGTTTCGTGATCATAATATTTGTAGTTAATATATACACAGTGTAATATTTGGAGTATCTTTTAACAAAAAGTATATATCTTTTTTGTAGTAAAAGGTTAAATTATCTGATATATATAGTTTATTTTCCTTTACGTGGTTTTCTGTCACTTCAGCGATTCTATTTGATGAGACTTGACATACGTACGTCAACACACATGACACGTGTCTTACTTTGTTTTCCAATATATATACGATAACTGTAACAGAAAATTTGTGTATAGGTTATTGACAACAACATAGGATTGAGGTATTTACAACAACAACAAAAAAAGGATTGAGGAAGAAGATGACTAGCATTGAAGCGCAAGAAAGATATGAACGAAAAGCAGAAGACCAAGCGAGGGCTCTGTTTTGGACTGAGCGTTTGTTTCTCCTCGTGATACTTCTCCTCTCCTCCAAATACTTATTAGTTTTGATCGGTGTTCTCCTTGTCTACACTACTCTTATGGCATCACCCTTATGCCCTAAACAGTCTTCTGCTGTACCCTCTGTAAGTATATCATATATACATCTTCTTCTATCTACCTTTACTTTACTTGGTTCTAACCTCAATATTTCTCTTCTCTTTTTGACTAGGGTATTGGTCGACTCTGGCTGTTTCTATTGGACCGGTTCATGTTTTTAGTGGCGCTAGTCTCTCATGAGGCCATCTTCTTTTGGCGTCTCACCGTTTTTATCTCCCTCGCGATCCACACTTTTTACATCATCGAGTATCTTGTTAGAACTTATGAACCCCATCACGCCGTATCCACTGGTAATTACAATCTATCAAATTTACATGAAGAAACCCTAGATAATATTTTTTATTATTTAGATATAGCTAGCTTAGTAAATTAGAGTTTATGTTCGTTGGATGTAATGTTGTTTTTTTGTTTTGCATTCCATATGAAAATAATATCACAAGATTTATTTTGTTCCTGTCAAACAATATGCAATATGCGGATTTGGATCCGATAAGTGTTACATGGACGCTACTAGCAGAAAACATTAAGCTAGATAGACGGTCTCTAGTGTTCTTGTCCAACCTTCTACAGGGGTTGCTAATGTATTGATGTCTTCTCTAGCTTTTTTATTGGTTTTCAAAATTCAAAGGGATTGATGATGACACTGATGATGATGAGGAAGGAGATGTGATCAAGAAAGTGGAGACGACGAGGGAGTTAGTGGAAGAGTTAAGAGAAGTCGGAAAGAAGATGGATACAGAATTGGAGTCTATTGAGAACATTATCAATTCCGATCTTAAAACACAGAGAAAAAACTTGTCCGAGAAACTCTTAGAGTTACGTGAAGAGTTGAGAGATGTGGATGGAGAGAAGATGAGAGAGTTCATGAAGAAATTTGTCCATTCAGAACTTGTAAATTTGAGAGACGACTTGCGCCTTAACGTTGATGACATATTGGAAGACGTCCGAGATGAGATGAGATCCATAAACGTTGAGGATATCAAAGCTTCAAGAGGAGAAGTGAAATCTGTACTAGAGGATGTCTATGAGACCTACCTTGTTATCCAAGAAACTGCCAAAGCTTCGAAAACAATAGCTGACAGGGCTAACCTAGCCCACCTTGTTTTGCAAGCAATTTCCGAAGAAATCCAAACTTTGAGGTGGAAGATAAAAGAAGAAGATCTTGAGAGGTTTCTAGAGCTGAGGGAAGAAGTCTGGGAGATGTCGTCGGACTTTGAAACTACAAAAATGGAGGCGGAGGATGCTGCGGACAGAGCGGCAGAGGAGCTTTCATCTGCGACGGTGGAGTTGATGGAGGCTGTTGAGATCCGGCCGTGGGAGGAGTATAAAACTGACTAATCTTGCATGCCTCACTCAGTCTCTTATGTTCAATCATTAACTAGTTTTGCTCTCTTTTTGTTTTGTTTTTTCTATTAAGTTGTATTCCTCTCTTGACCATGACGAAGCCCTTTCAGAGGACCATCGTATCCACAAAAATAAATCATGTTTTCTTCTTTTTCAAAATTATGTAATATAAAGAAGATTTCTCAATGTAATTGAACATTGATTGTAATGTAATCATATTGATTGTACGATCCGGCTATCTTTTATAGTCCAATGCTAGACAAAGAGAAACAATGTATAACTCTCTAAGTTTCTTAATGAAAATGGTATGTTGGAGGAAAAAAAAATTTGAACATCATTATTATACTTAAGCTTTAAAATATCGTATATGTATTCAATTACTTTTATTGTTAACATCTTTATGGATGTATAAATTTAGTTGCATCAAAGTAAGACTGTCGAAACAACAAATTGAATAACCAAATTATTAAGGAAAAAACAAAAAAAAAAAAATCTCTTTCTAGTTTCTCCTTAACGTTTTGCACTTTGAGTAAATTTCCCTTCGAACCCTCTAATTCTTACATTATTAATTTTCTCCCCACTGCGGCTAACGTCTCCGTCGGCTTCACACGAGCGTTTAACGAAACACATCACACATTTCCGAGTTTCAAAATCAGCCACCGCCTTAGATTGAGCACAAAGTTCTCAATCATTTCTCTTCGTCTCTGCAAATACACATCTCTCAATCTCAAATCCCCCAAATTCTCAGGTTAAGCTAGGTTTTCACTAAAGACGAGCCCGAGGAGAAGAAGAAATGGGGAAGAACGAGAAGACGGCTCTAGGTCGAGCCCTTGTGAAGCACCACAACCATGTGATCCAGGAAACAAAGGAAAAAGGGAAATACTATAAGAATCAAAACAAGAAGGTTTTGGAATCGGTGACGGAGGTTAGCGACATCGACGCCATCATCGAGAACGCCGAAGAAGCTGAGCGGCTTTTCGCGATTCATCACGAGTCCGCCACGCCTGTGCCTATCAATATGTGAGTTTTTCCCGATTCGTCATTTCAAATATCTGGTTTGATCATTCTTCAATTGATTCTGGTTGATTACGTCTCTGAGCTTCAAATTTTGTTAAATCCTTCTTCACTGATTCTGGTTTATCCGTTCCCGGAGCTCGCTCGATCGTCTAAATTAGTTATTATCGTTCTGTGTTCTCTGAGATTTGATAATAAGCTGGTGATTTCTCTCTGTTGCTTACCTAAATGTGTTTATGCTCTTAATCTTCTTCATTTTGTAAATTATCTGTAAACAGGGACACAGGTTCGAGCTCAAGTGGTATAACTGCTCAAGAGTGGAAGCAGCAACGGAAGAGAGAGGAGGCTTTACATGCTAGTAGCCTTCAAGTGCCTCGAAGGTATGTGGTTTTTACACATTTCTCTTGTGCTTCTTGAGTAATATGAAGTTTCTTTCACCTAATGTTCATATCTTTTGCTGACTAATTCAGACCTCATTGGACACCTAAAATGAATGTGGAACAACTTGATGTTAATGAGAAACAAGCTTTTCTCACTTGGCGCCGGAAACTTGCGAGGTTGGTTCTGGTTTTTACCTCATCTTCAGGGGTTTATTGTTTAGTCATTCTTCTACGTTTTTTTTTGTTCAAAAGTCATTCCTCTACGTAGTGTTGACAATAAAGTAGATAAAATATCTGTCGTTAGGTGGATTGTTGCTGTTAGTAGAATGGGAAGTCTTACTTGAATCAATGCAATCAAATTAGTGACTGTGTTTACTTCTATTACTTGCCTATTGCCGCACAATTGGAAACTTTTGGGGTATAACTTGTACCGCTTTAATTGCCTTTAGTCCCGATTTTTGCTTGTTATTATGTTAGAATTGGCTCTGACTCAGAGTTTCTGAGGTTATGGCTTGATGTACTTTGGTGAGGCATATGTAAGTTCGTTGTGTGTTCTAGATATGTTTTTCAGTAACAAAGAGAAGTTGGAGAGAGTTTGTGATAGGGTACCAAAACAATTATATAAGTTCCGTTTTGACCTCTTCTGTTGAATGAAAAGTATCCATTTTCACATCTTTGAGCAGATTATAGGCTTATAGCTTAGTCAAGGTATTATTTTGTTGCTATTTTTATATCCATGGTTTGATGTCATTAAGTGTAATTTTCTTTTGGGACTTGGTGCTATACTTACACTTATCCATGACTACTTGTTCTGCTGTAATCATTCAGCCTCGAGGAAAACGAAAAGCTTGTGTTGACACCATTCGAGAAGAACCTTGACATATGGAGACAACTTTGGCGAGTGCTTGAACGAAGTGATTTGGTATATCATTTTCTCCAGGATCTTTTTCGTCTCTTAGATCACTTTTGAATTGGTTAAGCTAATTGCAAATTATCATTTGCTCGTTTTATTTCTTTTTTCAGATTGTTATGGTTGTTGATGCTAGAGATCCTCTGTTTTACCGTTGCCCTGATCTTGAGGTAACTCTATCTCTGCCTAATTGCACCTTTCTCTCAGTATAATTTTCCTGATCCATATCAAACATTTACTTAAAGATTTTTTCTGACACAGGCATATGCACGAGAGATCGATGAGCACAAAAAAACAATGCTTTTGGTAAACAAGGCAGATCTTTTACCTTCTCATGTCAGGTAAAGTTATCCCTCGCTTCTTTGCTTCCTACCTTTATTTTATTTTGGCTAACGAGTTGGGTTGTACATAACGTAAACGCAGGGAGAAATGGGCGGAATACTTCTCCCGGAACAGTATTCTGTTTGTCTTCTGGTCAGCCAAAGCTGCTACAGCTACCTTAGAAGGTAAACCTCTGAAAGAACAGTGGAGAGCACCTGATACCTCTCAGAAGACAGATGATCCAGCTGTTAAAGTATATGGAAGGGACGAGCTTTTAGACCGACTGAAATTCGAAGCTCAAGAGATAGTAAAAGCGAGGAAATCTAGAGGAGAATCCACGGAAACTTCTTCCGACTCTCACCGAGAACGTGTTGTGGTTGGCTTTGTTGGCTACCCAAATGTTGGAAAGAGTTCGACAATCAACGCACTCGTAGGTCAGAAGCGAACAGGCGTTACATCAACCCCAGGGAAAACGAAGCATTTCCAGACATTGATCATCTCTGAGGAGCTGATGCTTTGCGATTGCCCCGGTTTAGTCTTCCCTTCGTTCTCAAGCTCGAGGTACGATATGATTGCCTGTGGAGTGCTTCCGATAGATCGGATGACGGAGCACCGTGAAGCTGTTAAAGTTGTGGCCGAGCGTGTTCCTCGGCAGGCGATTGAGGAAGTGTACAACATCTCTCTGCCTAAACCTAAAGCCTACGAGGCTCAGTTCCGTCCACCTCTTGCCTCGGAGCTTCTGAAAACTTACTGCTTGTCTCGTGGCTACGTCGCCGCTAGTGGACTACCTGATGAGACAAAGGCAGCTAGGCAGATTCTGAAAGATTACATTGAAGGCAAGCTTCCACATTTTGCAATGCCTCCTCGAGATGATGAAAATGAGACGGCGGGAGACGAAACAGGAGAAGGTGAAGAAGGTCCTAGTCGTGGTCAAGTTCTGGAGGATCTGAGCTCGTTTGATCTTGAAAATGGGATTGGAGCTTCGAAGAAGAAACAAGTGGAGTCGCATAAACAGCACAAGAAGCCATAGAGGAAAGAATTAATGGTCTTGATGCATTGATCAACAAGTGGAAGATATGACACACAGTGGTGGATTTTTCTCGTGTAAAATTGAGAAGTGTTCTAACAGATGTTTGGTTAGATGCTGTATTTGTGCAAAAATATGAAAATGGAGTACATTTCGAGAATTTTTGAGCTCCATGTTGGTCAATATGTTGACGAGAAGTCCTTTGTCCGTCCCATCCCGTTGACATATTATCACTCACTGTCTCACTCAATGGATTTTGTTATCGGTTTTGAGTAGGTCCGAAATAATAACCGAACTTCATTCAGGTTCGGATTCGGCTTAAAAAATATAGTTAAGTAACATTTAATCAATATTGTAATCTGTATTCTGTATTTTAATGTATTTTTGAGTGATTCGATTTGGTTACAGGAAATTCAGATTCAGACAAGTAGTGTAATATAGAAAATTTTATATCGTTCGATTTAGGATTGATGAATTTCCGTTCAATTTGTTTTGTTTTTTGTTTCCACCTCCTGCGCATAGGTTGATTGAGTAACTAAACTCTAAGTTTCAGTTATTTTTTCTTGTTCTTTTCCAAATTTAAGACTAACCTTTTACAATTCACCAAAGAAAGCGATACTGGTGTGTAATCTTTAGTCACCTAAAATTCTCTACAATTTGCCTCCTTCATGTTCAGCATCACTCTTGCACTCAATCAATGCACATGTAAGGTTTCTCACAATTAATTTGGAGATTGCTTTTTCAGCTCTGTTTCATAGCTTTGGACTTTGGTCTTTTGTCGCGTCATTTTTAGTATGTCATTTTTGCCGTGTTTTAATGAACAAAACATATCACGTAAAGAAGTCGACAATTTTTGACAATCATATCGAGTCCCCGACTTCCAAGTAAAGTTTTACATTTTAAGCCTTTGGTCAAAAAACAAAATGGCTTTATTTGTTAAAGAAATGTTTTACATAGTGTCCATCTATGATTTGTTTACAATTGTTTTCAGGGCATATATTTATTTATTTACTTGTCTTTACGTTTGTGTTGACAATGTCTTACCTACTAGATAATGTAATCGCCAAATGAAAAGAGAAGTAAATTTCTCTACTTGCGTATTCACCCAAAAGATGATAATCGGGTTCTCGTTGTTTAAGACAGTTTATTGTCTAGATCAAGCAATAACTTCAAATGGAAAGTTGAGATATCTTGACGACATCATTGGAACAAGTAGACTGATTAACAGAACACCTAAAAATTGGTGATTTCTCGATTTATAACCTCAAGAGGAATCTCCTAAAAGATTGTTGTGTTCTCTTAATCATTGGCTTAATTTATTTGAGCTATGTATTACATATTTACATGATTGCAAGCTATAAGCTGGAGGTCGCTTTCACGACAAACTGATTTGATTTGAGTTTGTGAAGATGGTGTTTACACCAAAGGAAGGGTTGGCTTTCTCAATGCAGTTAGAAAAAATTATTTAAGAATAAACGAGTTTTTTTTTTTTTCATTTCTCAAATTCCATATTTGAGATTTTTTTGATTTTTTTTTAAGATGACTATGATTTAGGTTTAATTAAGATTTTGATTTAGGTTTAGTTAAGATTTTTTTTTTTCTTTTTGTCTTTTCTTAATTAATTGAAATTTTGAGGTTTGTTAAAAAAGTTTTGATAAAATATTTTTAAGACTCGAACCGTCGAACCGCTGGAAAAAAAAATTTAGACCAAGATTGACATCTAAAATTTTATAGCCAAATAAATAAATAAACTTATCGGCCGCAAGCCCATGCTTCCGTGGCTTGGCCCAAAGGCCGGTTCCGCTACGTATATCTAATTAGTATATATGTGTCAAATCAATGCAGTTTCAAACTTCACTTTCATATAAGGTAAGATCAATTATTTTTCTTCAGAAACAAAAAACACAAGGATTTACCGCGAAAAACCGTTATCATTTCTAATTTTCCATGAAACAGGGTATTCACTAAATGAACGAAATTATTCGATATCTCCGATAGAAAAAACCAGAAATGAATCCATAAAAATGTCATGAATAATCAAATACACCATGTTAAAGCTGGCTAAAACATAAGTAAATTAGTTTGGTTTCATGCCGTATCGTTTGTATTTCCTCGAATAATTTTGTTTAAAAGTAAGGATAATATGATTAAATTTTCAGTGACTATAAACCTTAACCTTAAGATTACATTTTCATGTTTAGATATAGAGAGAGAGTGTAAGGTAAAGGGCAGTTTTTGTTTGTTTGTTTGGTGTTGAGTTCGTCTCTCTGTCCGCATTCCAAAAAAAAAACCTAAAACTGGGAAAGAAGAAAAAACTTCATTTTCAAACATTCCTCTGAAAATCTCTGCTCGGAAATCTCAGGATCTCACCGGAGAGGAAGAAGAAGCTAGGGTTTCTGTGTGTTCCATAAGATTTTTAAAGGATGCTGTTAAATTAGAGACGTCCTCAAATTTTAAGCTTGGATCTTTTTCTTAGTTTAAGGCTTCAACAAAATCGAAATGGATTTGGATTCGTCTATGGTGCCTGAGAATGATCGAGATCCTTCGTCTGAGAATCAATCCACATCGCCTATGGAGAAGGAATCGATTCAGCAGACGAACGACCAAGCACCGGAGGAAACCGGATCCGAATCGGCGTCTTTGACTCCCCCGGCGGCGTCAGCTGACGTGGCACAACAACAGCAACAACAACCGCCGCAGGTAACGCCGGTGGTTGGTCCGAGATGTGCTCCGACGTATTCGGTGGTGAATGCTATATTGGAGAAGAAAGAAGACGGTCCTGGTCCTAGATGTGGACACACTTTGACGGCGGTTCCTGCCGTTGGTGAGGAAGGGACGCCGAATTACATTGGCCCACGTCTCATCTTGTTCGGTGGTGCCACGGCGCTTGAGGGCAATTCAGGTGGAACAGGAACACCAACTTCAGCTGGAAGTGCAGGCATTCGTAAGTTCTCCTCAATTGCTTTCACAAGTCTCAAGCTTTAGTCACCTCACTAGCTGAAACTTGTTTATCTCAACATTTCTAGTTTCTCATCTTAGATTGATAGAGCCAAAAACTTGATTTTTTCGATCAATTCTCTCTGTGTATTGGTATGCTTCTGGCCTTATGAGTAATGTTTCATTTGCAGGACTAGCTGGTGCTACTGCTGATGTTCATTGTTATGATGTTCTCTCTAATAAATGGTCAAGGTGAGCCTAAGATATGAAGCGTTGTCTGTTTTCTTCATAAAATCTGGTCATTTGCCACTAAGTGTGTTTAATATGGTGAAATGATGCTACAGGCTAACACCGTATGGAGAACCACCTAGTCCAAGAGCTGCGCATGTTGCCACTGCTGTTGGGACCATGGTAGTTATTCAGGTAGGAGAAAAACTTTGTTATCGTGTTGTAATTTACAAATTAGGTTAGCCATGAACCTGCTACTGAATGTCTATGTGGCGCAGGGTGGAATAGGTCCTGCTGGTTTATCAGCTGAGGATCTTCACGTTCTTGATCTCACTCAACAACGGCCACGATGGCACAGGTTTGAATATAAATCTACTTCTTGTGGCTAGCTCGGTTTAAAATTCATTAGTTTGTCACTTGATTTAGAATATGCTCTTTATCCAGGGTTGTTGTTCAGGGTCCTGGACCAGGACCAAGGTATGGACATGTCATGGCATTGGTAGGACAGAGGTATCTCATGGCAATTGGTGGAAATGATGGTAAGAAGTTTTACTCGGTCCCTCATTTGAAATCGTATTTGTATTCTCCGTAAAAATAGCTCTTTTACTCTTAATATCCTTAAACTACTAGGAAAACGTCCGTTAGCTGATGTATGGGCTTTGGACACTGCTGCCAAACCTTATGAATGGCGTAAGCTGGAACCAGAAGGGGAAGGTCCACCTCCATGCATGTAATTTTGCTTCATTGGCTTCATTTCATCTATGCGATTGTGTGGTTTTCTCTTTAGTGATTTTGATCTCTTGGGGTTTGTACGTTTTAATTAGGTATGCAACTGCAAGTGCGCGGTCTGATGGCCTTCTTCTTCTTTGTGGTGGAAGAGATGCGAATAGTGTGGTAAGCCAAAGAGTTTCTTTGCTGGCATGTTTATCGTATCCCCTGTTTTAAAATAACCATTTGCTATGCATTGAGGTTTTAAAGTTGTCACCTGGAGGCAATATCATTTTTGTGTTTCTCTCAGCTACCATTATATTAACTCTGCATTGAATCTACTTTGTTCTATTTCACTGTGGTGATAGAGGAGTAGTTTTAGTAGAAAATTATCTAGCATGTTTAGAACAAGTGAAATTTAAAAGTTAAGAGCTTCTTTGTCCATCTTGATCTGCCATGCTGAATTTGTCTTTGTCTACCTTTTTGCATAATAGCCCCTAGCAAGTGCATATGGACTTGCCAAGCACAGAGATGGACGTTGGGAATGGGCCATAGCCCCTGGTGTTTCACCTTCCGCCAGATATCAGCATGCAGCAGTATGAGACATTGAGACGCTCTTCTTTCTTTTCTTCTCTTATTTATTTCCATCAGAAAAACAAACCTTTGGTGGATATATTTCAGGTCTTCGTAAATGCAAGACTCCATGTCTCTGGTGGGGCACTTGGTGGTGGACGCATGGTAGAAGACTCATCTAGCGTTGCAGGTTAGCAAAACGAGTGAATGAATCTCAATGAGAGAATACTTACGTTTTTTTTGCTTATACATGCAATATATAAACAATGAATATCTGATTTTTTATACTTTAGGTTGTCTTAATGGATGAATTGTTACTGAAGCATATTGTTTCGTTCTAAAAGCATGGTTATCATCGTCCTTTCTTTAAGCTGCATCGTTCTTACCAGAGGGCTGCAGAAGCCAAAATTTGCTTTAATGTTTGAGATTTATCTAAAACTATCGACCCGGGATTTTTCGAAAATTTTAACTCATCTATAATTATTGTAGAGGAAGCTACAAAATTCCATTAGTAATAAAGAGTACATGCGTTCATCTAAGCTTCTCTGATTGGTTCATGTTTTTTCGCTTTGTTCAGTGTTGGATACTGCAGCAGGGGTTTGGTGTGATACAAAATCGGTTGTTACTAGTCCGAGAACTGGTAGATATAGTGCTGATGCAGCTGGTGGTGATGCTTCTGTCGAGCTGACTAGGCGTTGCAGACATGCTGCTGCTGCAGTGGGTGATTTAATATTTATCTATGGTGGTTTACGAGGAGGTAACAAAAAAAGTTTGAAAGCTGTTATAGGCGATAAACCATTACATGCCTGTCCATGAGAATGAACCATTTTTATAGTATCTGAGAAATCAATGATTTCTGTAAATTTTGCATAATATTCCATCGAGTTGCGAGCGTATGATAAGTTAGGATTACACTTTTTTTAAATAGGTAGTTTGATCTTCTGTGGAAGTCTGGGACTTAATATAATCAGCATTACTTCATCAAAATAGTATATAGTTTCTCGCTTCACCAAATATCAATGTCGTTGCTCCTTTTAACTTCTCTTTTCAGACCTATGCTTGTTTTTGCTATAGCTGCAAAACTTAACAATATGCTGTTGATGCTTTAGGAGTGTTACTTGATGACCTACTGGTTGCTGAAGATCTGGCTGCGGCGGAAACAACATCTGCTGCCTCTCATGCTGCTGCAGCAGCAGCAGCAACAAACTCACCCCCTGGCCGTTCACCTGGAAGATATGGATTTTCTGATGAAAGGACAGGGGAGCTACCGGAACCAGCTCCTGACGCTGTTGTGCTGGGAAGTCCTGTTGCACCCCCTGTAAACGGTGATATGTATACTGATATAAGCACTGAAAACGCAATGGTTCCAGGACAACATTGTAGGAGAACAAGCAAGGGTGTGGAGTATCTCGTTGAAGCATCCGCTGCGGAAGCTGAGGCTATTAGTGCAACATTAGCTGCTGCAAAGGCACGGCAGGTCAACGGTGAAGTTGAACTCCCAGATAGGGATCGTGGTGCTGAGGCTACACCCAGTGGAAAACCTGCAGCCTCCTCATTAATTAAGCCTGATTCTGCGGTAGCAAATAGTGTTATTCCTCCAGGTGTTCGACTTCATCATAGAGCTGTGAGTCAAACTAACTATATTTAGTAAAATCTGAAATTTAGCAACATGTAATCCATCATCATGTCTCTTCATGTACTAGTGTTGTTCGTCTATGATTATAACTGCTAATACTTTTACAACTATCTCTGGAACTTTGTTAGGTGGTGGTTGCTGCAGAAACAGGAGGAGCCTTAGGTGGAATGGTTAGACAGTTATCTATTGATCAATTTGAAAATGAGGGACGCCGTGTTAGTTATGGGACACCTGAAAGTGCAACAGCAGCAAGGAAATTATTAGATCGGCAGATGTCAATCAATAGTGTTCCGAAAAAGGTAGAGTTTTGTTCTCTAAATGAATCTTGCAAGAAAGCATTATTTTCCTGAATGTGGATTTAGACGAGCAATTATACATTTGGTACATTTTGCTTCAAAACATTGCTTGCTTGAACTCTTGTAAAGAAATTGTCTTGCTGTGGCACTGGTCATTTAGTTGGTCTGATAGGAATAAGAAGTATAGTTAGATACGGTATAGGTGTACTACCGTTTGCTTTAGTGGGATTGGAAACATATTTGTAAGGCATGTAGTCCTACTGGATCTTGTGTATTGTTCAATGGTATTAAGTACGTAGGTGACTATTCAAGGCCTTCTAATGAAGTCATAACTCTGTTTCATTAGGTTGTAGCTCATCTTTTGAAGCCTCGTGGGTGGAAGCCTCCAGTTCGACGCCAGTTTTTCTTGGATTGCAATGAAATAGCTGATCTTTGCGACAGTGCAGAACGTATCTTCTCAAGCGAACCTACTGTGTTACAGCTGAAAGCTCCTATTAAAATATTTGGTGATTTGCATGGTCAGTTTGGGGATCTCATGCGCCTTTTTGATGAATATGGTTCACCATCAACAGCTGGAGACATATCGTAAGTGTGCAGCTAAATCCATAAATCTATCTGATCGCTACTTTCTCTCTTGCTATTGTTGGTCTGACATTGCTGATTTTATATTTATGGCTGTCAGATACATCGATTATCTCTTCTTAGGGGACTATGTTGATCGAGGTCAACACAGCTTAGAAACAATTACACTTCTGCTTGCGTTAAAGGTAAATTTAAGAGCACCATATCAGTGCTGTCTCTATTCTGGTATTATAATGCTTGACAAGATAGGGTGTAACGTTTTATGATTGACACTGCAGGTCGAATACCAAAATAACGTACACCTGATTCGTGGAAACCATGAAGCTGCTGATATTAATGCCCTTTTTGGTTTCCGGATAGAGTGTATTGAGCGAATGGTAGCGTCTCATCTTCTGTGAATCTCTTGTTTTTCTTGTTTCCAGTTTTAGGGTCTCATGTTGTGGCTACTTTGCAGGGTGAGCGTGATGGGATCTGGGTGTGGCACCGGATAAACCGTTTGTTTAACTGGTTACCTCTGGCTGCATTGATTGAGAAGAAAATTATATGTATGCACGGAGGAATTGGTCGGTCGATAAATCATGTGGAGCAGATAGAAAACATCCAACGTCCAATTACGATGGAAGCAGGCTCAATTGTGCTAATGGATTTACTATGGTCAGCTCATGTCTACTGCTATATCATTCTAGGTGTTTGTTTTTCCTTGATCCTTTTCTCACTAGTGTTTCAATCTGCAATCTGTTAGGTCTGATCCAACTGAAAACGACAGTGTTGAAGGTTTGAGGCCTAATGCTAGAGGTCCTGGATTGGTTACTTTCGGGGTGAGTGATCGTTTTCTTTTATTCAAGAAATCTCTCTCCCCCTTTCTCCTCCTTACCTGACTTTCCGATTACATTCGGTTGTGTCATCGCTTCTTTCCTCTTCATTTTGAGCTTCCAATGTGTAAATGTTACTAGTTTGCCAAACGCTCAAGTCTCTTGACTTATTCGCTAGCTTGTTAGAAAATGATACTGCCGATTTTGTTACTTACCAAGAATTTTTGGCGATTGCAGCCTGACCGTGTCATGGAGTTTTGCACCAACAATGATCTTCAGTTGATTGTACGTGCGCACGAATGTGTGATGGACGGATTTGAGCGTTTTGCTCAAGGGCATTTGATAACGCTCTTCTCAGCTACAAATTACTGTGGTATGTTTATGGAACCGAATACTCCCTATTAAACCGGTATATCTTGATAGTTTTTAATAATATGTTACTACTCTTCTCAGCTACAAATTACTGTGGTATGTTTATGGAACCGAATACTCCCTATTAAACCGGTATATCTTGATAGTTTTTAATAAAATGTTACTACTCTTCTCAGGTACTGCAAACAATGCTGGTGCTATCTTGGTGTTGGGGAGAGATCTTGTGGTGGTTCCTAAGCTTATACATCCGTTGCCTCCAGCAATTACATCACCTGAAACTTCGCCGGAAAGACATATAGAGGACACATGGATGCAGGTTTTGTATCTCAAAACACATATTAATCTTCCTCAAAGGAAAAAGGAAATTGATGTAACTGAGCAAAGTTTGGCATTTATCTTTCAGGAGTTGAATGCCAATAGACCACCAACACCAACCAGAGGACGCCCACAAAATCCAAATGACCGCGGCTCGCTTGCTTGGATATAAACCCACCATCATAAACAAACGCCCGTGTGAGATGTGACATACATTCTCCTGAAAGCCACCTCTTGATGATGATGATCTTCATGTTGTGTACAGATCCAACCAAAACCGTTCTTGATCCACAATTATTGATTGTAAGATGATGGATTACAACGAGGTGAGAAATTGGGGAATTTCACAGGTGAAGTTTTGAAGTCAGATGATTTAAAGGGTAAAGAAATGAGGTGGAATGTTTTTCGAGGTTAGGAAGAGTAAAACCGTAAAAAGGGGTTTTGGGTCATTTATTTATTTTTGTTGTGTTTTTTTATATATTTGGTTATGTTATTCTTAGTAATTTGATTATCTGTGGCTTTGGTACACCAGTGACTAGAATTGGTGAGTAGTGAGGAAGAGAGTATTAGCTGTGTGTAACATAGAGAGAGGTGTGTAATTTTTTTTACTTTTTATTTCTATACTTTCAGTTTGTAATTTGTAGAACAGTTTGTGTGTTTGTCATGATGCAGAAAATTTCCTCCCATTGTTTCCCTTACATAAGATTCTCACTTTACCATCATTTCAAAATTCCGTCACTCTTCTCTTGCTTTACTAAGATTGGTAAAACTAGTTTGAAAAATGTAGACATTCGGTTAATTAATTAAACCAATTTACCATCAGTGGTGTAGGCATTCGGTTAATTGGTCTGGTTCGGATACGTACAAGTAATATATATATTTATATAGGTCTTACATAGTACTCCCTTTTAGGATGTTTTAGCTTTTTTCCTTGTTTCATAATATAAGATGTTTTAGATTTGTTTAAGGTACTTTTTTCAATTAATGCTAACAAATTGCAAATTTCAAGAACTATTTATTAAAAATAATTCAATTCTTGAATTTTTATTAGTTAATACTTATTAAAAGTGGTTTATGTGAGAGAAAATGCATTAAGTATTGAATAATAAATCCCTAATATATTAAAAGAGAAAACACTATAAAAATAACCTTTGTCTCATGTGGTATTAACAAAAATGCCATGCTGATGTGTCATCACTAGGTTCACTCTCAAGACATTTTTTAATTAAGACAACTTTACTAGACTATTTACATGATTTGCCATTGCATCAATTTGGTTAGAGAATAATTTATATCAATCATTTATACATATTCCAGCATTTAATCATAATGATATTATCATTCATTCCATATCTTCTCAAATATATCAAATTAATTATTTTCTTAAATACTAAACTTTTTCTCTCATTTCTTGGTTGAACTAAATTTTATAAAAATAAATAAGTTATCACATTAAGCATATACAAAAAAAAGTACATTTTTTTTACACAAACTAAAATTTGAAATTTTAAAAACAGATATCAAATACTAAAATTATGAAAATAATAAATATATTACCAAAGTCCCACATTGGAAATAGAAATATGTGATAGTTCAAAAGACTGTTATAAAAAGAACCAAAATGATAATAAACCATCAGCATGGAAGTTTAATTTAATAATCATCCAATTTTATCAGTATATTTGGTTTCATATGATTTTTTAAATATAACTATATAATGAACCAAAAAATATTATATTATTATAAATATTTCACAAAAAGTTGAAAATATTTATATAAGATATTAAAATATTTGAAATAGTTTAACTTGGTTAAAAAGTTAAATATTTTAAATATTTTCTATCACAAATTTGAATATTATAAAATTTCAACTTATCTTATGAAATACATGAAGTATAATTTTTTTTCAAGAATAATGTTTTTTTTTTCAGTTTTTTTAACTATCTTATTATATTGTAATTGTTTGAGTTTTATGTATCTCATTTGAGTTTATCATATTTAATCTGCAGTCAAGATTTTAATTTGTAACAAGATAAGAAACAAAAAAGTCTGTGGCAAAAAAAATTGAGATAATTAATTTTATTTTTTAATAAAAATATAAACACATTTTTTAATCAAATACATATGCTGTTATCAAAAAGAAAAATATTAATTTAGAAACTGTCATCCCGTGCTGGGCACGGGTCAAACTCTAGTATTTCTTAATTTGTGTGAAATCTCTAAAACATCATAAACAGAGGGAGTATTAATTAGGGTTTTCAAAAGAGAGAGACTAGAGAGAAAGAAGATGCTGAAAGTGCCCCGCCGTGAGATCATGGCCGGAGAAAGATCCTTTGATATCAACATCCCTCTGGATATAACAGAGGAGATACTCAAGAAACTTCCAGCAAAATCTATCGCGAGGTTTCGATGCGTATCTAAGGGATGGGAAAGTATGATTATCGTAGACTCGATCGTGACTCGGTCTCTGACTCAACCACCGCGTGATCCACACTTCCTCTTCGTTGAAGATAGTTTAATAAAACCTGTCGAGAGGTACATGTTTCATATGGACATGTCCTATAAGAAGACATATGTGAGGTTATCCGCCTTTTATGCTTACCCTCATCAAATCAAAAACAAAGAACAACAGATCATATACCACGGAGACATATTTGGAGATTGCACAAGCTCTGAAAGAAATTTTGCATACGTACGTGGCTTGATCGGGTGGTGCTCACCACCTTACGGTAAGTTCAAAATACACAACCCTACCACGAACCAATCTGTTTCCTTACCTAGTACGGAATATGGTTCCTTGCGCAAGACGCAACCTGTTTTCTACTTATTTGGGTATGATCCTTGGGGGGATGAGTACAAAGTCGTGTGCCTAACAAAACATAAGACGTTTTGTCAAGTTTTCACACTGGGTAATCAGAAGAAGCTTTGGACGACTATACTATGCGGTATCGAACTTCACTTTCCATTCGGAGATCCGGTTTGCATCAACGGGGTAGTCTATTACAAAGCAAATTTAGAGAAACAGGGTTTTGTTTTGGTGAGTTTCGATGTTAGGTCCGAGAAGTTTTATCTTGTTCAGGCTCCAGAAAAAGAACAAGTAGATCAGCTTCCAGATTTTACTCTTGTAAACTACCAGGGGAAGTTGGGATGTATATCTCGTAACAAACTCAACGGAAATGATGTGGATATGTGGGTTATGGAGAATGATGAGAAACAAGAGTGGTCAAAGGTAACATTTGTGGCCATGCTTCAAGATTTACCAAAACATATCACATTTGAGGGTGTCACTCATCCTGGTGGGGAAATCATTTTACTCCATCAAATTGATCGTAAGAAGTTGACTCTGGATGTTTATTATTATGATCCAAAACAGAATAGTCGTAGAAGAGTTGAAATCCAAACTACTATAACTTCGTCAGAAAGAATAAGTCTTACTGGATTTTTTATAGTCTCGACTGTCACCGATCATGTTGAGAATATTATGCGTTTGTAGTTTGTTGAGCTGGTTAAGAACTTGGGCCAATATATTACCCTTTTTATTTACTATTATTATGGTTATTTTTTTATGACTAAAACACGAGGATCTTGTTGGGGATTTAAATGTTATGTAATTTTTACAAGTTTTAACTTCGTGATTCCGTCGAGTATATATGATTCTTAGTTTTAACAAATACATATAGCTATCATTGATCAAAACAAGAAACACACATATAGTATCAAATAAACTCATATTTATTACAATATTTTGCTATATATTATAGCAATAAATTATACTGATGTTGTAGCTCCAAAGGAGTAAAATATAAGATACACTTAAGTAAATCGTTAGGAAAAATAAAAGCACATTACTTTTTTTTCCATTTAAGTACCAACCCCGGTGGTTTCCAGTAATTTTTTGTAAACCAAATCCCGTCAACTCTGGCAATCCATGAACGTAACTGACCACATCGTTTAGACTTTGTATGATATGCCTCAAGATCGTAATAAAACTCCAGGTTTTTCCCGTGGCTAAGAACACAAGACCATCGTGTTTCATCTGGCCACTTATGATCTGTGAAAGGAATGATATATGGGTTTTCATTGTATTTCAGTTGGTAAGATTTCCTTCGGCCATCTCCCATTCCGCGGCACTGAATGTCTAGAATACTACCAGGAGTAAGTTGATTATGAAATACTATGTGAGTTTGCTTGCAAGAATCACTTAGCCCAAAATACATAGCAGAAATTAACGCAAAAGCTAAAAGAATATTCATCTTTTAGATCTATGATACTTTTGGAGTGATGAAGCTAGACATCAACATGTAGTATTTATAACATTTTGTGTGGTCAATATTTTACCTAGATTATATTTTTATTATATAAAGAAATATATTTTCCAAGATTTAATAATTATCTATTTATAGTTTAGCTAAATTTAAACACAATAACAAACTTATGAAACATCTGGTCGGAGGTGAGTTTAGTTTTTAAAGGTACGGTTGACCACTAAAATCAAACCAAATGCAGAAACATTACATGCCATAAAAGCGAAATAGAACCAAAACGAAAAGTTACAAATCATACATATAAAAAGAATTGTTCCATTACCCTGGCCTATTGGTCCACTTGGCAATTCATTTTTATAAGAAATCATTAAATTAAATAATCCTATGTAATCTCCAGTTCAACAATATTTAAACCAAAATTTTCTTATAATTCAAATATTTGAGTTTGACATGGTAACTAAAAAGAATTAACTCATTTAATTCATTGCTTTCAGTTAAACTAGGATAGTACCTGTGCTATTACACGAGCTCAATATTAATCGTTAATGGTTTATAAGCATATGTATGTGTTTTTGTTTTGAACATAAGGATTTACATATTTCCAGTAGTAAAGCTTGTGATCCACGTAAACCATGTGATAACAAGTAGAAGTTTTAGGGATTTGTTTCCACAAGTTATCATCACCTTTCTTGGAATAAACCACACACCATCCTATAATTCCCCATAGAACTATATAATCTTTCGTTTTCTCATCAATCCAAAACACAGGTGGTCGTAGATGAAGAATACCTCTGTCTAAGACTTGCTCCATCTTTGTCATTCCAAGCTGTAACTCTATGAGAGGATAAAAATGATGTGGCAAGCTGATGTGGAGAGACCAATAAACAATAGTCTCTAGGAGACCAATAAACAATAGTCTTCTAGTATTAGGGCGGATATTAACCAGCTGATGAGATTGTAAATTAGACCCTCTTTCTCGTGCTCAGACTAACACTCCTTCTACAGTTTCACTTCTAACGTCCTGGTTTACTATCTTCCAGCCATAGGCGTTTTATGTAGGTTAATTTATGCCTTCTTTTTTTGTATCACTGTTTGTGATAATGCAATTGTAAACTGTTATGAAAGAACTGTAAACCCGAGGGGGTGATATCTTTTTATATAAAATGGAAGTTAACTAAAAAAAAAAAAAAAAGAAAGAAAAATAGTCTCTAGGAGACACCGTCTCTCACCGTCATGTGTCATGACTTAATTGGGTCAGTCTTTTTTTTTTGTTGATTTTTTTTTTTAATTTTTGTCTCCATAACATTTTTTTAATTAATAAAAAAAAATTAAAGAACTCATAGGTAAGTTGTGCGATATGGATGTTCTAACTAATTAGTCAGCAAGTAAACATGAACCTCAAACGAATATAACGTGGATGCTCTAACTAGTTAGTCACCAAGTAAACATGAACCTCAAACGAATATAACCAGACAAAAGCAAGTAAAACTGTTCAAAACTTCCAACTGCTAAAATTTATCGAGTAAGTAATTCTCATGTTCTACTTGATTTTTACAGTTAACTATGGAAATTCGAGAAGTTTCTTGTACCAACCTCAATTTCACCATAATAGCATACATTGGATTAAGTATCCAGTTTGGGGCGTCCCCCGAATGAGAAAAAATATGGATCTGGCGATTTATCAATTTACATAAAGAAAGGTAAATCTTCACACTCATATTCTCATTTTCTTTCATTAGCCCGTAATTAACTCAAAATGTTACAGGAGAGGTGGTACTCGAACTTGAGTATGCGGATACTTCAATAACGGGTTTCCTTAGCAAAGATGATACATAATGTACAACAATTGATTTACTTTAGTTTGATTAATTTTATGCGTTTTTGTCTTCAGGAATTCACAGAAGCTACTGGCGAAGGTAAGAGAAAAATACTTCAATATCTTAAGAAAAGTATTGACTAGTCGACAAACATTGTTGAGGTTTAACATAATCTATGCGTGAAACGTGGTGAGAACCATCGACCTCTAGAGAATGGTATAGAAGAAGAATCAAATTCGTGAAGCAGCTCCGTCTTCCGTGTCTTGAGATCAAATAGAAAGAGTTCATGTGTGTTTTTATGACTAGAGCTGAAATAGATTGAATCTCTAACCAATCCATCAACGTCATTGGCGAGCACAGTGATGCCTTGATCAAAAAGCATTACCTCGTCTCCCAAAGAATCAATCACTTTTTTTTTCTTCGGCAATCTTGGTGGAGAAACCTTGTAAACCTTGAAAAACCAGGTTTCCGACCTCTTCTTCAAGAACTTCTCAACCATGAGGACTTCTCCTGTTACCCTGACTACAATTTTTGTCGCATAAAGGATATTCCGGAGACGAGTTTCGAATCTTTCCACAGGAAGAGAACTAACAAAGATTTCTTGTGGAAATCCACCAGAGAAATCGAAGATACAGAAACCACCACATTCGGTTAAGAAGTAAAGCTTGTGATCCACGTAAACCATGTGATAACAAGATGAGGTTTTAGGGATTTGTTTCCACAAGTTATCATCACCTTTCTTGGAATAAACCACCCAATAGCCTATAATTCCCCATAGAACTATATAATCTTTGGTTTCCTCATCAATCCAAAACACAGGTGATCGTAGATGCATACCTCTGTCTATGACTTTCTTTATCTTTGTCATTCCAAGCTGTGACTCCATGAGGGGTAGTTTATGATCTCGTGGGTAAAGAGATTCACAATGTAGAGAATATTCGGATACACTCGCATAAGGAGCCAACTTCCATAGTTTGCAATACAATTTGTCTCTGACAACAATTCAACACCAAGATCTTGAGTTTTGTAAAGTTTGTCTTTCTCCTCGGGATTGAACAACGTGCAAGAATTTGTTGTTGTCTTTGGGGAAGAGGATAAGCCAAGGGATCTGGTTTTTGGGGACTGATTGTTTTGAAGCCGAGTGCCAAGACGAACATACGGATTTAGCACGTTGGAAATTGGCAAAGCTTAGGCTTTCGAATACCAAATTCAAGAGATCTTGAGGGAGCTCCGACCAGGATTTGGGTGTATGAGAATTAGGGTTATGCTTTTCCTCTATCTCCATGGCAAAAACTGAGAGTTCTTTTTGTTGTTATGAAAAAATCGATTGAATTGTTTTCTCATACATTCAGAAGTTCCGTATTTATAGCTTGTTGATGTTAAAAAAATGATTGTGAATGTGATTTGATGTAATCATGATGATTACAAAAACATGATTACATCAGATTGGCCCATACTAGATTATAAGAGATGACAATTACAAATATTAAAAAGAAAGTTGTATGCAAAATATAGAGAAAAGCATTGATTTATTTTCGGGCTATGAAAATGTTCTCCAATGCCGAAAAAGTTGTATGTAAATTCAACTTATATTACCATGCATTCGACAAATATTTAATCAAATATTTTTATTAATAATACACACAACCAGCATAACTTGGATCATTAAGAACTATTTGACTGGTATTTTTGGAATCGCACGTCTCTTTGACGCGATGGTGAGTCCAATAGTATTGGTTTATCACATACGATGCATGGCTATGCACAGTATTTGGCTCAAAGCAGGCTCCACCAGATTCGATTGGTTTGCAGTTAACTTTTGGTACTTGCTGGCAAATCCAATCAATTTTAGCTTGTAACACTGCATCTGACGCCCCCGGAGCTGCCACACACCATTGAATGTGCGAGAGGGTTCTTAGAGTTGAGTTTGCAACAGGAGAGCGGTTGATCACAGCAACAAGTAGAAGGAGGAAAAGGAGCCTCAATGGTGAAAACATTTTGGTAGTTCTTTGTAAATGATTACTCAAATGATAGGTGAGGACTGAGGAGGTAATCTTTCAATATATATATATATATATATATATATATATTAAATATAGTACTTATTCAATTACTATTTTACCTAAATATGAAGAAAACAATTTATGGCATGAATCTGCCTTAAAAAGTCATATTAAATGTTGGGATTCTTTGGGAAGTAAAATAATAATGGGATTAACATTTCTATAAGTCAAAATCTGATGATTCTGATCGAATAACATTTCTATAAACATGTACCATTGTGTTAGTTACTGAATTAGTTTTGAATATTAAAATTTATATATTAATGGTATAAAATCATAACTGAAGGAAAAGTGAGGATATTTGGAGTAGTTAAATTAGAAAATAATGAAATTAAGTTCTCTTTTTTTCTTCCTTGATAAAGAACTATGTACAAAGCTAACTTCTGAAATATAAAGTTTTTTTATTAAATATATACTAATCTGTAAAATTTAAAACTATGAAGATTAAAATTGCATCAATAAAAGATATTAATTAACAGTTAAATACATGACATAACTTTATATCCATTTAAGGAAAAAATTGACTGTAGGATGAGAACAAATCTTATTTGACTTGAATAAATGACAAAATTGTAAATAACATTTATACACACAAACAGAAATAAAACGGAAGATGGATCTCATCTCCTTTTACATCCATCTGTCAAGGATTACATCTTAACCATCTTGATTACCATCCCTATTAATTTTGACTATAGAAAAAAGCAAGACCATATACTATATCTACTTTCTTAAGCTAATATAAGTATTGTTATCTACATTTTCTCAAACTCTATATTACACAGATCGTTCAAGGGCCAAGGCTATACACAAAATAAACATAGACAACAATCACTCACTATATATCATCTCCATTAAGATCTAATCCATGATTTGGTAGGTTGAAGAGGGGTATATTCCGGAGATATCGGTTCCATGACTTGTCGACACAAACTGAATGTTGTTGAAGGTTTGGTCGCAAGAATATGGCAGGCCAAGAGAAAGAGAGACGGCGTTTCCAGTCATTGTGTGATAGTTTTCGAACCCTCCATTGAAATGGATTAAGTTAGCTTGATTCACGTGTTGCTTCCTGAACGTCACTGTGCTGTAACTTGAAGATGAGGTTTGCGTAGGGAGTTCATTTTCAATGAATCCTTGATGAAAAGCGGGTAAGATCAAGTTTGAAGATTCATCTGAAATTGTATTATTGTAAAGTTGCTTAGAAGATGAACCTTTGTTTCTGTGTTCAGTGAGGTCAACTCCTCTTCTGCTTTCTTCAATATTCATTTCTTCCCTATACATCTCCTCCACCATTGGCTTCCACACTCGAACTCGAGCATTTATGAACCAATTTGACACCTACATTTACCCAAAATTTTATAAATTATCTTCTTTTTTTTCTTCTAAATATTTCATTTGAGAATTGTACAATAAAAAAGTTATAGCCTATTTCATCTACATATATATATATACTGATCCAGCTGTTTTTTTCTAAGAAAAACTAATAGATTGGTCACAACAATAAAATCATATTTTTCTTAGACAGAAATTTTTGGTCAGAATAAATTTTGCTAGAAAATAATATGTTTGGTTTATCTGTTAAATTTGTTTATTCCTGGGAGCCTTTTTTGAAATATATTGTAATGAATAATTGTATATTGTATTTCGTCTGTCAGCAATCTAGCATAAACAGACAAAAGTATGTCAAGCTTTTGGAAAAAAACAAAAAAAAACGAAGAAATCAGTTAGTAGTTAATTATACAATGATTCAAAAAAAGTTACTAAAAACTAATCTTGTTATTTTACAAAATCTCTAGAGTTGAATTCAACTATATTCCAAAAATTGGGGTATTTCTGAAGTATTTTCAATTGTATTGGAGTAATGAAACTTACTTGGCTCTTAGTAAGGCCAGTCTGTTTGGCAAGCATTTCCTTATCCAAATCCCTTGGATAACTATACAAACCAAAACATGACACAACTATTTAATGAGAATGCACTTTTACACAAAATGATCCTTCAATAACCTTTATTCAGTTTCACCTTTTTCAATGTCCCATTATGTTGTTGCAATATGCATGTGAATCGACACAATAAGTGAAGATAGAGGTCAATAATGCTTACGGATGAAGAAAATGTTGAAAGAGCCAAGCCCGCAGAGCAGAAACAGCTGTCTCCGGCAAACCTCGTTGCGGTCTCCAAGCATTTGAATAGTGCATCTTCCCCAACTGCTTAAGCTGCTCGTCAACTAACCTTACTCCTTCACATTCTTTTTCACCCAACAGCTTGTTTATGTGTTTGATTTGCAAACATATCACGTCTTTTACAGCACGAAACTGTTTTGATATCGTTTGTAACGCCATGTTTGTGTATGAGTTTGCTGATCCGAAACCTGCGGCTTGCTCAAACGATGAGATTGTAGCATGCATTTGGTCGTGGTATTGCTTGTATCTCTGTTCAACCTGTGTAAATTTACAAAATTCATTTCTCAAATAAACTACCAAACTTTAAAACTTTACTTATTAAAATGTTACTTAGTATTTGATTTTTTTTTGTCTTTGCTTACAAAACATTACGTATGTATTTTTCCTTCTTTTTTCCGTGTTACTTTCTAATATTCTCTTTCTTTTATTTTAACTTTTTAAGTAGTCTTTAAGGATTTTATACACTTGTTAAGATAAACATAAAGCAAAATAAGAAATTTATATTTATAACAAACCAACATGTATTGGTTATGAGTTACCTTTTCCTTCATGGACATGAGCTTTTCTTTCTTAATCTGCAATTCTTGCCGACAAGCAGCCACATCGGGTTTACGGCCACCGTTGATGTCCCCAAAACTATTATACAATCCATAAATCTCCGACCCCTTATTCATATGTTGCTCTTGTTTGGCGCCACGGATACCGTTTCCAACACTGACCATCCCATCGAGCAATTCTTGAGCAGCTTTCAAGTAGGTCGGAGCCAAAACCCTGATGCTTTGCGTTACTCCTCCGTTTGAAACCGTGGAGATCGAAGAGTTCCCTTGTTCGATATGATCAACTTCATCTAATTTGCTCACTCGCGGTCCATGTTGTTGGGACGCGACGCACAAGTTGTACAAGTGATGGTTGTGAGCATTAATGGTCGTTGTCGGGAAAGAGAACGGATTCATGTTCATCATTAAAAGATCGGAAGTGGTTTCTCTCATTTCAGTTTCTCCATTGAAGAAAGCAGCCATTATATTGTTGTATAACACAATCTACATATATATGTTTATTAGGAGGGGGAAAAAGCAACTATTCTGAAAATAATAAAATACGGCCTCCACAAAACCTAGAACTGAAGAACAATTTCAAGTTATAATATAAAGAGATCTGACATTATCTAGTTTTGCTTGAAGAAAACGCTAAGAGCATACGAATGAGAGAGAAAAAAAAAACAATAAGCAGAGATGATGATGGCACATAGGTAAACAATTAATTTACCTTTTTTATTATTAGAAATTATGAGCTGCGATTTATAGGTGTGAGTTTTCCATTGTACTCTGCTTCAATGATCTGTCAACTAAAAAGTCCAAGAGCGATTTATAATATGAGGACATAGAAACATTTTTGCCTAGTAAATCGCTTTTATATATGAACTATGATTGGACTTTTCAGAAATGGGAAATGTATAGTTTCTTCTTTTAAATGATTGGACAACTAAACAGTGACACTCACGATTATTTTTCTTGTACTGTTTTGAATTTCAATGGTTATTGACTAATCAATAATCCTGTATAGTTTATCTTACAAGTTACAACGATGATTTTATCCATCATAGATGACATATATGCAGGGCATGTTATCTAAACTTGCATTAGGCATAAATCACACCCAATATCCAGTTATATATATATAAAAGACAAATTCGTATATAATAGTTATTTATATATGTCTTATACCAATAAGAATCTGATTGGTATAGCATTTTAGAGAGGTTTAAGCTTTTAGTTATTTTATCATATTTATTACAAATAAAATGAAGTAAATAAATAAAGAAAGAAAGACATTTGACAGTCCAAATGATCCTCACTTTTGTTAGGAGTAGGCAAATATTTCGTCCAGTCTCATGAAGGATTATTTGGGGTTCCCTTTTACTTTTACATAACAACTAAATGGTTCAACATGCTCTTTGGTTAATTATTTTACATGAGTATATTTATGTGTCTTTAAAAAGCCGAATATCTATTCGAAACTTTTATAACTGTAAATTAATACATCGTGACATAATTTTACCTCCAGAAAATCACACTTGTATCATTTTCATTCGTTTTGCCATAGCACATATGTATGGCAAGTGAAATAAGATTATAAAAATGGTATTACTTATCATGTGATGTACGCACGTTTAATATATGGCAGCGCATACATATGATCCCTAGCTACATGAATAACTTAGTATTTTTATGTCAACATTTATTGATAGTTATATAATACGTTTGTTCCTAAAATCTACAATGAATCTATGTATATGTCAATATGTGTGTAGTTAAATGTATATGAAAAGAAAAGATAATAGAAGTGGGTCAGCAGAACCATGGAGATAGTTGAAGAACGAGGAAACGTCTACTTCCACTCGACACATCAAAAGTCTTGCTTTATTTTTCTTATAATAAAACAAAATATAAATATAAATAACCAGTTAGTTTGTGACAAGTCACTCTTTTTTTTCCTTCATTTTGTCAACCAAAAGAAATAAGGTTTCTTTGCGAGGAAATTTGTAGAAATATTACCAAAATTTTGTGTATTTTGAAACCCATGAGTTTTGGGAAATAGTTTAAGTTTTTGAGAGAAATGCAATTTGTGTAGCTATCGATCCAAACACAGATCACACATGAACATGTTCAATTCATAAACAGACATTATTTCCCTTACAAATATAATGGATATGATTGGTTATATAAGAGATAGCATTGCGGTAAGGAATTACAAACGGTAGCGGTCCTAAACAAGACTACAAAAAGCACTTAAATGCGTAAAGATAGATAAAGTGGTAAAAGATGATTTAATAAAAAAGAAAAAAAAAGTGACAAAATTTGATTATTATACTGTAAAAGATAAACGATTCATCATGATTTTTAATATTTTGGTTAAATATTATTTTCGTAATTTCTGTTTTTCTTGATAATTGTCAATAAGTTGACCAGAACAAATACCTACTTTCTAGCCGCCATGTCTCAAAACTTACGATAGAAATAAAAAGGAATTCATGCTCGTAGAATTTTTTTGTATTGGGAACTCTACTCTCGTAGACCTTTTAAACTTCCCATCACACAAAGAATGAACGAAATAAAATTCGAAGACCAATACATTATACATATCTGAAGTTCTAATTTGGTACGTTTATGGAATATGGTTAAAGTCGTTATGGACGTGATTATAATAAATATAGCTAGAAAAATGTTGAGCTCAACAATTCTCTCCAATTAAATGTGAGATTACGTATGTGGTTAGGTATATCGTGATTGTGGATGGGACCCTACCGTGTCGGTCGGGTCCGAGTTGGGCACATTCATCGCCTGTTCAGTTGATAAGTATAATGCGTTATTACTATTTGCATGCATGGTTCTGTGTCAGATTCCTATTCGTGGGCTAAAGTAAATAAAGTTAAATTATTTTAGAAAAAAAAAAGAAAAAAAAAAAGACAATGTACCGCAAGCTTTCGGTACGAAGTGAATGTTTAAACCGAAACCAAATCAGATTTTCACAAAGATAAAACTAGTGTAATTTACCGTAAACTTGTTTTTTTGCAATAACTTGAAAAGTTCTTAAACCCAACCAACCAAAACAAAAAAAAAAACTTGAAAAGTTCAGGCCTCTGACTTACAATTAACTGTAGAACTAACGTTTGACAATATTTTTGGCTGATCACAAGATATAGCACTAAAACTTGTGATTTGATATCACTTAGCAAAAATATTGTGAATATGACTTCGAGATTCCACTAAGGTACTGAAAAAGCGAGGCTAGCATGAATTAACTTAAAGCCGTGTCGGACTCAAAGATTGACAAGTATAATCTCTACTTTGGAAAAACCATCATAACTGATTAATCATTATCATTAATATAACACAAGGATTGGGTTATAAAGCAAATTAAAGAGTAACCATTAAAGGCCATTAGAGAGACATAAAATATCAAGTAAAAAGAAGTAGGTCTCAAAACTCAAAAGTAGTCATCTCGTCTGAACTGCATTATCATGCAACTGCTAATCTTAGATGGCCATTATGGAAACAATTCATTACTTTGTCATTTTGTAAGAACCTTTTTGCTTATTGGCGTATTGTTATCAAATGATGTTTGATGTTTGATGTTTAATAGATTGAACATATTTATAAGAATGTTCAGTTTATTGATCAACAATAGTACCAAAATGATCCCGATTTGGTAAGAGTATGGGCTCCAGAATAAGTTAACGGGCCTCGCCTAGCCCAACCCTCAAGGCAAAATAGTCAATATAACACATTTCGGGTTAGGGTATAGGACAGACGGGTGGTCTTAAAGCCCAAAACCATACAAGTTCTTGTAACCTGATCTCAATTCCACGAGGACATTTATTAGAAAAACTTTTATCATATGAAGCGACATTACATTACATTAGACTCTAGGCTGTCTATTTAGTCAGAATCATCATTCGTCTATTACCTTTTGCAAAGAGTCAATATTGTCAAGCGTATGGTATTATTAACTCTATTTAGTGGATACTCTGTGCGACTTCCTCGCATTTTTCTGTACACTTTGGTGTATGTATATACATTTTCACATACAAGAAAAAAAAACAGAAAACAATACTTTGCATATACAACGATCCTCTTTTTGGTTTTGTCAATGTCACCTTTTGGACATTAAGATTTCGTTATTTCTGCATAAACACAAATACCGAGTATAACGATTATCTAACGAACCTTAAACAAGAATTAACTGTCGAGAGATATCTCTATATGTTTTTTTTTTGGTTAATCAATATCTTTATGTGTTAAACAAAGATGATCGCTTTTATTTGGTCAGTTGAGATGATATCCTGATTTTAAATTATTCTAAAATTTGGTTAGTCTAGGTACATTTCTCTCCAAAGATTTAGTCAGACTTAGTCTAGGTACGTTTCTCTCGTACAAAATAAACAGCATATACTATGTACATACATACATAGATGTTTTATGTTTTATGCTTAAGTTTAAGGGAAATTGCACTACATATACATCAATAGTTCTGAAATTAAATGGCTGTTTCTGACAACTTTTTTAGTCCACTGTTCATATGGCTGAAGACAATAAAACCCCTATTAAAATCACAACAATCTTGCTAACAATTAGTCTTAAATCTCTCTAACAAATATTATATCCCTCTGCTAATAAGTTGTTAGTTACTTTGCTAACAAAAAATACGTCATCTCGCTAACAAATACCATATTATTTGCTAACAAACATCACATTATCTTGTTAACATAGATTATGTTACCTTGTTAACAAAAATCATGATAAATTGTTTACATTTTGTTGTTAACGAATTTGTTAGCAAGTAATGATTTAAATGTTAACGTATAATGGTTTGAATGTTAGCGTATAATAATTTGAATGTTAACATGATTTCACTAATTTGGTTAATAGATAATGTTAGCAAAAAATGATTAGATGTTAGCACATAATTGTTTAAATGTTATATCATTTGTTTGTATTTGTTATCACGAAATCTTACAATCTATTATATGATATCACTTTTAATGTTTTATCTTATAGGGTAAATATGTATGATTTTACTATATGTATTTGTATTGATCTAATTAACAACTATTATAGTGATATATTTAATTGTCAGATTATCTATGTATATTGCCTAAATTTACCCTAAGTTTAACTAGTTAGCATTTAGTGTGGCATCAAAGGGAGAATCTTAATCTGCTGACTCCTCATTCCTCAGTACTCATGTAAGAAAGTGGGACAATTACTGACATGGCAGCGACCAGAGAAAAAAATAAAGCCGAAATAATAAAATGGCAGTTAGCATTTCTTTGAAATGTCATTTTTTGATAAAATCTTTGAAAATTAAATTGTAAAAGGTGCAAGAAAATAATCGAGATACAGGAAAACGTGAATAGTTGTTGCAGTGAGCAATTTCGAAATTAACTAGACGTTTTTCTTCATTGTAAACTATAGTTTAGTAGATATTTGGTAAATGATGCATAAATTTGATTTAGCTGATGAATTCTTAGGCAAATTTAAAAAATGTTAGCTAATTTATATAAAAATTCTATTTTACAATTTTTACAGGATATTCAACATTTTTTTGTATTACCATTTTAACATTTTTCTCTTCTTTTCCTCTCCCGATCTGTATAAAAAATGTATTTGTGTTTAGAAAATTTGAAAATGCATGTGTTTGAAGCGTTGAAAAGTATTCAAACAATTCATGATTTATTGTTTTCTCCTCGCATCTATATCTTGAACATCCAGTGACACAATTTATATCGATGAAATCTAACTACATGTAATTGTGAGGTCATCTACATAATATGATACTAGTAGTTACCAAATAAGATGTTTTAACTTTGACTGGCCTTTTAATTTCCACGAGAAACTCTATAAAGTATAAACACAAGATGGTAGTCCATTAACCAGATCATATTTAGATTCCGTAAAATTGGAAGAAGAAAAAAAACTCGTGCTTTCGACTTATTCAAATTGTAATTCTCCAAGGTCATACGATTAATGAACAAAAACATTATCATAAGAAAACAATAGCGAAGATAATGTTAGAAAACTCAATCGATCATTCAAATATCGAACCGTTCAAAAACATAGATGGAAGAAGAAGAAGAGAAAATGAGGATTGAATTTGAAAAAATGAAACAAAGCAAAGCCTCTCAATCTCTCATCATTCTTCATTATTCGCACTCTATTACCCTCTATGCCCTACCACTCTACCCACGTGTCATTCTTCTTCTCTCCAACCCTCCAACATCCTCATTCGATAATTGCTATACATGTCGGTATATTTTATCATTTCTCTATTTTATGTTTTCACAAATTATCACTTCTGTGTTCTTTTATATAAGAACGTGAATATTTCATTTTTAGAATAATAGAAATAACCAATCGTTTAGTTGTTCTTTGATACTATAAAAAATTGTAAATGGCATTTTCGTAAATCTGGTGTTTATTTATCTTTTAAGTTTTAACATCTACTTTTATTTTTGAAAAGTAAAATAAATATGCTTTAGAAAATGTTAAGTTATTTTGTCTAATAACATTATTATTTTATATGACATGATGTACTTTCAAAAATGTGCGACAAAATATACCTACTTATTTAGAAAAATACTACCACGTTTTCTTTCCCATTTTTGATTGCATCTGGTTATCTACCAAATAAGTGCACTGTGTTCACTTGACAAAACAGAGAAGAGAACTAAATATACTCAACTGAAGTCTTAATTGGATGTGAAAAATGTGGACTATTTTCTAGTTATGAAAAAAAAAAGGATATATTCTTTCAAACAGTATAACATTACTGATAATTTGAATAAATGTTATAATGATTTATTTAGAGAATGTAATTGAGAGCATAGAATGTAGTTTGGGCCTGTATAGACTTAGGGGTCTCTCTGAGTGTAAAAAGGCACTGCCACTTCTGTGAATACGCAGAGAGGGAATAGCAAATTGTCACCGGTGACGTCATCAAGACAGCAACAACCACTAATTCTTTCTCGGGCGGTTTACGAGACACCTAAGCAGTAAACATTTTTCTTTTCTTTAATTTTGCTGTTGTTGTGTTTTTTCCCCAAATTTTTCATTTCTTTTTAATGCTAAGTAACAAATTATTTTCGGTTTTTGTTTTCCACTCGAAAGTTGCAACCTACCACAAAATATTTACTGTATTACCACCTATCGTTATGTACATCCAAGTAAATAGGGATATACAATTTAACTATAGAAATAGTACTTTCTTTAAATAGGTATTGTGACAATAAGATTTTTAATTGTTTTCTATACCTAAGCATTTTTTCAACTAAGAAAATATTATGTTTGTGAGAGAGTCTTTTAGTTTAAAAAACCAATTTTAGAAAGACTCTTTCTATAATAAGTTTTATTTTTGACAATAAAATAAGCATTTTAAAAAACTGTCGATTTTCACAATACTATTATAAAAAAGTGCCTATCTTTAATCTCAATAGGGATATGTCCATATTCATCTTTTCTTTTGTAGAGACTAGAGACTAGATAGCAAATGTGTCATTGACCAAGATAGTATAATTCGTTTTACAATACGAAACACTGACAAAAAGTATTATCAACATTACGAAAGCTAACAGTTTGAGTGTTCGTCTATTTGCTTTCATTCGACCATGGCAGAGAATAGTACCATATAAATGCTGCTATTGATAAATATGTATTTAATGCAAAGACTTGGCTATCATTGAGAACTTGCTAATATACTTCGAATTAGCTCAGAAGTCAGAACAAATTTGATTTCGTGTGGGTTGGTCACCGTAAATCAACTACCGAAAGAAGGATCGAATTTAAAAGCATATGGACTATATTAAAATCGTTTTCATGGATCAAACGATTACGAGGGAGTTTAAATAGACTTAAAGCACGAGCGTAAAGCTTTTTTTTTTGTTGTTGTTGTTGTTATTGCTCTACTAATATTTTCTTCTGGTGAGAACAGGGGACGATGGATGGATAAACTAAGAAGTGTAAACTTGACTCAACTAAAATCAGAGTTTTACCCTTAAATAATTAAGGTAAGAAAATAAATATAGTTAAAACCTACTTACTATATGGTAAAACAGTGTGGCTTATTAGGCAAATAATGTGTATAATTATGATTACTACTAAAATTATTGTCAGAATCATTTATCTAGTTAGCACATCTCTTATATCTACATTGAACAAATTAAAGTACCTGTAAAAAGCTTGAATTTCAGCTGCATAAAATAAGAAGACGATTGTTCTTATGAAGATTCATGTTTTATTAGAGTTGTTGATCTAAGCTTCATGAACAGTAGTTAAAACTTGATTAGTGTCGAACTAAAGTGTTTAAACGCACACAATTTGACTATACAAAGTCTTTGTAAAAAACGTTCAATGATTTGTATAAAAAAGTTTCGTACGGTTTGAATAACAGAAAAATTCTCTTCCAAATCCTCTTTGATTATATTATATACAAATTACACCCTAAATTACGAAAATGTTTTAAATATTTTGGGAACGTCTTTTAATTTCTCCGAGGGTACACTTTTTCCTTTATCTCTTTTGTTTTTTTCTAAAAACAAACTTTTAGGATATTACCTTACAAAAATATAAAAAATGAAAAATAAATTATTCGTCTACCACCATCGGAAACGGACAAAAGACTTCGACTACCCCACTCAGTGGCACAATCCCGTAATTTCCACTAAAACATTATACCCTTTCTCGAATTCATCGTCTTCTTTGTTTTTAATAAGACAGTACCTTTTGCCCCATTTTCATATTTTTTTTTCCTCCACAGAAGAGTAAGAGAAAAAGAGCAATAAAGCCTCAGAAAAAGAGAGAAAACAAGCTCCATTGATTTCTTATTTCTAAATTTCTGATTATTCTGAAGCTGTATCAATGGCTGGAATTACTGGAATCTTAAAGCTCGAAGCTTGGAGTATATTGTGAAGAAGAAGAAGAAAAAAACCATTTTTCTCTACCTTTTTTTTTTCTGGGTTTGATTTTTTTTTTCCCCTATCTTTTCTTACCGGAAAATGGCATATCGGAGTATGATCGCTAGTAGCTTAGATCCTGAGAGGAAACAAAGTGGAGGACTTAGAACAAAACAAGCTGGAAGAGGATCTTGCCGTGGAAGTTAGTCTTTGTTCAATCCATTTTCAAATCTCCTTAAAAGAATGTAATAATGGGTCTTTTCTGGGTTCCTTGAGATTCCTCAAAAGTTATGTTTTTTAAGCTAAAGTTTTGATTTTTCCCTTCTCTTGTGCAGTTTGAAATTGCAGTGAAGATCGTTCTTAGTCGAAGCTGAGAGAAAGAGAGAGAGAGAGAAACCACAGAGAGAAGCTATGGGAGTTTTGCTAAGAGAAGCGTTGAGGTCTATGTGTGTTAACAATCAATGGTCTTATGCTGTTTTCTGGAAAATCGGTTGTCAAAATTCAAGGTACTAAAAATTTCATTTTTCTTGCTTAGATCTTTCAATGTTTGAATGAACTTTAATATTTAGTCAAATCAGTTTTAGTGAATACTCAGATCTCGAGGAAGACTAGAGAATTATTTATCTCTGTTTCCCCTGTTTTATCTTGGAGTTTTGTGTTTGGTTTGATCTTGTTTGTCTAAAAGAATCTTTCGATTTGCTGTTGTTTCTCTACAAAAAAATTAAAACCCTATCCTTTTCTTTCCTCTCTTTGTTTAATGAATTGTCCCAAATAGTTTCAAGTTCTCAACTTTGTCCTCTTCCTTCTCTCTCTCTTTAGCCTGAAGATCTTTTTTCTAATAGTAACTAAATTGGCTTCTTCTGATACTCAAAAATTGTTTGTGCAGCTTGTTGATTTGGGAGGAATGTTACAACGAAACAGCATCATCATCGTCCTCACTTCCTAGACGAATCTCAGAACTTGGCATTGATACACAAGGGAATGAGAAAGTTCAGTTGCTTACAAACAGAATGATGTTGAACAATCGAATCATTCTTGTTGGCGAAGGGTAATGTCTTCTTTTCTTTCTGTCCCTTAAAGTGTCAAGCTTTGATATGTCCACGTCACTAATTTTATGAACTGGAATTTCAGGTTAGTCGGCCGAGCTGCATTCACCGGACACCATCAATGGATTCTTGCAAACAGTTTCAACCGAGACGTTCATCCTCCTGAGGTTATCAATGAGATGCTTCTCCAGTTCTCTGCTGGTATTCAGGTTTGATGATACTTAAGTCTCTTTTGAGTAAACATGAATGTGTTCAAGCTCCTTAGAATAGCTTTTGAGATTTGCTTTCTTCCAGACGGTTGCGGTGTTTCCGGTTGTTCCTCACGGTGTTGTTCAGCTCGGTTCTTCTCTGCCTGTAAGTTTCTTTTGCTCTAACATATTGTTCTTGGCGTGTAATTAGGTTTTTTGATATGGTTCTTGATTTCATGTTTGATGTTCAGATTATGGAGAATTTGGGGTTTGTGAATGACGTGAAAGCTCTAATCTTGCAACTTGGATGTGTCCCTGGAGCGCTCTTATCTGAAAGCTACAGAACATATGAGCCTGCAGCTGACTTTATCGGAGTGCCTGTGTCTCGGATGATGCCATCTCAAGGACACAAGATCCTCCAGTCTTCTGCTGCTTTCGTAGCTGAAACCAGCAGCAGCAAACCACATTTCATCTCTTCCGGACCATCAGATCAAATGCTTGAAGAAGCTTCTTGCAATCTTGCTGTGGATGAAGCAAATCTTGGAGATAGACAGCAAGAAGGATGGCAAAACGCAACAGGGTTTCTTGCAGCAGCGCCTTCTCCGAATCCTGATGCGTGGCTGAATCAAAACTTCTCTTCTTGCATGTCTAATATGGAGCAGCAACAACAACAACTACAATGTGAAGACACCACAAGCTCCAAACGCTCGCTTGGAAGCGGAGACGACTTGTTCGATATGTTGGGATTGGATGATAAGAACAGAAGCTGTGAGAACAGTTGGGGAGTTTCTGAGATGAGAAGGGAGTTATCTGACTTCAGGATCATTCAAGATTCTGATTTCGGTTCTTCTTCGAGGTATGAACTCTCCGGGACAGATCATCTCTTAGACGCGGTGGTCTCTGGTGCTTGCTCCTCAACAAAGCAGATCTCAGATGATACAACGTCAGAGTCTTGCAAAACCACTATGACCAAAGTTAGTAACTCTTCCGTTACCACGCCGTCTCACAGTAGCCCTCAAGGCAGTCAGTTATATGAGAAGAAACAAGGGACTCAGGTTGTTGGGCCGTCGCAGGTTTATGGCTCTCAGATCAGTTCTTGGGTTGAACAAGCGCATAGCTTGAAGCGTGAGGGGAGTCCAAGAACAATGATCAAGAATGAGACAGCGAAACCGGTTAATAACCGTAAAAGGCTTAAACCGGGAGAGAATCCAAGACCAAGGCCTAAAGATCGTCAGATGATTCAAGACCGTGTCAAGGAGCTGCGTGAAATCATACCAAACGGTGCTAAAGTAAGCGACCACAATCTTGGTTTATAGTCAGTTTAAAGTTAAACAATCTGTTTTTACTAATGGTAAATGTGGTTCTTTGGTTTTAACAGTGTAGCATAGATGCACTTCTTGAACGTACAATCAAGCACATGCTCTTCTTGCAAAACGTCTCCAAACATTCTGATAAGCTGAAACAAACCGGTGAATCCAAGGTAAACGCTAGTAACCAAATCTTGACGTCTTCTGATAGGTTCTTGCTGTTGAGTTTCTGACATTTCAGCTTTCTTGTGTTGTTACAAGATCTTGAAAGAAGAAGGTGCGTTTGAAGGAGGAGCAACATGGGCTTTCGAAGTCGGATCAAAGTCTCTTGTGTGTCCAATTGTCGTTGAAGATCTTAACCCTCCTCGCATTTTCCAAGTTGAGGTAACAACACATCACTTGCCTCTCCTATAAAACCAAATCCATTTTCTTTCTTGTTCTTAAGCTCTCTCTTGTAACAGATGTTATGCGAACAACGAGGCTTCTTTCTTGAGATTGCTGATTGGATTCGAAGCTTAGGATTAACGATCTTGAAAGGCGTCATTGAGACAAGAATAGACAAGATTTGGGCTCGCTTCACCGTTGAGGTAGTTTTACAAGTTGAAAATTTGGTTTCTTTGTGGAAGTTTGATTTCAAGAACATGTTTTAGCTCACCAAAATTTGGATTTTAGGCAAATCGAGATTCGACGAGGATGGAGATATTCATGCAACTGGTGAATATATTGGAGCAGACGATGAAATCTGGAGGAAGCTCAAAGAGTATTTTGGATGGTGTCAAAGCTACAATGCCCATTGCCAACAACACCTTACCGGTTACTGGTGGCTGTTCAATGTAATACCGTACCGGAGTTAAACCGGATTCTTATAGAGGTTACGAGCGGACCGGCTCCAAGATTTTAGGCTCGCTATGACTAACTTTTAAAGTCAGTTTGAAAACAGAGAATGATCATTTTTATGTTTTTCTTTTTTAACTTTTTTGTTTGTACATTTTGCTTATTTTTTGGGATTTTGCGAATTTTAGTTATGTATTGAAGGAATCTCATTTGTGTGGATTTTTTCGTTTTACTTTTGTTCTGTAGAGTATGATCAAATTCCTCTTGTTTTGGACTATAAAAAATTTAGCTAATTGTTTTAAGTATTCTCCACAAGACCACAAGTAATTAGCTAAAACTTGCAAAGTTTCGTCTTGTTTTGGACTCTGTAAATTTTGGTTAATTTCGTCTCCACCGGTAACTAGCTAAACTTTTTGCATATACCGGTTTAAGTGTTCAAACAATTTCACGACTTTCAAGACATGAAAAGAGAACCGGTCCATCAACAGCTTTAACAGTACACAAAACATCACATGTATTTTGTACCGTTATGTTACTTTGATTAGTAACTCTATGTATATTATTAGCATATTATTAAAAGAAAAAACAGAGGCTCTACTTTCAATAAAATTCAATCGTTAATTAACAATTGTGAGGCTGAGAAAAAAAAAAGAGTTGTATACTATAAACTTATAATACTTTAATTAATAGCCTTAGAAAGTGCGTTCATGTGAATTTCAAACACGGATTTGCTGATGGATGTCTTAATCCATTCCTAAACTCTTATGTTCATACGCATTTGTGGATCAAACAAATTCAAAACTAGTCCTAAGCTAAGCTCAAATACAATAAATATTGTGTGTTTGTTATTGTACAAGTATGTTTTTGCTTTCTGCTTTTACCCTTTTGAGGTACCTAAACTTTGCTGCAAAAGGTTGTGTATGAACTATTTTGCTCTTGCTTTTTAGCCTTCTCTCCACTCTACAGATTATGATGGGATAATCGACAGGACATTATGATTCACAATTTTTCATTATTATTTCTTGGGCCCTTCAATTTCTTCCTTACTTTTAAAATATGCTTCCAATAACTTTATCTACAGACTTACTAGGCTAAAGATGTATATTCTTTATTATACAGTAGTTCTTTTTCAGTTGGTAAAAGTTAACCACCAATTGTATACTATCTGATTTATAGGGAAATGAATATATAGCAACAAATTCAAGAAAAAAAGCAAATTATATGACAAGATTTGTCTAGCTTGGGAATGTTTTAAAATGAACCAGTTTGCCATTTGTCTTTTCATTTGATATGTTTTAGTTATTTTAGAAATTTCCAGCCTGAGATTTCGAGCTGCGGTTTCCCTTTGATAAGATATGATTTATTTTGTTTGGTTGTAAAAGAAAAACTAAACATCTCATGCTATCTAATTTAAATATTTCTTACGCGGAAAAACTAAAGCTACATATCTAGTGTCTATAATCGGAAACTTCTACCAGAATTATGAAAGATGTATGATTCACAAATGTTTATATATGTCTACTTAAATATGTATATCTTTATCATATGTGGTCTGTTTGTTTAGATATCATTTTTGGTCAAATATATATCGCATTACCACACATTGTTTTCGGATGCACATGCATGCATGTACGTTGTGTTCAGATGTTGCATTTTTTTCTTTCTTTCTTATGAATATCTACCAAAACATCTTCACATTCCCTCCTGGCCTCTTGTCGCACCACTTACTAAAAATTGATAAAAAAAACATTAACATATTAATATTTGTTGAAACGAAATTAGTGGTTTACAAGATTCCGTCAAAGGATATGTCTCCAAGTTGCACGTCAATGAATCTAACTATAGTACCTCAAAATATGTAAAACAATATGGTGGATGTGGACAATATAAATAAATGATCTGGCTATGAACATCATCTAAAATGAATTTCTGTTTTCAAGGTTTTTGAAAGAATGAACTACTCAGAAACGACTTTGTAACCCAAAAAAAAAAAAAACTAAGAAAGGGTTATCTAAGATTTCAAGTGATGACAAAAACAAGAAATGAAATTATAAGTCTTTGAACTTTTCTGGAATAATAAACAGTTATCAAACAAGGATATGGATCCTTGAAAGATATATGCAAAATATATGTTCAATCAATAAAATTAATGTGGATCATGAAGTTTGGACAGTAATATCGATATAAATTGTTGAATGAATGATATGAATCTAAATGCTCTGAAAATTATATTTGTTCACGATTGAGAAGGTGCATGTAATGCCTCAAACTATGAATTTTTTTATTCATTGAGTAAACTTAATCATTTGATTGATCTAGTTTAATTTGGGTACGTACGGTACATAGAACAAGAAGTCAATAAACAAGCGTTTTAGCCTGAAGTAAGTTTAAGATAGAAGAGAACTACAACGTGACTTTTAACACGTGAGAGAAACCAACATACGGAAAATAACTTAGTGTAATTCAAAAAGCCCTTTTCAACAAGTCTTCTAATTTTTTGGAACACGCTGAGAAAGTTGGAGCCAGTGCATGTCACACTGAAAACGTTACAACAAGAGATAGAATTCTACTTAAACTGTTGAAAAACAATTAAGAACAAAAAAAACTAAATCTTAGCGAAAAATGTGGAAGAAAAGCATACCATGTCCCTAGTTCAGTTTTCTTTGTCATACGGGTTTGGTAAATAATTTAAACATTTGGAGGATTAAAAAATCACCGGAATCACGATGAAATGCATTTCGAGTGTGTTTATTTATTCATTGAGATATAAACTCAAACTATAGGAAAAATATAAAATAAAATTCAGGATTAGAGTGTTTGATTTTATAGGGCGAAACTAATCAAGAGGAAGAAAACTGATTCTACACAAGTGGAGATTGATTCCTTGTTACTTGTTATTAGTGACTGAGTGAGTGCGGTGACTCAGCTCTTGCATTTTCCTTGTCAGCCTATCGCGCACTTCTTAACAATTGAAGTACAAAAGTAACAAAACCATCAAATCACGAAACCAAGTTAAAAAAAGTCCATGAGACTTTAGCTAATAATGAAATATTTTCTTACTTACACAAACTATAATTTGTTAGAAAGGATGAAATCTCTTCTAATCTACGAATTATAATAATTTTTTTTTTTATATAAACCTAGTCTGAAGATGTGGTTGACCATCGATTAAAATAAATAAATAACAAAAGGTGGTTTAATAAGAAACAGCATAGAAACTGCATGCATCTTAGTTCTTAGGACAACTTGTGGTTCTGTATCCCATTATCACATATCAAATAGTTTTCATAAGAAGTTGGGTAAGTACTCATAAGTATAATTTTGGATGTGGCTACTTGTCCTTTTTGTGTTTTTTTTTCAAAAGACAACTCATCTAGTACTTTACTACAGTCGTAATCCATATAGAGTTTAAGTATTTGTGGTCTCCTATTAAGATTTTTAGTGGTCATCCTATCTGCGATCTCTAATTTTTCTTTTTCTTGTATAGCATATAATTTGATATGAAGAAAGTTTATGAGGGCTTGTTTCACTAAGCTGAATTCCAAATTTAAGTTGTTTAGGATGTGGTTTTTTTTTAAGGATGATCGCACCTTTTTTTTTTAGAATTACTTTTTGATATATATAGAGTAGAGGGCTGCAAGTTGAGCTAATCCAGTGAGGCCAAGTCCAACTTGAATCAAGTAGAGAGGCTTCAAATTAACCTTAACAATTATCCATATCCCTGCTCGTAAAACATCTAAACATTTGTTATGACAAAATGTTTTTCTTTTCTTTTGATACTTCGCCAAGATATAGATATATATACGCTTTTTGTGTGCGTCCATACGTAACATAACATATAGATGCAAATGCTCAAATACTATTTGTTTGACGGAATAAAAAAGGGATCCCATAAGAAAAAAATTATATATATATATATATATATATATATATATATATATATATATATATATATATTTTTTGTTTTGTTTTGAGTGATGTAAAATTATATCCAATCAAAAGCCATTGTTACATCAAGTGCTTCATATTCATAGTTTGAGCTCAGATATTTAAAGAGTAATATATATTAAAGAGTTGGTTATGTGATCATTCTGATGCACGCACCAAACGGTTCAAACATATTACTGCATTAATAGGCTCCTGGTTCTAACATGCAGGGATTATGAATCACTAATGAACATAAAGTTTTAGGGATTTCTTATGTCTACATGTGACGTAAGATGTAGTTTCAATATATTAAGAGACACACAAAAAGCCAAGAAATCCTTGTGGCTAATCCTAACAACGAAGCTGAGAACCCTAATTAACCTTAGAAAGATGGAGTATTCGCGTGGAAAAAACTCATCAGTAATAACTACACGTACATGGCTACATCAGTTATGTCTGTACGATACTTTACTAATACACAAGTGGTACATGATCTCAAATAGATTAATGTATTCTTTTACAAGAATTAAAAGTATGATTAAGCCCTATTTCTAAATTTATTTCGATGTATATACATGAAATTTTCTACTTGAAAACGCATAACAAAATGATAAGTTTATAACATGGAACAAATTCTAATAGTTACGACTATCCATCAATTTATTTTCCTAAGTAGACACCTTGTTAGGCTTGCAACAACTTCTGAGTAATAGAAGTGTATTTGGTGACCAGAAATATTCATATGTTATTCCATCGCACGTTCAACTTTAGAAGATATTTATTTTTCTGCTTTGTCAAAATCTTTTTAATCAAAATTCAAAATAGCATGCATATTATGTTATTTTTTTTGTTTTAATCATCATGCAGTTTCGTTTTGGGTTAATTAGTGAAATAGAAACAAAATGAGATAGGATAAGATAAATGTCAGGTCACTTATTCATTTAGATAACTAGCTATGGGAGGAAGCAAGTAATATGTGACGTAGCGGAAGCTTCTAGAGATAGAACTAGAGATCCGTTGATTCCGCAGAATACCGGATAACTAGGGTTTGAGAGTCCTCCTCTCAAGGCTTTCGCAAAAGCTCTTGTTTGTGAATACTCTTCACAGTGGTTTATCAAAACCTCTTCAGGAAATTTCCTTTTATTAAATCATCAAAGTCTGAATTACAATATGAAGCTTAGACGGCTATATATAAGAAAACCTCAAAAACCCTAAAGCCATAAATAATAATAAATGAAAATAATACTTATTTATCTAAATACAAAAAATATAGATATTTAAGATATTTGGAGATATTCCAAATATCACGCTGCATCAGGTCTCGCCGGCCAAGAAAGATTCGTCCTCGAATCTTCAACTGTGTTCTTGGCACCAAATCAATCTTCCTAGATCCATCCTTGCAATCAAACTTCTTTGAAGGAATAAAAATCTGCTCTAGATCTGCATGAACCGGATTTTGCGCAGTTTTTCTAAAGCCATCATGCTTGAACACAAAATCAATATGATCAATGTTCAAAACATCATCATCACCATAAGTATCATAGATGGGATCACCACAGATTTCTCTGTAGATCTCAAAGATTCGTCCTCGAATCTTCAACCGTGTTCTTGGCACCAAATCAATCTTCCTAGATCCATCCTTGCAATCAAACTTCTTTGAAGTAATAAAAATCTGCTCTAGATCTGCATGAACCGGATTTTGCGCAGTTTTCCTAAAGCCATCATGCTTGAACACAAAATCAATATGATCAATGTTCAAAACATCATCATCACCATAAGTATCATAGATGGGATCACCACAGATTTCTCTGTAGATCTCATCATCTTCATAAACATCATAAATCGGATCGCCATAGATCTCTCGATAGATCTCATGACTCTCTTCTCTCTCGACAAAAGGACTTTCGTCCTCGAAAGTATAGATACTGTCACTCACCATGACATCCAGAATCGATCTCTGATTGAGAAATCAAAGAAACCTGGCTCTGATACCAACTGACGTAGCGGAAGCTTCTAGGGATAGAACTAGAGATCCGTTGATTCCGCAGAATACCGGATAACTAGGGTTTGAGAGTCCTCCTCTCAGGGCTTTCGCAAAAGTTCTTGTTTGTGAATACTCTTCACAGTGGTTTATCAAAACCTCTTCAGGAAATCTCCTTTTATTAAATCATCAAAGTCTGAATTACAATATGAAGTTTAGACGGCTATATATAAGAAAACCTTAAAAACCCTAAAAGCCATAAATAATAATAAATAGAAATAATACTTATTTATCTAAATACAAAAAATATAGATATTTAAGATATTTGGAGATATTCCAAATATCACGCTGCATCAATATGTCCCTATTTATGTTCCCTATTTTCTAAGGTAAAATTGAAAGCTCGAGTACTGGAATATTAATACTTGAAAAGTATACCCATGATAATTTTTTGATAAGTTATATACAAAAGCAATCATATATTCATAATTTACAATAAGCTGTCCATCAGATTTTCCCTTTTTCATTCTCCTTCTATAAATATACGCTTGGTCATCGACATAACATGTGATAAGCCACAAACACAAACACCTCTTCTCTCAACTATCTCTCTCTGTGCAACTGATAACAAATCGATAAATATGGAAAAATTGCGAGAGATTGTAAGAGAAGGGAGAAGAGTGGCAAAAGAAGACCCAAGGAGAGTAGTTCACTCGTTTAAAGTGGGTTTGGTTCTTGCATTAGTCTCTTCCTTCTATTATTACCAACCTCTCTACGACAATTTCGGTGTCAATGCAATGTGGGCCGTTATGACCGTTGTTGTCGTCTTCGAATTCTCTGTTGGTCCGTTCTCTTGTTCTATATCCTAAGATCTCTAGTATCATATACTTATCATTAATTATCTTCAACATCCTTGAACTCAAGTCTTGGTTTCCGATGATTACTAAGCATTATTGCATTCATGCCATGCAATACATATGACAAGAAACAAAGTTTTGAAAACAGCATGATCACTTGTTACCCCTACATATTTCATTATTTAGTTACAATAAATTTATATGGCGCATATATGTAGGTGCCACACTTGGGAAAGGATTTAATAGAATAGCGGCAACACTATTTGCCGGGGGACTTGGAATTGGAGCTCATCACCTTGCGAGTTTGTCAGGTCGAACAGGAGAACCTATTCTTCTCGCAATATTTGTCTTTCTACAAGGTATATATACACCAATGAAATCTTACATATATAGCCATATATAATAAACACTTCTTTTTCTTTTTCTTGCGTTTGCATGTTATAATACAAACGCTTTACTTTATAATGAATGTAAAACGTTTACATGTAAAAATGCAAAACTTAGTGTTTGAAAGAATCACAACCTATATCATGATTTGATCAGTAGTTCAGTACAAGTATTAATATTCCCTTTTTGGTTGGGTTCTTCAGCTGCTCTGTCGACGTTTGTGAGGTTCTTCCCGCGGGTGAAGGCGAGATACGATTACAGTCTGTTGATATTCATACTCACCTTTGCGTTAATATCAGTGTCGGGGTTCAGAGAGCATCAGGTTGTAGTGCTGACCCATAAAAGAATCTCTACTGTGATCATCGGAGGTCTCAGTTGTGTCCTTGTCTCCATATTTGTCTGCCCTGTGTGGGCCGGCCAAGATCTCCATTCTCTCCTCGCATCCAATGTTGAGAAACTCTCCTTCTATTTGTTAGGTATATATATATATATATATATATATATATATATATATATATATATATATATATATATATCCATTTATTCTATTTTCTTGATTTAACCATATAACTTCTTTTAGGTTAGCTTGATACTTTAGATCCTTGCTTGGTTCTTTGCACTTGGTCACGACTCACGAGTCTTTGTCGTGGGAAAAGTTTCAAATTATCGTACTCGGTTTCTTGTGTTTGTGGGTGACTAATAAGAATATGTTAGAGATTGATCTTTTTATTAAAAAAAGAAAAAGACTATGTTTTAGAAATTTATTTTCTTGTTAAACTAATTGATAAGAACTACAAGTATATAACTATAACTCTTGAAAGCCTTTTCTGAAAAAAAAACTATAACTTTAAAACTTTAACATAAAACATGTAAAACGTATTAGTGTCGTCATCTAAATTTATAACGAATTGTCGATAAATGTTTTGTACTAGTTTTTTTGTACAAATGTTGATATGGTGTCGTTATCTAAATTTACATTAGATAACAAACGTGCGTGAGTGGTAGATAATAAAAAAATATATATATACACCAAAGTTAATTTTTGACTTGTTACCATATATATAGCAGTTTTGTTTTTTCATAAATCTATACCATGAGATGAAATGTTCATTCTCATTATCAAGATTAATAAAATTTGGCGATTGGCAGATTTTGGGGACAAGTATTGTGAAATGGTAGAAGATGGTGACACCAAAGAGGTTGACAAACGAAAAAAGGATTTTGGCAACTACAAAAGTGTTCTCAACTCAAAAAGTAATGAGGAATCTTTGGTGAGTGGTTAACTGATTTTCCTTTGCTTTATTTTCACCACTATATCTCTCATTTTATAACAAACTCATCATTATGTTTGTCGTTTTCTTAAATAGGCCAATTTTGCGAAATGGGAACCTGGTCACGGCCACTTCAGATTCCGACACCCTTGGAAACAATATCTAGCTATCGGTGAATTAGTCCGACAATGTGCTTACCGAATTGATGCTCTTAATTCATATCTTATTGCAGATATTCAGGTATTGTTTTCACTACATCTTAGTAACATTGAAACTAAAAAAATCAATCTTCTTTACAAAAAACAAATAAGTGATGATTCTTTACAAAACAGAAAGCCAATTTTGTTGAATGTTTTCAGAAATAAATATCGGTTTTAGAAAATTTGAATAAATGTGTTCTTTTAAGATTGTAATCAAACCATAATTTGTTTTAAACCGATTCGTTTTAATGACTAGGGAACACAAAAATCGAACCAAAACCGAAATTGAATGTATCAAAACCAAATCGAACAAACCAAAATGTTTGATCATTTTAAAGTAATTTTGACCAAAATGTACAACATAAATTAAAGTAAATTAAAGGGCCCGTTGTATTGTTATATTTTAAAGTGATTTTGACTAAGATCGGACACAGAATTCAAATGAATAACATTTTCAGTTTTATTGCCTTGGTTATCAGAACTGACATTTTTTGGTTATTTCTTTATAAATTTTCAGGTGTCAATTGATATAAAAAAGAAAGTAGAAGAACCGTTGAGAAGAATTAGCTTGGAATCAGGCAAAGCGATGAAAGAAATGTCAATTTCGTTAAAGAAAATGATCAAACCATCTTCTTCCGACCTTCATGTCCAAAACGCACAATCTGCCTGCAAAACCCTCACCAGCTTACTTAATTCAGGGATCTTCAAAGAAGCTGAGCCACTAGAACTAATCTCACTTCTGACGGCAATCTCCTTGCTCACTGATATTATTAATCTGACCGAGAAAATCTTGGAATCTCTACATGAACTAGCGTCAGCTGCAAAATTTAAGAACAAGATCGAGACGCCTGTTTTCGCCGAGAAGCCAAATGCCAAAAGCATTGTTTGTGGCCGGCCGACCAAATGTCATGATGATCATGTGATCACAATTGTTCATGATGATGGTAAAAATGATGATACATCAAAAAAAGATAATCTGTCGAAAGAGTTTACCATCCATGAGAAACATGAAGATGGTGTCACACATGTACATTCAAGCTGTGAGTCCTGTGGTCACACTAGTCTTCGTGTCGTTGTAGAACGTAGCTAATGATAGTCTTACGTACAAGAATTCATAATAATTTTTTATTTTTATTGTTATTACTAGTACTACATGTAACCTCCGCGAAATCGCAGAGAAATGAATCATTCTTCTTAATTTATGAAAAAAATAATCAATATTTCATAACTACATTATCTATTAGGATTCGGAAATTAAAACACTGCATTTTGTTTACATTATTTTTTACTACATTTTATAATGTTCTCTTTACGGGTTTTGATCATTTGGCTTTCAAACAAAGCATTATCCATTCATGTGCCAACATATTCTGAAATAACCTCTAACTTGATCACCTTGGTCACAGCTGCCGCTCATACTCTTAACTACAATATCTTGTTGTTGAAGCTAAGCTTTTAAGTATACTATGGGCTGTCGAGAGCCTTAAGAGTTAAGAACATAGGTCAGTATTGTGTGCTCCTAGAATCTGTCTCTCGGCAAGCTGTTGGTCTACTCACTAAACAGTCTGTCTTGCCAGTGTTACGTCATTTACTCAGTGTTACTCGAGACTCGAGACCGACTCTAGCTACTTATCGAATATCTGGAATGTAGTTCTTGATCTTAGCTGAAGCTGCCATTTTGGGGATCCTCATGAACTCTGTTTTCTTCATTCTTATCTTATTGCTCTGTTTTTTTAGCGGTTGTGGTTTGTAAGTTGTAACCGTTACATATTGATGGGCCAATTGGTGGACACTCTTATCAATAAAGAATCATTTGTGTTCAAGAAAAAGAAGAAAAATACCAATTTAATCAACGAAAGAGAAGTTGATTAATGAAACCAAATGCTCAAAAATTGAAAGAGTTTTGTGTTAAGCATAGTGACAATAATAGTCTCAATACTAACTACAACACCATTGATCAGAATGGTAGAGGGAGATGATGATTCAAGATTTCGACAATAAAATAGTCTTAACATTTAACACAAATGATTCTTGAATCTTTATTACATTGCCATGTCTATTTTGAATATATTCTGTACGTATTTTCTTATAGCATTTTATAGTAAATAAACATACATATTTTTCACACTTTATTCTTTTAATGTAACTCTTTTCTTTTGATATAACTTTTTTTCTTTTCTAATCCGATTTGAAAGTATGTTATTACGTAAAAGATCTTTTATGATGCCAACATGCACTTTTGGGATACCATCGGAGGAAAGAGGTAGATTTAACAATCTCTAGCCTCTGATATTTCTAGCAATTATAAGAACATATGCTTTTGATAACAAGATACTTTCTTTTTGTACTCCGAATTAATAAGAAGCACCTGAATATAAATGACAGGAGAAAATACGCTTGAGAAAATTTGAATAAACCTTTTGAAGAGATACGGAAAGTTAACGGATAAGCCGTAAGCCTTCTTTGACGTGGGAAATGTGGTGACGTGAGCGAAATCGCCAGTGTCACATCTCAAGTGTCAGTCGTCTCTTTACTCTTTTATAACAATAATATCGTATCATATTAGATTTGGTATCATTAAGGATAATAATTACCTCTAGGTTTCTTATTACGCCATCACCAGTTATAATTTTTTCTTCATTTTATTAAATAAATTTCTTGATAGAATATGTGTAATGTGTGTCGTTTTGATACTCCTCAACAATCGTAGCCTCCGATAGAAATAGTGACTACAAATGGTTATCTTTGACACTGACACTGCTTTTCACAGCTCTCTATGCCGATTCTATTTATCCTTCCAACCACATAATCAATTCATCATCATCATTGCTGGTAATTACTACTATCATGTCCATTAACTAGTTGCATTGACAATCGTGAAAGTATTATTAATACATTCCCCAACGCCACATTGCCTTGGAGAAATCTTTAGTTTTATGTTTGTACGTTAAGACCATAATTTTAACTGATACACTATGATAGAAAGAAATGTAATGCTAAAGTAACCTTCATTTTAAACCTCTTCTCTTAGAAAATCATGAGAGATATATGGGAAACCAAAAGTAGTTCTTATCTTACATTCACTACCATGAAACAAACATAGCAAACGAGATTGAATACACCAAAAAGGAAATCTCTCAAGATAAAACCGATTAAACAGAAAGAGTTAATTTACAATACGGAACTAAACAAAGCCAAAAAAAAAGAAAAGAAGAAGATTCAAGGGAGATGAGAGTCGGTCCTTGGCTGTCTTGGTGGGTTCACATGATGGTGCAAAGGGTCAGGTCCTGAAGGAACAGTCCTTAGCTCTTCATTTAGCCCTAAAACCTTCTCCTTCTTCACCATCATCATCTGCCAAATTATAAACACCGCTTATTATGTATCGTATTGACACATGAACACCTTATATATAGATATTACGAGTATTTATAACAACACATTTATAGGTCATAGAAACTAAAGCAATAAAACAGTATGTCCAAAGGCTAATGTACAAGTTGAAGCAAACCTTGCGAGTGGGAATTACATCAAGGTGAGCATGAGCGTGAGAGATATCTGCTGAGATAGCAAACCATTCACATTATAAGTAGATTATAATTTTTTGTCAAAAACAAATAACAAAATATGTAGAAAACATCATCGCTGTAAGAATCCGTGAACATGAGTGCCTATATATAAATAGAAGAGAGACTGACCAGAAGCATCATGGAGGAGAATGAGGGAGAAGAGAAGTAGTAGCACCAGACTTTTCGAATTCATTTTGTAGATAAAGAGCGAATTCATTCTGTAGATAAAGAGAGATAAAGAAGATAGAAAATGTTATGAACTGTGGTAATGAGATATGAGAAGGGGACAATCCAATTTATAGAGTGAGACTACAAGGAGGAGGGAGTTAGGTTATTCTAGTAAATATTCTTTTCTTTATTGGTTCTATTTTTTGTCAAAGTTCTTTATTGGTTATTATATATAAACGTTAATCGTAGAAAAAAGTACTTGGTTGCTTTTGATAGTATGCAAATCTATATAGTACGGCAATGATCAATAGTAGCCTCGATGGGCATAGAAAAAGAATTTTTTTTGACGTCAAGAAAAAACATGACGTGGTAAAACATACTTATATAAATGTTACGTTGTTAAACAACAACAAAAAGTTGTTTGGAATATCCAAACCATCTACACTAAATTCTCCTTCAAAAATTAGTATGATTTTTCTACCGGTTCCTGAAACGACGATCCTATAAGAATAACTTTAATTTTATCGAGTATCAAATCAATGCCAAATCTGTTTGCTGGCAAAAGGATTAATTACTGGACAAGAGAAAGAATAAATGTGCCTTGACGGCGCCGTATCGAGGGTACCATCGGCTGATGTCATGTGGCAGAGGATGATACCTGGAGGCTGGAGTCGTTTTCACACGTATCAACCTGATGACGTTAGATCGCAGCCGTCCGATCAAATAATTTTTGAGTAATTTTCTTTTTCTCTAACTTATAAGTAATGTTTTACATTTACAATGTAATTTTATTTTTTGACCAATTACAATTTTCATTTTTTTTTCATAATTGGTTGAATAGTTTTTTACTGGAAAATCAATGATATAGAAAAAAATTAAAAAACTATTGTAATTATTTTTCTTAATCTGTATGTACAAACTTCAAAAATCACTAGAAAGTGAAACAGAGGAGTTCAAGTTTTATATCCCTAGACGTATATCAATTGCCATTTACTTTGTTTTCTTTTTCTCCCTTAACAAATTGACTCTAGTTTTTAAATAATGATAAATATTATTTGGACTTAAATGGTAATGGTGATCCAGATCCCTGCAACCATATATTGAGGTTCAATTTGCTTAATCAACATAACCATCCAACCATCCAGCCATCAATGACTTTGTTTTTAGTGAGAATCGGACTCAATTTAGAAGAGTACTTTTCCAAGACAATTCGTTACTAGACCACACATATTTGTATCAAATTATCTCTGGATCCCTGATTCATTTTATTGAATTAATCCATCACAATCTCTTATTTGAATTTAGTAAATTATTACATCAGAACTCCCAAAGCTGGGAGCAGAAAGATTATCAACTAGATTTTCAGTTAAAACACATTTGTATTTATGTCTTTTTCTTGCCAACAATATAAAAGATATGTCGCTGTCTACATGTTGTCGATTCGTTACCGATCTTGTGATATCAAGAAAGATGAAACAGCCTGTAAAAATGCATTGAGAAGAAGAGAGTAGAAACAAGAAAAGATGAGTGTAACGTTAAGCGACAAGAGACTGATTGAAGAAGTCACAAAGGGTCAATTCTGAGTTTCTTTTATATCCCTTACGTTCATTGGTTCTTAAATAACCTACTTGAGTTGAGAGCTACATACAAAAAGGAATATATAAAAAAGGGTAAGATTCTGCAGTAGATATTAATTAATTTGGTAACTAAAACCAAATATTAGAAGAAAAACAACCATGCAATGCAAAATCAAATCTTTTGACTTCTTTCGACTGCCATATGGATCATCTTTTCTTTATTTAGATTCTTCCTTCATGCCTCATGGTATTAGTTATGATGACCCACTTGGATCCGTTTTATATATTTGTAATTGTAAATTTTGAAAAGACAGCAAAGATCTCTTTAGGTCGGGGATGGTTCCGGTCATTTTTTGGGGGAGTTTAGGGTAAAATCGATAGAGACATTTAGGATCCATGTAAAAACGAGGTAAATTTAGGTTTATTTATATCTGTTAAATTTTAGTATGATTTTGGGCTTTTCCTTTATTTTCTTAGGCCCAAATTTCATAAAAGGCTATCAAGATATACATGTTGAAGGTATGGAACAAATGTTTTTGCAGTCTTTTCGTCGCCATGGGTTTTCATGAACTTTAGATTATATGTCTAATGGCATGCGTAGAATATGTCACACTGTGACTTTTTCGGTTCTTATTAATTGTCGGCGTCATTGGTTTGATAAGATCAGAACAAAGTTCACGAAAGAGAGATCATCTTTCTCCTTTCCTTTTTGTTTTATGCACATAAACTTTTATTCATTATCTAGAGGAAGAACCAGCTCGATGGACTCCATGCAAATAATGGTAATGTCACTTGTTTGTTTTTGGTGTGCAGATAACTTCTTCACTTTGAAGACGAACAAGGACCAATGTTACGTTTTTGAATCTTAGATTGTTTAAATCGATATGAAAAAACTTAATTAGGACAGGTTCTCAACCTACAATAAATCCTCAAGTATTTTTGGATCCAAGGTCAAAGATACAATAGATTATAATTTGATTTCAACATAAATTTCATTGTATCCTTGACCTTGGACAATTCCCGGACAGGATCCCTAGACTGGTTGAGCTGGGACAAACTATGCTTAATTAAGGCAAAAGAGGGCTTGGAGTTTTGAGCATATCAAATGTATTAATCAAAGTCTTATTGGCAAAGCAAACATGCAAGGTGCTACAGTATTTTCTAGATTATTCAAAAGTCAAATATTTCAATAGCACTAGTGTTCTTCAAACAGCTTTGGACTCTCGCCATTACTATGCTTGGAAAAGGTATTCTTCATGGAATAAAAGTGTCTTTAAGATTGTTAAAAAAGCGTGATTAAGATTGAAGAATCATATCGTTCTTATGTATCCTAAGGGTTTATTCTACTTAATAATTCAGATCCTTATTTGTTTATCAAAAAAAAAAAAAAAATCAGATCCTTATTTGAGAAAAAGCGGCTAGATATGAACTTTTTTATTTTAGGTTGTTAATCTTATTTTGACTCAATTATTTTTGAATATTGGTGGTTTTAAAAATATAAAATAAAATGATATGATAAAAAGACATACTTTGAAATTTTAGTGAATTATTTAAAATAAAATAAAATGAGAACATTTAAAAAATAAACTTACCGGTTACAAGTTCGTTGGTTTGACGCGTATTTTGGATCGAGCAGATTCCTCTTTTGAAGTTTGTTGTTATTCTCATCAAGGCTTGTTTCCGTTGTTAACTCCGTTTTTTTGTTTTGTGTTTTTAGTAATAGTATATTGTGAATTGTATGTTTTGGTTTTATCTTTGTAACGTCTCTTAAAACTGTAAAAAATAATATTTCATGATATCTTTAAAAAAAAGATTATTGAAATTCTCAATTACTCATACCACACATAGTTTTCAAGTTGTCATTATGTTTAAAAATGAGAATTCACCTAAACACTTAAACTTTCCATTAGTTTGACGCGTGTTTTAGATCAAGCGGATTCCTCTTTTAAAGTTTGTTTTTATTCTCATCATGGCTTGTTTCCGTTGTTAACTCCGTTCTTTATTTTGTGTTTTTACTCGTAATTTGTTGTAAATTTTAGTTTTCGATTTTTGGCTTTATCTTAGTAATGTTTCTTGAAATCGGAAACAATAATATATCTTAACATCTTAATATATCTTTGTTGTATATTCTCAATTACTCATACCTAACTAACACAGTTGTCAAGTTTGTCAATATGTTTTAAAAAGGAAATTTAAAAGTTTATGAAAATGTTAACCTTTTCTCACTTTTGTAGCGTTAAAATTTGATTCTTCCCCAACACCTAAAAATCTTTTATTTACAAATATATAATTTAACCGTGTCAGCGAAACATTAAATAAACCGCGTAAGAAAATATCCCTTCCCTTTATACCTTTTCCTTAGCAGTTCCTCTTCTTCTTCTTCTTCACTTCACCAGAAACAAATCAAAATCACTTCTTTCGAAATCCCTAAATCTCCAAAACCAAAACGATGCAGCAAGACCCGAATTCCAGACCCGCCACTGGGTATCCATACCCGTATCCTTACCCGAATCCGCCGCCACAACCCGCCGCAAACGGCTACCCTCCCAACGCCGGAACCGCCTACCCTCCTTACCAAAACCACAACCCATACTTCGCGCCGCAGCAGCCGAGCCCACGCGCCGTTCTCCTCCGCCGTCTCTTCATCGCCTTCACGGCGTTTCTCATCCTCTTAGGACTCATCCTCTTCATCTTCCTACTCGTGGCCCGTCCCCAATCGCCCGAGGTTTACATCAACTCTCTCTCCGTCTCCAATTTCAACGCCTCCAACAACCAAGTCACCGGGAAATGGGATCTCCAGCTCCGATTCCGAAACCCTAATTCCAAGATGTCGCTTTACTACGACTCTGTCTTCTGCCGTTTGTATTACAACCGTGACTCTCTCGCCGATACTCGCCTGCCGCCGTTCGATCAGGATAAGAAAGACGAGACTCCGTTCAACGCGACGCTCTCCGCCTCCGGGACTTACCTCGACGGTAAATTGGTTGATTCGATTGGGAAGGAGAGAGCCGACAAGGGAAGCGTGGAGTTTGATCTGAGGGTTGATTCTTGGGTTATTTTCCGGTATGGAGCTTTTCGTCGGAGGAGGTATGTGACGTTTTTATGTGTCGATGTGGCGGTTGGTGTTCCGGCGAGTAGTAGCTCAGGGAAGATGATTGGTTTGAGTAAGAGATGCAGAGCTTATTGATTAATGAAAAAAGAACAAATAAAGTTTGTTTTTTTTCTTCTCTCATGAACATCATAATATGAATTTGCTGATTAGGGATTTTGCAATTTTTAGGGGTTTTTATTAACCGATTCCTTTTTGTTTCTTTGGGGATGATGAAATGTAATTGGGATATGCTTTTCAATGTGGATGATGAAATGTTAATGTTGGAGAAAAAAAAAATCAGCTAATGTGTTTCAGTCGCATGATATTTTAGTTGTTGAAGATGATTGGTGAATCTGTTTCTCTCCTTACCCTGCAATAAGTATGGATTGTGTTGTATGATTGGAGATAATGAAATTTGAACAGCCTTTGGGATGATTTGGTGGTAGTAGTGAGTTCCTTGTTAAGTTTTCTTTTGGTGATTCTTTATACATGATATGTTATGATGTTGAAAGATGGGAACTTTTATAGATTGTGGCATGATTGAGTCACTTACTCTCATTAGAGAATACTGAGAATTAGTGGGTGTCATTGGTTTGGTAATTATTCATAGTATAACATGATTTTTCTCTGACTTCTGATTTTGTGGTTAGGCTATATTCTGGTTCCTGTTTCAGGTTTTGTCCTTAGTTATTCTAGTTGTGGTGATACGTTTTTTTGGGGTATGGTATCTGGATTTGCTGCTTGTTTCTGAAGGGTTGCTTTATCCTGAGAAAAGCTACTCTTGTTTTGGATTGGTGAATAAGAGAAAGCTTAGGGGATAATGTTCTGAATGGTTCTAGTTCCTTTGGTACGATTCTAGGATCACTTTTGATTTCATTTAGGATCTAACATGAAGAAAAAGAGCATAGTGATTAACTGCATAGATTTTCATTTAACATTAGAGTAGAGTAATCAAGAGAAGAGTAATTGAGAGGTCAAGAAAAATGATAATAAAAGATAGAGTAATGAACAAGGCTACACTATTGAGTAAGATATCATGTTTTGGGACTTAAAACAAGACAATAATATGTGTTGATCATGTTGGACGCCAAATCATCATATTATCATTGTTATGTATTCAACGTAGTTCAATGTTTCATGTCTCACACGCCGGAATGTTTGACACCGTCAAACCAGCTAATAGACCAATGATACACATCGGTGGCTAAACGCAGCTAATGAAAGTTCTTTAAGCCATTGTTTATCATTAACCAAATCGACATAATCAATTAATGTGTCAAAATAACCAAGCGTATGGTCCAACAGACTAACTGATTTGCTTTGCAACTCAAGTTTTAATGTTCCTTTTCCGCTCCAAGTTTCGATCCAAAGGTGATTTATCGATCCTTTTCGTGTACTTTTGTTCGGCATGTGAGTTAATTTTCTCTTTGTACGTTGGTGAAGTTCTTGGAAAACACTACAAGGAGCGCTATGTTCCGTATCTTGTAAGAAATCTATCATCTCTTCGCTGCTGGACGACATTTTCGCAAACAAAAATACCAAAATAGGTTTTTCAAAATTTCTGTGTGAACTTTTTCAGTGCGATTAGTTTTCTTCAATCAATCTTAGAAGCTATTATGTTCTTAATTTATATTTACCCATTCTCATTACTTAAATATTAGTTTTAAGTAGAAATAAGACAAGGTTTCCTGCAATACAACAACATACATAAATTATTTGCATTGGCTATGACCTATGAGGGAAATATTCGCTAATATATAAGTGTTTCATCTTTGCAAGTTTCCCTAATAATTAAATGAAAAGTAGAAAAACATATATGCGATGTGCTGTGTATGTTAGTTAGAAAAGTAAAAGTAAATAATGAAATGGAAAATGATTAAAAAAATAATTGCCGAAGAAAAAAATAGAAAAGAGAAAAATAAAAGGATATGTTGAATTCGGGAACTGGACTTTAAAAAAAAGGAAAATGTTTCTATATTAAACCCGATAGATCATGGAGTAATACATATATATGTATATCTAATTAACATATTTAGAGTCTCATAATTTTACGTTTCTACATTTTTTTGGTTCAATACACAGATCTTGTATTTTAGAAAATTTCCTAAACCATAGCTCTCCATTCTCCTATATAAATTACGTCTCATAGTTGCTTCAGAAACCACAAAAAGTTTCCAAAAGAATTTAAGCGCTTACAAAGAATAGCCCACTTTAGCATCAGAAGTCAGAACGATGGCGAAGGAAGAAGCAACAACGAAGAAGACAGAAGCAAAAGAAGAAGGCGCAGCAGCGTCAAAACACAAATCCGTCGTTTATGGAGATCACAGAAGAAGAAAAATAAAACCCTGTTTGCTTGTCTTTGGTGTCGTTGTGGTAATACTAGTGATCGGTGGCATATTCTTCGCAGTTAACAAACCGAAAGATCCACGGTTCACGCTTGACGATCTCTGCATCGATCCCGTCTCAAACTCAAGTGTGCTCGTAAGTATTTCTAACTTTTTATTGCATCCTTCTAAGCAAAACTTTATCTATTATGGACCGGTTTTGGTTTGGGTTTAATTTTTTATCAAGCTAGTTCAATTTACTGATTTTCTTTTTTATGCAACAAGTTAAACTATTCTAAACCCCTAGTAAGATGATTTAATTCGGACTACAACTTTTTTCGGTTTTTGTTTTTATTATTTTTGATAAATAATAATTTAAGCAAAACTTAAGTCAATGTTTTTTTGTTTCAATTTGCAATTCCTGGTTTCTCAAAGTAGTTCAGTTTATTTCCTTTTTTGGTTATTCACATATTAAAACCATACTAACCCTAAGAAGCTGATTTAACTTTTTTTCTTTGTTATATCTAAAACAGGCGAAACTCAGTTCGAGAAACCCAAACCCAAAGAGCGGTATCAACTACAGCAAGGTCAGTGTATACGTGCGGATCCAAGAAGGCTTCGAGTCTCAGTTCGAGACAGAGAGGGTTGATTTGGAGAGCAAGTATCAAGAGCCAGGTGAAGTTACCACGTGGACTGCTGTCGTAGCAAGCAATAATGACAACAACGATAAGCGTCATGGGACTTTTCAGAACAGAATCGGTGTGGTCAACGGTGTTGTAGCTGCAGATTTTTCGTTAAAATGGAAGAGCTGGATCTTCACAAAGCGTTTGCACGTAAGGTGTCCAGTTATGATCAACTTGAAAGACTTGACCTCGTCAGTTCCCAAACCAATGTCTTCTTGCTCAACTTATTAACTAGCTTTTTTTTTTTTGCTAAGAACTTATTAACTAGCTTCTTTGAGATTTTTGTGATCTTTGTTTTTCTTAAACCATTATTGTCGACATTTTATAGCTTTTTACCAAGAAAAAGGTTTATAAAACACTGGGGATTTTGAGATATATCAAAAAAAAAAATTAAGAACACAATTTGAGGAGTATGCATACTATGCTAAAAACTTCATCGTTTCATAAAAATTACCAGTGTATTAATTTTAAATATAAAACCTAGTTAGTGTTATGAATAAAGGGTATGCAGATTGTTAAGTAGAAGTCTTTATAATTCTTTAATAAAGAAACAAGAAATATTCTTATGTGTTAAAAATCATGAAACGAACCATAAAATCTTAATAACCTTGGAATGAAATTTACCAAGCTGCGCAACTATTCTTCTATTTCGGTCCCATCCTCGTTTTTCTGATTTATTATACCTTAGTCAAAGTTAATGTCCGCTTAATCCAAATTATGTTGGTTTCTAAGTTAACGAGTTTAGTACTTCTGTGTATTAATATGCACAACTCTCTATGTCAGTTTTCGATTATGTGTTAAGCATAGGGAGAAAACTATATTAATAGAAGTTCTCCAAATAGTGTTTTCTTAACACTTTGGCTAAATTGCGACTCTGTATTTAACCTTGAAAAGTTTTCAAACATAGTGATTAAAAGAGAAGTTCACCAAAAGCAACCGTTGGACATGAACTCTGGCCAAAGTCATCCCAAACTATTCTTCTACCATCTTTGCCTTCTTCCTCGCCAAAAACCGTTCTTTAGCAGCAGCGATCGCATCCTCGCCTCTCTTGTGCTGGTAAGGCGCTTCTTTCGCCGCCTCTTTGATCGACGAGTCTCTCTCTTCTGTCTCCTTCTTCTCAGATGCTGCTGCTGCTTCTTGCGGTTCCACACTATTCCTAAAACTCGGTCCAACATCTTCAGATTCAGGCTGCGGCGACACTTCCTTCTCCTCTTCCCTTCTTATCTCTTCTTTCCTCAGCTCTTCAAGCTTCTCCGCCTTTCTTTGTTCCTCTAGCCTCTCTGCTTCTTTAACATCTCGAGCTCCAAACGCAACATTTTTCCCAATGTTGAAGTAGAACTCACTCAAGTCCTTCTTCTTTGTAACCTATTCAAAGATTAGAACACAAACCAAAAGAGCTCAGAAATGAGTTTCAATATCTCCTCATCCTAGCAAAGCATTGATGCATAACGAACGAAAAACAGAGGACTTACATCATCTTTTTCCTCACGAAGCTCACGCAATCTTTCTTCCGCAAGCCATTTCTTCTGCTCCTCGAGCTTCCTCTTATAAGCGCCAGTGATAAACTTCTCTTTACCAGAGAAGAGATGCTCGTCCTTCTCCCTCTCTTTCGCGAGCTTCCTCTCGTAAACTATCTCGTGCTCTTTGTTTCTACGGTCTGCTTGTTTCATCAACTGCTCTATATATCTCGACTGCAAAATGAGACAATGTAACACACCACAAGAAGCTACTTAGCTACAGATCATATATCTTCAATTTTGATTCCAATCCTAAGGTTTCTAATGTTATTTGATTACATTACCTTACGCTCTGTGCGATCTTGCCTCTGTGGAAGAACAGCTTTTTGTTTCATGTCATCGTAAACGTCATCGTAGGCAAAAGCAGAAGGATCTTCCTCTAAGGCTTTCTTATGCTGCTCCTCAATCTACAAACACAGAATCAGTTAGTTGAAATTTGATACGAAATCTAAGGAATTGAGGAAAGTGAATGATTTTGAGGGGAGGAACAAAGAGACGTACTTCCTTAAGAGCCTTGGTTTTCGAAGCTTGGCGAGAGATCTCCTTCTCCACGTCGTGGTCTTCCTCTTCGCCAAATATCGCAGCAGGACGAAGTGGTGGTCGAGCTGATGATTGCTTCTTCTTCGATGGATCCCTGATTTGCAATCCGTACTTCTTCATCAGAACAATCGATTTCGCAGATTCCGAAATTAGGGCACTTTCTAAACCTCGAAATCGATCAGCTAAAAAGCAACAACGGTGATTCGATTTGGTTTCAAACCCTAATGAAATCGAAGACAAAAATAGGTTGATCTGAGATATATCCGGCGTTGGCGCTTGACACAATTGAGCTGTAACCGAGTTACAGTTCGAATAGTTTATTGGTGTGAGTGTACGAGGAATGTGGAGTTTAGGCAGAGGATGTAAACTCCATGGAAGAAAGTGAATGAAGAAGGAAGAAGATGAAGCAAAAAAAAGTTCGAAGCGATGAAGAACACAATAGTTGGGCTATTAAAGGGCCAAAGAGGGAAGTAATAAAATAAAGCCCAATTTATTAAAATAACGGCCCATTGGAGAGCCGAGAGTAAAAAGTAAAAGTAAAAAGTAGAACCACACTAGTCAACATATCCTCTGCCTCCTTTGCATTTTGAGTTAAAACGCTTATGAAATATTTCGACCGGCCAAGTTCGAGTGGTTACATAATTTTATGTTTGGAGTAGAAATGATATGTGAGTTAGATCTACAATACAATGATATTTTTGGTGAATATTTACACTAATGTAGTATTCGAAATATATGCGCAAGTTTCTGGTTATTTATTATCTAATCTTCTAACGTGCCATGCGTTTAACGATACTCTTTACGTAAAAAATGCAGAGTCAACCAAACACTTTAAGTAAAAAACACAAAGTCAACCAACGTGCAAAAGCTCTTTCAAGAATCGATCAATCCCTCAAAACGTGGTCAACTTGATCAAATTCCTCTCATATAGATCAATGTCACGAGCTTATTCATCAAAAAGAAAAAGAAATCAAGCACCTTTCTAAGGAGATATGGGTTTTGGTCGAGCATTAATATGTTCCTTGATGGTAATCTTCAGCTATCGTCAAGTATTGGTCAATGGTCAGGATTTGACCGATGGGTTTTACTCGGTGGCATGCCCTCTCGCGGAGTCGATCGTCCGAGCAACCGTGGCGGCTGCTTTCTTTGTACAACCGAACATAGCACCGGGGTTGCTAAAATTGCACTATAGTGATTGTTTCGTCGAAGGTTGTGATGGCTCAGTGCTAATCTCGGGACCTAACACCGAGAAAACCGCAGCTGCAAACCTCAACCTTGGTGGCTTTGAAGTCATTGAAGACATCAAGAGACAGATTGAGCTCGTGTGCCCTGGTGTTGTCTCATGTGCCGATATTTTAGCTTCAGCCGCTCGTGATTCCGTTGTTCTCGTAAGTATCTATAATCAAATTATCAAAACGATATTACAAAACAATGTAGAAAGGATTTTAAATAAAGAAAATGAGTAGAAGCTTATCTAAGGCTTTAATTTTGTTAGAGGAAAAAAATGGAAACAATTTTTTTTTTTTTTTGGTTTTGTAGTGTTAAATTTTAAACCAAAAATTAATTAGCGGTCATTACATGCTAAAAGTGAAAAGTCTTAGTTCCAAAATGAACAGTTACAAACGGTCATATCAAAACCAAATTAAAAGCTTGGATTTCTCGTAACTCTTAGTCTTGGACACTTTGTAAATTGTTTATGTTTAATTTAACGTTTTGTAATGGAATGATTGTATGGACACCGTATAATATGAATACAGACGAACGGATCAAGTTGGGACGTAAAATCAGGACGTAAAGATGGACGAGTTTCGTTGGCAGCCAACGTTGATCTTCCGTTTGAAAATGTCTCCATCACCTCTCTCCTCAAGTTTTTTGCTGCTCACGGACTTAACACCGAAGATTTCGTTGCTCTCCTTGGTCAGTACTTGAGCAACTCAATCTATATCATTTTAGAAATATGTCTTTGAAAGATCTTGAACTCAAAAAATGTCCATGCAAGATCAGAGAACATATATAAAAACTAAGAACTACCAGTATAACAAACACATGAAAAAAAAGTTAGTTTTAATTTGATGTGTTAGTGTTGGAATCTTTTGCATGCATACTAATACTACTGAGTACTGAACAGATCTTCTTCTTTCATGGTAATTGAAGTTTTGAATAGATAGATTTTTTGGTTTTGGTTTTTACAATTGCTTCTAGCTTGTAAAGTAAAAATGGTAAGAGTAATAACATAAATCTAGTTAATCCCGAAACTAAGCTAAAACTAATCTCCATTCTACACCTAAGTAATGATTGGGTTATCTATATGTTTGGGGGCATTTTTTTACATTGTTTTGTCTACATTTCAAGTTCCTTTCAAAGACAAATGATCCATGTTAAATCTTTTCGAATTATATGTGATCTTTAACGATCCATACATAATAACGTTAATGTTTTAACATATGGTTTTAACTAACAAATTATCAGGAAGGCACACTATTGGAACTGCGGCGTGTAAGTTCGTAACTGACACAATATCCATCGACTTGACCATCGACCCTCTGTTCTTAACGACGCTGCAGACGTCATGTCCCATAGAGGAGGACGACGGTTCGAGCCCCGTGACTCTAGACATGGGGAGCGAACTCGTCTTCGACTCCTCCATTCTCACTAGCACCCTCAGCGAAAATGCAGCCCTCATGACAAACAACAACAAGAACCTTTTTGCCATTTTGGACGACATTTTAAAGACGGTGACAAACCTCGCACAGAAACAGAGGTTAAAGAAAGCATTAGCGACGGTGTCGTTCAACATGAGTGTAATCGGTGTGAAAACGGGTGTATATGGAGAAATTCGCAAAAGCTGCTCCAAGGCTAATTAAAAAAACTTTGGTTATAATAATCACTTGTAATGTGTGTTTTTCTGATAATAAGATTAATAATGTGAAAATCTAGTGTACTTTGAGTTTGATCTATAAAATGCCACTCAAATGCTCAAATCTTTGTACATAGACAAGCAATGATTCAAGAATGTTGCAATGAGTAGGATCTGTATATAGTGATATATAGTATCAAGTAATGTTTATACAATCTACATTCTCAATACACTCCAAACAAGCTAAGTAGCTAAGGCAAAAAAGACTAGTCATCTTTCTCTTTCTCCTTGTCAACTTTCTTCCCAATCCAATTAGCTACAATAGGAGTCAGAGCCACAGTAGGCGGAAACCTAATCGGAGAAGCAGCTTTGTGCGCCGCGTAAGCCAATGCAAAGGCTCCTACTTTCTCTCCCGTCTCGTTCGTCGTAATCCCAACCTTTTTATAACAACAAAAACCCACAAACACCCATCTTCATTCTCAACTCCAAGACCAAGAAAAACGTAAACTTTAAAGAGTTATGATTCAAGAAAGTGTGAAAAAAGGTGAAACCTTTAGAAGAAGGGCTTGAACATCAACACCGGAAGTGACGAGTGCGTAGCATAAGGAGAAGGAAATGAGAGAAAGAGTAATGGATGTTGCGAGATAAGCACCACCATACTTTGCAAGCAGCTCTTTAGCTTCGTCTGTTTTCGATTTCTTCTTCTTCTCTCCGTCAATTTCTTCATCCTTTGAGCTCAATATCTATGCTCAAATGTAAAAAAAAAAAAAAAAATTGTCAAATTTGAAACATATATGACCAATTTTGACTAACGAGTATGGAGGAAGAGAGAGAGAGACCTTCCATAGACCGACTTCGAGTCCGTATTTCTTCGTGACTTCCTCGGCCGATGAAGAAGGGGACTCCGGCGAAGTGTTTTTGTCGATCTCTTCGGCTTTCTCTCGGACGGCTCTGCATCTGAATTTCTTCCGATTGGACTCCGAAGGAGCTTGAATTGAAGAAGAGTAAGAGAATCGGATTCTGTGGGTTTTGGTGTTCCACAAGGAAGACGGAGAAGAAGAAGGAGGGATTTGCAGAATCATCGCCATTGTTTGTTTTCAGCCACCAGAAAGAGAAGCAAATCGTTTCACAAATTTCAAAAAGAAGTCTTAACAAGTTAACAGATATTTTTTTTAATTAGTGATAGCTTTAATATTTTACTGTTTAAAATTTTAAAATAGTGTTAACCAAGTTGCTAAGCTAAATTATTTGGCCAAATTACTTTAATATTTTACTATTTAAAAATTAAAATAGTGTTGTTAACCAAGTGCTAGGCCTAATCTTGATTGGAAATTATAAAATGGTAAAATGTTTTGAAATAGTGGATGAGGTTGTTTTAGTTTTGGAACACTCAACACACGTATGGCCAGAATGTAGGCCAAGTCGCACATTATTTAATGTACATTTGAAAAAGGAAAAATATCAATCGAAACTAAAGGTTATCTTCTCTTCACAAATGTTAAAGAAAATGTATAGTTCACATGAGAACATATTTTACTACTTCAAATTTGGTTTGACAATATTATATGCAATAAACAATCTTATTCGAGTTCTGTGAGAAAAAAAAAAAACAATTAATTAAATTCTTTTTGCAAATCAAACATCCACTCACATATGTGAGTGCTTTTTCTTGGTAACGTGGCCATGCTATCTACCGGATTTTTATTTTGTTTGTTTTCCAAAACTAGTTAACCGAAGTCTAAAACTTTAGCAAGTTGAGATTTATCAAATGTGCCTATTTCTAAATCAGAACTATCAACTATACCATTATGGCCATTGCCCCTACTTTGATAACATAAGAAATCCTTTTCCCACCACATAACACATAAATAGACCATTCTTAATGGGTGTATAGAGAAACATATCTACAAACACGAAATTAAAATTCAATTCGGTCCCCATAAAAACAGAGGACAACAACAAACAAAAAAAACCATACAAAACACATGGAATTACACTATCAATGCATTAAATATCTCATAGTACAAGTACTAATAAGTAGAGCGTGACATATAAACTAATTAATAGTCCCTAGTTGTTAAGACAGTAAAAAAGACAGAAATTAAAATAGCCAAGAAAGCAGTCGTTGCCATAACATTCTTCATCAATCTCTGCCTATCATCATCTTTCTTGATGTGGAATGGATTCGGGATTCTCCAGTCGGAGGAGGAGGCCGTGTCGCCGCCGCCGCCGGGGTCAACGTTCTTGATCCTGAACAAAGCGTAACAATTCATTGTTTGATTCGATTCTTTCTTCACACCACATTCCGACCTCCTACTCGATGATGCCTCGCTCGGTATTGTTTCTTGTTGAGTTGGATTGTTTGGTCGGAATGCTTGGCTAGCTTTCAATGCCTCCTCGTCGAGCTTTATTATATCGTCGTTTAGAATCTCGGCGTAACAGTCGTCATCGGTGTCGACTTGATCCTGCATGGCAAAGAGAGTGATCAATTTTTGTTGACAAACTCTGTTTTAAAAATATAAACCGTTCAACCCAAGTTTTGGTTTGGATCTTTGGTTTTATAATATTAGTAACCAAAATAAAACCAATATAGTATTGATCAGTTTGGTTCGGTATTTTCGGTTTGGTTATCAAAATATATCAATATATTTCAAAGTAAGCTGACCTCAAGAACATTTGATGATTCTGGAATATCACCATTGGATATTTGATGCTCAGATTCATAAACCGAATAAGATTTCTTATCCCTCTCCGAACCACCGGTTTGACCAACGTAGTCGCCATCATCTTGCACAAGACCATCCTCCAATTGCCTTTGGCTCGAACTAGCTCGAAAATCAGCATTTTTCCTTAACCGGCACACCACTAACGCGTCCTGTGAAAATCATCATTTCAACATTCCTAACAACAAATAAAAAACTCAAAAATTAACAAAAAAGAATAAAACATTTGACCTGTCGTGCGCCATGGATACAATATTCATGCATAATCCACTCTGTTCTCTCGCCTCGAGGAGCACGACCGATGTGAAAAACAAGTGTTCTCTTGGTTCCAACGATTTGGTTCCCCGATTTCACGCTTCTCTCTTTACCGGTTGCTTTCCAATAACCGAGATGCGTAGCTCTCCGGCTCTGTGACCCGTGTGGATATTTTCTTCCCCTTGCGCAGAAGTAGAACCACTCGTTCTCCGATTTCAGTTTCGATTCTCCTGAGTGTATTAGAGTGACCGGTTTAGATAAACCATAATTTTCTCCTGATATTGTTGTATTAGAGTACCGGTTTATATAAACCGTGTAATTATGACTGGTTTGCTGTTAGACCAAAATAGAGTCCTCGAAAGAGACCAATTCAATAACAAAAACATAAAAGGTTCTCATGACATTATTGTATTAGAGTGACCGGTTTATATAAACCGTAAGATTGTGTCTGGTTTGGTTTTTAACAAACAAACAGAAATTATTGGTTTGATGACCAACGTATTCTATGATTGGGTATATGTAAAATATTAATGGATAAAGATCGGATAAAGATATTTCAAATTTCGGAAACTACTATCCAAAATGTAAAAGCAAGAGTTTTTGTGTAACAGAACCATTCGAGGCCAAAAAGTAACTTTTTCACATTAAATATTTTCTTATCTAAAAATAGAGGGAAAATGGTAAGAAACCTGGCAAGTCCCACGGTTCGAACTTGTAAATCTCGACTTCGGCGATCACGGCAACGGAGTGTTCGTCGCCATCAATTTTACGGCGGAGGTAAAACGAAATGAGTTCGACATCAGTCGGAGAGAATCTGAATCCAGGGAACAAAGCCGATACAGCGATCGACATCTCAGCTTCTTTAGACATTTTCTTGATTTTCTCTTAAAGAACTCGGAAAATGCTTTGCTTTCAACATGCAAAGCAAAGAGAGGCGTATTAATGCGAGAGAAACAGAAGCTACTTTGCTTCGTGTAAAGGTTTGATATTTTTGGCGGCTTCAAGGAGAGGAAATGATGACGTGGCTGATGACTGTGTGGTAAAGGACGAATAACAGAAGAGTGTAATGAGATTGTAAAGGACAAACATGATGATGTGGTGATGTATAATTGGACAGAAACTAAACCCAGCCTTGAAGTTCTCTTATTTGTTCTTCTTTTTTTTGTCACGAGTCTCTTCATTTTTCAACACGTACTTTAGTTATTGGATAATAAAAAAAATCCGTTTCTTTATGATGAGGGTTGATATAACTAATTTATGCATGTAAGATTTATGTCACGGTTTAAAATCAGATATGACTGGTCGATGACACTTACCTTACCGACATTGAAATTTCTTCGCATTATGATTTACTTATCCAATTATGTTAAGATTCACTCTAAAACTAATAACAAAAACACAATACTATATTTTTAAAAATAATAATATAGTATTAGATTTTTCATGTTCTTGAGTGACCACAATCGCGTAAAGACCGGCCTCGAATCCAGACGGACTAATCATAGAACTTTTTTTATTTGATTTTGTTGATGGCATGATCTGTTCCTAAAACGTTTCAATGATTAGCATGACTGACATGTTCGTCTCAGTTCTTATGGCATTTTATATGTTAATTCAGTGCTACCAATTTAGTTGTCCTCACTTTTATATGTTAATGCAACTGTTGCGACAAAAACTAAATTGAGTTAAAAAAAATTACTCATATGAATATTTAATCTGTTTCTCCGTACACATATTCTTTGATTCACATCTAAAAAATGAACAAGATATTAATTTGTCTTTTTTCATTAACGACTTGTTTGTTTGATAACAGTTTTGTAAAATAAGGTATGTTTAACTGACTTGGTTTATTGATTCTCGATACAAGAGTATTTATACAAATTGGTGACTATCTAAGATAGACTTGAATCTCCTACAAACCAGGAGTTCATACATATTTAACTCTAGCATAATATAAATTATATCCTCATTCTTAACACTTTGTATTTATCCCTAATACTCCCCCTCAAGCCGGAGAGTGGAGATCAAGAACTCCCAACTTGGACACTAACTTTTGGAATGGAACACGTCCATAATACTCCAATACGGATTGACTATCTTGCCTACACCACACAAGCTGCACCTTGATATGATGTACTTGAACTTTCTTTCTCACGGACAAACGCAGCTTTAAACTCTCCCATAGACTTAGCTTGAAACGCATTGCTTAACTTCGAGTACTACTCGTTATAACCTCTCTCTGTTCAACAAGACCAGAGTAATCGTAGCTCCTAGATTATCCAAGGAGTACAACGGTGACACCACCGTAACTTCACTACCGAGCACCACTAGCACCCGTTACACCAACACCCGACACACCACTTGTCGGAAGAACATCACCACCGGTTGCACTACTCGCCGGAGGAACACCACCACCGGATACACCACTCATCGGAGGAGACCACCATCCGACGCACCAGTCACCGGAGAAAAACCAGGAAAACCACTATCTAACACAACATGTATTATAAGGCAACACCGTTGCGACTTCATTCCTTCGAGCACCACTGGAACTCGACACATCACCACCGGACACACTATCATTATCGCCATTACCGGCCATGATCTAAAACCATAGAACTAATCTCAACAAAAATTGTGAATAACTCTCACAAATTCTACACCAAAATACTAACCCGTGAGAAGCCATAACCAAAATAATTTTCCACAACTCACGTAAACTCTTGTAAACAAAACCAAGAAACCATAACCTAATATAAAATAATTCATCCAAAAAACCTAAAAAGATGAACCCCATATTAATAGAGAACACGAACACCAAAACCTAACTTAAGAATTTAATAAAAGGAAGGACGTATAACATCTTCCAACACAACGTCTTCTTCGTCGTTGTCACCTTCCCCACCGTCTTTGTCACCACCATCTTTTCGATGGTCATTTTAGCGGAAGCTTTAATTTGATCCTAAGAATCTTATTGCTCTGATACCATGTAGAATAAGGTATGTTTAACTGACTTGGTTTATTGATTCTCAATACAAGAGTATTTATACAAATTGTGACTACCTAAGATAGACTTGAATCTCCTACAAACCAGGAGTTCATACATATTTAACTCTAACATAATATAAACTATATCCTTATTCTTAACATTTTGTATTTATCCCTAATAAGTTTAATCAACTATAATCCTCTAAATGGTGTGTAGTGGCTTATTTGACCAACTCTCTTAAATTTTTGAAACCAAAAACAAAAACACAAAAGTAACTAGTTTTGTATTATTATAGTGCCTCCTTTAATAACCAAACATTCTTGTATATATGTATATTTCTCAGTAATTTCTTTATTACAAACATAACCAAAAAATAAAACGAAAAAACATTGATGACCAAAGAAGTATGTAGTAATGTATGAATCGGAATCTCTTTTAACGTGTTTCACCTTTTTTTCAGTCTTTACCTCAACAAAATAAAACTCCAAAAAAGCACAAACAAAGAAAACCCAAAGATCATACAAATCGTGTCTTGAGCTCTCTCACTCCTCTCCCTCATCTCTCTCCACTGTATCTTCATCCCCACGTATTCCTCATACCTTCCTCTACACCTTCTCTCCTCACCACCATCTTTACAACACCTCCTCTTCCCCAACAACAACCCTTGCAAAATTACCAAACTATCCCTCCCTCTCAAACATTTCCCTTCTCTGTCCTCCACTTGCAACCTCACGCCCGTCACGTCCACTTCTCCTCCCACTTCCTCGTCCACCTCCTTCCACGTCTCCGCCGAACCACACGACACAACCACCGCAACCTCCTCACACACCGCCACCGTCGAAAATATTATCTCTAAATCTCCGGTTAGCCAGTTCCTCTTCGCCGACACCGCCTTTCGGCTAGATATGTTCGCCGCACGTTTCTTGACCGGATCGATCACTATCCAGTCAAGCTTCATGCTCTCTTCCATATCTTTCACCCACACTTCGTAATCCCCACCCGGATATCTTATCGGAGTCTTCACCGTCTCTTTCGGGTCGACCATATCGACCCGGAACGGCGATGAAAGAAACCATCCTGAAGACTTACCGCTCTCCTTCTCCATATCTTGAACTTTCGAATAGATAAGCTCTCCTCTGTAATAAAGATCGACGGCCGAGATTAATCCCGTCGTTGGTGGATCTTGTGTTTCCGGCTGCCACGTGTGTTCGGTGAACGGGTGCGAGTCAGCGTAGAAAGAGCTGTAACCGGAAGGGAAAGAAGAGATGGCTTCAACGACACGTGGGTCATTTATGGAAGGCCACGTGGCGATTGAGATTTTTCGCCAGAGTTTTTGCTCCGTGCAGAGAGTTTTGAGATACGTAGAGGTTGATGCGGTGGAGGCGAGCGCCGGGGCGTCGAGCCGGGGCAAGATATGGGTTTGGATTATGTCCGGATGAAGGGTGGAGATGGAGTCACCGGTGGTAGAATCAACGGATGCCATTGAGGGAGACAATAATTTTGTTTTTTTTGTTTTTTTGAGTAATGTTATGAAAAAGAAACTATAACGAGAGATGATTAAGAAATTTTAGAGTAAGATATATATAATGAATGAGTTAATGATTAAATGAAGAAATAAAAAAAGAAGGCGACGATACATAATACAGTCAACGGTTACTCTTTTAGACTTTTCTAACTATGTCAAGGTGCATGTTTTTTTTTTAGTTTCTGTATAGATAATGCGTACCCACGCGTACACACACACACTCCATTTTCTTTTTCTTTACCGCCTCTCTTTTCGACTTATGTGTTATTATAAGATATAAATTTTACGTTTAAGTAGTCTTTGGTTTGAATTTTTTATACTAAGATAAAAGACTCTTTCTGTCCAAAGAAAACAAGATTATATATTGGAATAAAATTTCACATATTAATAGGTTTAATAGACTTGAATATTCAAACCTTAATTAAAATCATGTAATTTGCATTTAGATTCAGTTTAGACTGATATGAGATTTCACTATTGTGATTCAGATATGGATCTCTTTAAGTTTTGAAAGACAGAAGGAACTATATCGAATTCCACATAATCATACCACTACTAGTTGTGATCTCTAGTTCTCTACTTTGCAAGTTTGTTTCCTTTATTTAAGTACATTAAATTTATAATTTGTATTTTAGTTTATCAACCTTTTAAAATTTTATAATGAGTACCAGTGTCTAATTTGGTTCTTCTTATCCCTATTGACTAGTCGAACTAATGATCAATAACGATATTTAGTAAAATATTGGGTTTCTCAATGCTTCCAAAGAGAAGAAGCTTATCATTTTTCTTATATTAGTAGAGAGATCACGTAATATTTGTATCATATTTTCCACCTTTACTTTATTATTTTGGTTGACTTTTCAAGCTTTTGGATAATTGAAACAGAGGAAGTTGCTCTCCCATGTTCAAAACCAAAACGTTGGCCGAAACATTTTATATTTCCCATTGTCGGCTGGAAGCTTTTAGACCAAACTTGTTTTTTGGTCTAGTCAGAACCGGTGGTCAAATTAGTGGCTCTTTTTTTGTCAACCGGTGGTCTTTTTTAGAAACATATTGGTACTAATATTGTTAAATATATTTGGGGTAGTTATTATAGTAGCATAAGTGATACGTAACTGAGGCTAACCAGCCTAATTCCATATTCATTATGTTGAAACTGAACCAACAACTCTGGCTTTAATTAGTTGATGATTTCTTACTTAAAAAGCTATAAAACAATATGAATTATTTAAAAACATACCGTACGTACAAAACGTATTTTGCTGACGATACTGAATCCAAATAGTTTATTTTCATTTAAAAGATTGAATAACATCAAACTAAAAAGACAAAAGTTATATGAATATTACAAAGAATATTGAAAACTAACCACTTTTAAAATGTTTTGGAAAAACTAACTTTCTAATCCAAAATGACCAATGGTATTATATATAATATCTTTCATTATCTTCTAAAAATCACGTCGTTGTCTACTTATACAATATAGTAGTAAGTAGACGTTGCGTAAGTGTGTTTTGCTCTAAATAATGATTAGTGAGTGAGCTGTTATTTTCGTGTTAGTTATTAGTAGAAGGTTAAGTGTGATATTCGCTATGAGTCGATGAAAAAATTAGTGATAGCTAGTAACAATCCCTTTCAAAATCTTTACTGTTGAAGAAGAGCTCAACTCTTTATAGACAAATTTCAAGAATATGAAACGATGAATATTTCTATGAGTCATCCGCTCTTTTTAGTTTCGTTTGTGTATGAAACTGTGAATATTATTCTCTTTTAGGATATTGTTTTTAATCGGCTAGAGGATATTATAAGATATTTAAAGGATATTATTTTTAAGTTTGTTAAGAAATCCAAAAAATGAGAAGATATCCACATTGGAGTTAAGCCTTTGGGATTAGTCTGTGAAATTAGTCTTTGGGCCTAGAAAGTTTTAGTATTCCCACGGTTAAAAAAAAAAAAAAAAAAATCCACATTGGAGTTAAGTTGCAAAGTGAAGTATTAAATACAAAAAGGTGGAAACTTTTTAGAGAAAACAAAAGGAGCCAAATATGTAACACAAAAAGTAGAGCTTATCCGTATGCCTATTGTCTAGTCATGTGCCAAATCTCTAATGTTCATCTTGGATTCCATAAACGATAGATCATCCTTTTTTGTTTTGTTTTGATTTGTCGACACATTATTCCTCCTTTTTCGTTGTTTTGCCAGATCCTTTATATGTTTCCGTGATAGAGATATTAGAGTCGTGATAACGAAGATAGTTGAAGAATGATTAAAAGGGCGTCGATGATCAAACACATATAATTTCACGCATAATTATAATTGGGATAAGGTAGGCCTTATTGTAGATTTGCATTAAAGTTAGACGAAATTACACTTATGTAGATTTGCATTGATGTGGTCTACAATGCAACATGTTGGGTAACAAAGCAATACTGCAAAACAACAAAGCAATTAGATATTTATGAACTATGAGATACTTTGGTTGTGTTTTCCAAAATAAAAAGTTCAGATGTTTAAGTTGGGTTCTATTCCACAAAACAAGGTTCAGTAGACCCAAACTTCCCTCATCTCTAGGCCCGCAAATTATATTTTGTTTCGAAAAACCTCTGTTGAACAAAGAAGTTCAACAATCTTTAACTCGAGGTCTAGAAATCTTTCTAATATTGTGATGAAATTATGGGTTATGGATAAGGACGTGCAGATTATTAATCCACAAGATTCTATTTTCAAGTAAGAATGTATGACATGAAGTCATGAAGTATGTTTGATCAAGAAAACCAAAACCCAAAGACTTTGTGTACGTGTTCAAAGAAAGACTCGGTTTACTTTGTGTGTTCAAAGATTTTGAAGTCAAGATGATGAAACAAACTTGATTTTGTCTTTTTCTCTCTAGTATTATTGGGATCTGTCAAATAAATGATCAACTACAAAATCTTATTGCTCCAATTGAATTCACACTTTTTCATTAAAACAAACTTCATAGTAGCTCCCTCCTCCAAAAAAAATTTCTCCATTTTCTTGGATTAATTATAACTAGTGCCAGAGACCACATCAGCCCAAACTGGCCACTATTTTATTTATACTTAGCCAATACATTCATATATGTTACTCTTTCAAATGGTAGTAAACTACTAACTCAATCAAGTATATCCCGCCAACTTCACTTCATACGGTTCTTGTTATTGATTGTTTGTGTACTATTTCTTGATTGCTTACAACATGTGGCACATTAAAAAGAAACTAAAACTAAATTCTTACTCAAACAACTATCGCATTTATATCTTTATCTTAAGAATATAAAGATCTTGAACACAAAAGCACAAACAAAAACAACCCAAAGATCATACAAATCATGTTTTGAGCTCTCTCACTCCTCTCTTTCTTCTCTCTCCACTGTTTCTTCATCCTCACGTATTCCTCATACCTTCCTTTACATCTCCTTTCACCATCTTTACAACATCTCTTCCCTACCAACAACCCTTGTAAAATTACCAAACTATCCCTCCCTCTCAAACTCTTTCCTTCTATGTCCTCCGCTTGCAACCTCACGCCCGTCACGTGCACTTCTCCTCCCACTTCCTCGTCCACCTCCTTCCACGTCTCCGCCGAGCCACACGACACAACCGCCGCAACCTCCGCCACATTCTTATCCCCGACCGTCGCCACCGTCGAAAATATGATCTCTAAGTCTCCGGTTAACCAGTTCCGTCTCGCCGACACCGCCTTTCGACTTGATATGTTCGCCGCACGTTTCTTGATCGGATCGATCACTATCCAGTTAAGTGTCATGCTCTCTTCCATATCTTTCACCCACACTTGGTAATCCCCACCTGGATATCGAATCCGGGTCTTAACCGTCCTTTTCGGGTCGACCATATCGACCTGAAACGGCGATGAGAGAAACCATTCTACAGATTTACCGCTCTCCTTCTCCATATCTTGAACTTTCGAATAGATAAGCTCTCCTCTGTAGTAAAGATCGACGGCTGAGATCAATCCCGTCGTCGGTGGATCTTGTGTTTCCGGCTGCCACGTGTGTTCGGTGAACGGGTGCGAGTCGGAGTAGAAAGAGTGGTAACCGGAAGGGAAAGAAGAGATGGCTTTGACGACACGTGGATCGTTGATGGAAGGCCACGTGACGGTGGAGATTTCTTGCCAGAGTTTCTGCTCCGTGCAGAGAGTTTTGAGATAAGTAGAGGTCGATGCGGTGGAGGCTAGCGCCGGAGCGTCGAGTCGGGTCAAGATATGGTTTTGGATTATGTCGGGGTGAAGTGTTGAGATTGAGTCACCGATGGTAGAATCAACGGTTGTCATTGGGGGAGACAAAAACAAGTTTTTGTTTTTAAAGGTGTTGTTATGAAAGTGAAACTGTGACGAGAGATGATTATGAAATTTTAGAGTGATGCATCCATATATATAACGAGTGATTAAATGGACAAAATAATTTTAAAAGAAGGCAAGGGTACACTCAACTGTTACTCTTTTAGACTATAATACGTCAAGGTTCATGATTCTTCACTTGTTCCTATTTTTTAAAAGTTTTTTTATAGATATTTTTTGTTAAAGTAGTTTTTTATAGATGATATTATGATAATGTGTTACGTTTTCTATTCTTTATCACCTATATATTAAACATATGTGTTATAAATAGTTTCTTCTGTATAGTAGTAGTAGTAGTCTTTGATTTTATTTCCATAAGATAGAAAGGTTCTTTTGGTCGACGAAAATAAGATATTTCTATGTATTTTTCTATGAAAATTTAGATAATATATGTGTGTTTAAAAAAATTCAGACCTGAAATTTCACCATTTTGATATTTTGGATATCATATAAGTTTCGGGGAACATGTCGACTAAAAATCTTGAATTCCACATCATTATTCCACTTCCAGTACCTAGTGTCAAAATTGGTTTTTTAATCCCTTTTTGACAAAGTCGAGCTTATCAAAAACGACTTTGAATATAATTCATTGGGGTTTCATTGTTTTCTAAAGAAAAAGAACGTTGTCTATTTATTTTATTTTTCAAGCTTTTTTGGTATTGGGATTTTTGTCAGTCTTTTCGGTTTTTGTATATGAAACTAAAATGCAGCCCAATACATTTGAATTTCCCGTTGTCGGTTAAAAAGCTAACTTTTTTTTGGCCCCAGTCAGTAGAGGTGGTCTCTTTTTTCTTTTTTGTTAACACATGTAGTGGTTCTTTCAAAAACATATCTATTCACAATATTAAATTGAGGAATGGTGATGTATAGAACGATGGCTAGTTCGGTATTTTATGCGTATTTGGGATCTTACCTTATGTGTTAATCGGGGAAGTTACAGTAAAACAACTAATACATAAACTGGATCTAATGTGTTAATCGTCTCGAATTTTTCCTTCCACTTAAAAGGGGTTGTCCTCGTTGAACCGTGAATTTTGCTCTTAATACTTTATATAAAAAAAAAATAAGCCTAAAAATCTAGGTCGGATTTCATGTGCCAACAATTATATATAAAGATACCTAACATGTATATAATATGGTTATTATTATCCTCCTAAAAATTGTGTCTTTGTCTTGACAGGTTACATAATATCGTAAGTAGACGTAGCGTAAGCGAGCTTTGTTATAAAATATTCCTTAAGTAATTCGTTAAGTGAGCTGTTACTTTCGTGTTAGTGAGTGAGCTGTTACTTTCGTGTTAGTTATTAGAAGGTGAAGTTAGTTAGTTATTCGTTAAGTAATAATCCGTTTCAAGTTTTTTTGTTACTGTTCAGAAGTTCAACGATGATAATTCTAAAATATGAAAACGATTATAGTTCTAGTGACGTGCGCTCTTTTTAGTTTTGTTTCTGTGTATGAAACTGTGAATATATATATTTTTAGCGGCTAAACATTTTGAGAAATCCAAAAAGATGATGTATTAAATTCTAAAAGGAAGAGAATTTAGATAAAACAAAGGGAGCCAAATCAGAAACATATAACGCAGTCCTTATCCGTATGTCAGTCGTGTGCTTTTTTCAAAGCAAACCTAAATCTTTAATGTTCATTTGCTTTTTTTTTTTTTTTTTTTCGGTTTGTTTTGTCGACACACTAATCCTCCTTTTTCGTTGTTGAACCAAATCTCTACATTTGTTTCCGTGATAGAGTCATATTAGAGTCATGAAAAATAAAGTGAACTGAAGAATGATTAATAGGAACTCGCCTAGATACAGAGGAATGTCCACATACATTGATGATTGTGAACATATATGTCCACATACATTGATGAAAGGTTCCAAACTTCCAAAGAAGATCAGCGATTGTACAAGAAACATTGCACTCATCCCACTATATTTTATATAATGAAACGACTTGAGAATGGGCGTAGAGAGAAAGAGACTTCCAATAAATATCACAGATGCTTGCTTGTGCTGTACATGTGCCCACAATGTTATCTTTTTCAGATGATATTTCTTTGTCCAAGCAAAAGGAAACGGTCAATAATTCTAGTAACATGCACTCTTTTGTGTGTATGAAACTGTGATTATATTCTCAAATCATTCAATTAATTGATTTTCAACACCTGAAATTATTTAGGAAAAAACTTCTGTAGGATAAATCAAAACAAAAATGAATTACAAAACAAAAATGAAGTACAATGAGAATAAATGAGACGCTTCTTAATGTGATTCTTCTTGTTTCTCCGATTTTATTGTTTTTATTGTGCCTGCACATAAACGGAATGTTCACTGATAACACAAACTCTCGTAAATATATGAGATCAATCAGCCAATGGGATGTTGTTTTTTTATCTTTGATGGCTTCTCCAATCGGTCATGGTGATTGGCCATTTGGCCGAATAAGTCTTCGGTGCGGCCAAATGTGTGTTTCTCCACATTTTCTCTTTCTCGGCTCCTGGTGCCAAATCTCCAGTCTCCCTTAAGCTCCAATTCACCTAAAATATGTACAAAATGCTATGCACATGCAACATTTACAATCTAAGATGCTAAGATGCGAGATATTGTAAGAAATGAGACTGATCACATGCATGAATAGGACTTCTAAATGACACAGAGAAAAGATCAAAACCAAAGAAAATGATCTCTAAAACATGAAATAGGCACCACAAAAATATTTGGATTTCATTGACTCATATTCAATTTTCACCAAATAGGCACCACTCTTAAGTTTTAGTATCTCAATTAATCTGATCTTTATATCTCTAATGGATGTTTAATCTCTTGGAACTGAAGTAAACAAAATACTGATTCAAAAGCTAATTACTCTCTGTTTTTTTTTCAGTACAAAAGCTGCCCTATACATTGCTTCCAACTAGGATTATCACGAGTGTACCAAACACAGAGATAAATTGTCATGTGGTACATTAGCAAATCAAGTCAAAGCTGCGTTTGATATTCGGTTATGCTTCAAAGGTCTTTAACAAAAAATTGTGTACTTTCATATAACTTGAAGAAGATACAAAAGACATGAAAAACCTTGTGAAGAGAACAATTAATCATTATGAGGAGACAAAGAGGATGACGAATGAATAATCATGTGACTTGTACATGGTCAAAGACTCTTGATAACTAAGAGGGTCTCTCGTCTTCTTCATTCCTCCCCCTTGCTGTGCAAAACAAATAAAATGTTGCCTAACTTTCTTGATCAACCTTGCTTTCGCTGCTCGGAACTCCTTCCACTGAGTAAAAACAAAGACGAGAAGAAACTTAGCAATTCCATAGATGACTAAGGTTGAATACATATCCTCAAGCTCACAAGTCTCAAAATTTCATCTAACAAGTTGGGGGAAGACAAAGAGAGAAGTAATCAGCTGTCACAACCTGAATGCTTCAGCTTGCTCTCTGGTTGATATTGTTTTCTTGCTTTAGTTGTGTCGAGGATCACGACCCGCCCGTCTACCAACTGTGATCCACATAACAATATCTCATTAAGATCACTCAACATAACACTGGTGCAAAGAGTTGATGATTCAAGCAAAAGTTTCATTATCTGACATTGTTCTAATGGCTCTACAGAGGGAATAAGATGGAGAAAAGAGTTTGTTTATACCTGTCCGTTTAGTTCTAATAAAGCTTTATCGGCTTCTTCTCGAGAAGAGAATTTGACATAAGCAAACCCTTTTGGTCTACATTTAAATTTGTCCATTATCAAATCCACTGAAGCAGCCAAAAAAAAGATAGCATATGTAAGTGAAGCAGTGTAACGAAATGTGGAAGCTAATTGCTGTTGAGATTAGACTTTAGTGAAACTGACCTCCAAGAACTTGACCACATTGAGAAAATGCTTCAGTTAATGTTTCTTCTGTGCTTGAGAAAGATATACCTAACGAAACAAACAGAGCCTTTCAATTTTAGTGACAGTAAACACAAGCAATCACTCAAGAGTCAAATACGAAGAAGAAGAAGAACTAAAGTTGATGCTTTTACATATAAAGTTTGAGACTTTAAGATTCGTAAGACAAGTTGTGGATCTTAAGAAGCAAATTCACACATACCCATTTTGTTTTGAGATCAGATTTCATCAAAACTCGTCCCTAAGAATTGGCAATCAAATCATACAAACACAACACAAGCTTTAGTGGCAGTGCCTCTATGGCAAAAACCCTTTAAACCCCGTTTACGAAATTCCCCGATTCAAGGAATTAGAAAATCAAGAAATGGATTTTAAGCATAAGATGTTCCGAGAGATCCAATCGCAGATATAAAGAGTAGAGAGAGAGAAAAAACAGACCTTTGACGAAAAGTGTAGAGGAGAAGGTTCTGGAGAAGAGAAGAGAAGGAGTGGGAGAGCGATGGAGGAAATGGTTTAGCATTTTTTGTTTTTTAGGGTTTTACGGTGAAGCTGTGGTTGGCTGTTGCGGCAATCTCACCGCCGGCGAATCCAACACTCTCAGGACCTTTCTTCTCGCTGTTCTTCAGGATTCTCTCACCAATTTCCGTCCATTCTTTTTACCAATAATAATAATAACCATTTACTGTTAGAATAAAGTTATTATTTTTATATTAACCATAGACATATGACATATCAATAGAAAATTACTGAATTACATACATATCAAACGTTTTTTGGATGAAAATTCAGGACTCAGGAGGTAACTACAAAAAGGAAATAAAATAGGTAAATTTTTGTAATTTTACTTTATTTTCTAGGAGGAAATTGGCAACGGGTAAATGATTTGATTTAAGATCGGATTTTATTCGATTTAAATGTTGGTATTTCTTACAGATTTTTTTTGAATAATTTAAGTGTTTTCTTTTTCCTTTTGAAGTAATAAAGTTGAAAAATGGTAGTGCATATAAAGCAGTTATATAAATTGGTTACCTATATTCTCAAAATATAAATTATTTTTTTTTCTCGAGGGAACTACTTCTAAAGTAATACAAGTTTCAAAATTTATAAGTTTATAACCAAATAAAATAAAAACATGATTCCCAAAGTAATTCTCAAAAATCCGAATCAAAAGCTATTATGCCACAACAACAGTGACCTATCTTCTCTAATTCAAGCCTCAGGGGTTTTGTTTCTTCTCAATCAGAACTAAAAATCATCAGCTCCCATACGTTTTGCAAATTCATCTTCTTGAATTGACCCTTTTTTCAGTTTCTTCCAATACCGATAGTCTTCAGCTAGCTCCTCTTCATCTTCAGCTGTTTGAATGGTTTGTCTCTGCTTCCCCGTTAACTTCCTCGACGCCGCTTTGCTAGAATCGCTAGTCCCACAAGCATCAGTCGCCGCCCTTTTCGAGCTTCTCTTGCCTTTCTCTCTTTTCTCTTCTTCCCGTTTCGCTTTCCTTGCTTGCACGTTTTGCCGTCTTTGCCTCTCCCGAGACTTGTCCCTGCGTTTATATTCAACAACATTCCGATTCAGAGCATGCTCACGTACATTTAAGGAGGGACAAAGACTTCAGGCTACGAAAAGTCTAAACTTTGTGCTCAAACTTACTTGAATTTGATGTCATCAAACTTGATGCCTTCAACGGGTATAAAACCTTCACTGGAAAGTCTGTGTTGTTTAACTTCAGACATTGAAGGAAGATACAAGAGACCATATCCCATTGCCAACTTTCCGATTTCAAGGCCTTTCCATCTGTAAAAGTTAGGAAACAAAAAGGTGAAGAAGCGAGAAAACATTTGGAAACAACAGATAAGAAATGATCTGAGACTAGTGAAAACCTGAAAATGTAAGAGCAGTGATGCTCTTTATAAGCACGGACAAAGGAAACAAACGCCTTTAATCCTTTCTCCAACACTGCACGGTCCTTTATGGCTAGTGAACGTATCTGAATACATTGTAGCAATTACTAAACACTGTGACCAACAGATCTAAACCGAGAGAGACACAGAGAGCTAAAATCTCTTACAATCGGGATGACATCGGATGCTTTCTCAGAGCATTTTCTCTCTTGACAAGAGACTCCTCTTAAGCGCATAAACTCAACATAAGCATCTTCCTAGACACACATGCAAGTGCAATTTTCAGCTTTCCTTGCTCTGTGATGTTAGCTATGGAGAAAACATAAAAGTGTTCAAAGCTAAACCTTGGGAAGTAAAAAGACAATGGCCCTCCCTTGTTTCCCCAATCTTGCAGTCCTTCCGACCCTATGGTTGAACATGTTCGGGTCTTGTGGGGGATCATACTGCATGAACATGACATATTTCAACCTGTGAATCCTAAATTTTGCAACAAAGATGGCATAATAATGTAAACAAACAAACATTATATTGAATCTACCTGAACTACATAATCAATGCCTGGAATATCAAGTCCACGAGCAGCGACATCTGTGCACAGAAGTACACCGCTCGATACTTCAGTAAACGAAGCTAATGCCTTGTCTCTTGCATTCTGATGTAAAAAGCATATTTCATCAAAACCCTTTAATAACAACAGGCAATGAGATTATATGGAAAATTCGAATACGTCAACCGTAGCTTACCTGCTTCATATCCCCATGGATAGGAATTAAGGTTATGGACTCTAGGGCAGGAATCTTCGAAAGTACGAGTCCCCAGTAATCAACAGAAGCACAGGTCATGAAGTATCTGCAGAGATATTTAGACTCCCTATAAGGATGCTTCATATTGATAAGTCTGTGTGAGGAATGTTCTATAAACTTACACTATAAGCTTTTTATCTGCATTCTCAATGAGAAGATCCACTAGCTGTGATGATTTCTTATCTGCTTCACACTCCAAATACTACAGAGACAAAGGAGAAATAAACCGCTAAGCAAATGCAAAAGATACAACAGGGAAAAAAAAACTACTACTCCTAAACATATACATATATTGACATTCTTAACCTCAAGGTGTAGACCAGAAGGTATTTTCGAGTTTGTCAGCTCCTGGGATGATTCGGACTTTGACTGAGCTTGAACTGCAACTCTCACCGGATTCCTAAGCCCCGCCTTGGCCAGCTCTTGGACGCCTTCTGTTTGCGTAGCTGAAAAGAGACCAGTCCTCCTCTGCTTTGGCAAGCGAGAGATTATGTAATTCACTTGCTTCTGAAACCCCATCTCCAATAGCCTATCTGCTTCATCTAAGATAAGTATCTACATTTGCACACACACACAAAAAACACCAAAAGGCTCAGACTTTTCTTGACAACCGGTAAAGAATTCCGCAGAATCGGAGGAAAAAACTACCTCAAGATTTCGGAAATCAAGAATGTCCATACGTTCCATGATATCAGAGAGCCTTCCAGGTGTACCAATCAAGACATTGCCTCCTTCTTCTTCTATAATCTTCACGTCTGCTTGCACCTCTCGGCCTCCAACGAGCAGCACAGAGTTCACATTCGGCAGAGTCGAAACAAACGGCTGCGCAACGTTATATATCTGCGTTGATAGCTCCCTCGTCGGCGATATGATTACCCCCAAAACCTGTAAAATTTTGCCAATTCTCAGGATTTTATTAACACAACTCAAACTTCACCAGAAAAAAAAAAGGAAGCATTTTCAGAAGATTCACTAATCTCAAACACTAAAAAATCTTTAATTTTGGAGATTAGTTGGCATATTATCTTACTTGGTGAGGTTTGGGAGAGGATAATCGGCGGAGGAGTTCAACGAGGGGGACGAGGAAAGCTAGGGTTTTTCCAGAACCGGTGGCAGCGTCGACGGCGACATCTTTGAAGGTGCAGAGAAGAGGGATCGTAGCGGCCTGAACCGGAGTGCAAAATTTGAAATCGGACTGCTCGAGCGCCTCGATGATAACGTCGGAGAGCGGAGGTTCGAGGTCGGAGAAACGTTTATCCGTTAAGGCTTTGTTAGTGTTCGCCGATGATTCCATGACGGCCGCCGCTGCTTCTCGTCGCTCTCTCTCCCGCTTTTACCTTTGAAGTGACCTTTTTTTATAACCGAAAGCCAAAACGCAGCGTATTGGTTGAAATCGGTTTGGTTTTGTGTTGGATTTTGCAATCAATTTTAAAATACTGAACCGGTGAGAGTAAAGAATACATCATCTTTAGAAATCGATCTTCACTCAAAAACCTAGGGTTTAGAATCAAAATTTAAAATAAACAGGTTTTTTTATAAAGTAAAATAAACAGATTTTAATATCAAAACATACTGTATAAGTAATTTGCCTCAACACTAAACGAATTTGACTTCCTTTAAAAAAAAATTTCTTCATGCTATCATATACTGATCAAAAGAAAATTTGAATTTATCAATATGTATACAGTACACCCATGCCACTATAAAATAATGTCATGTCTTCTGTCTATCATTTGCTCTACAGTCGCTATAATTTACTTGTAACATTAGTTTTTCTTGTGAATTACATTTATGGAAAATGGAAACTATACCCTTATTTCAAATCTCACCAATTCAAAAAAAAAGAAAAAAAAAAAGACAATGATAATATGGTAGATAGAGCTAGACTGCTAATTATACCACCACATATTATAAACAGTTTAGTAAAATGTATTTGCAATTATATGGATGTATAGACTCAAAACACATCTATATATATTTAGATAATTGCATATATATTTTCCTAAACTGCTTATAATATACTCCATCTGTTCCATAATATAAGCTGTTTTAGCTTATAGTTTTTGTCCCACAATATAAACAATTTTGACATTTCAATGCATTTTTACTTTATGGAAAACTGTGTGACCACTTATATTTTGTAGTTGTTTTTTATGATTGGTTGGATTATATTTAATCTATATTTTAAATGATATTTTTTTAAAGCAAAACAATTTTCTTAATTCTTGTGTTTAAGCTAAAACAGCTTATAATATGGGACATGGGGAGTAGGATATAAGACCATCTCCATCCCTAAAACCATGTTTTTGGTTCTAAACTATTTTTTATTACTAATTTTCACACAAATCAATACTAGCAACTTCTATGTGGTTTTTATTTTCTTCTTCCTCCATCCCTAAAACTTTTTATTTGGTTCTTAACAAAAAAAATTAAATTTTACAAAATTTCCCCAACAAATCATTCAAGGAGAAACATGGAAACGAAAGCCAATGGCGTTGGTAGAGAGTTCTCTTCTGCCTCCAAGATGCAGATCAAGAAGTGGACATGCTTATACATTAGTTTTTGTCACTCGTTCCCTGAAAAATTAAGCCATGAACTCAAGGAAAATGAAACCGGGTCTAATTGCTCCCTGAAGTTTCCTATTAATCCATATCATTAGTCACATCGATTCAGAGCAGCTCGTAGTAAAGTAGACTCGCCAATCTCTTTCAATCTTAGTAAGAGGCAAGTCTTAGTTTCAAGCAGCGCAAAGATTATCCCGTATCTGCATAAACTATCGATCTTGAGCTTCACTTTGAATCCAGCACGGAACGCTCCTTCGCTGAGGATACTAACTCTGATCACTTCTCTGCATTTCAACGTCTTGATCAGCAAAGAACTCTCGGCTCTATTGCAATCTCTTTCTTCATCTCGTCATTGCCAAATCCCATCTTCTTGAATTCATCAAGCAATGGCTTAAGTCTAGTCTCAGTACCAATCCCTAGAATCTCAGGGAAAATGTGAAAGAACCTCTCAATGTTATCTCGAGAAATGCCGATTCCAACCAAAAACTCAATCTTTCTACGGATTGCAATCTCATTCACAACAATAACGCCAGGAAACGAACCTAAAATCTTACTAACAGTGCTATCACAAAACCTTAAACCCTTCAAAACTTCTCAGGACCGATTCCGATTCTACTGGAATATTCGAGAATGCTCGTAATCGCGGAGGAAGAGAGGCCGAATTTTACGCAATCCGAGATAGGAACTATCCATTTCCTCAGGAACTCCGATCGAAGAACATGAGGGCAATCGGAAATCAACTTAACGAGTGATTTCTGAGAAATTTTCAGCGACAACGATACACCGGGCGAGCTCTCGGTCTCCGCTAAATCCGAATTCAACAGGAAATTGTTCCTTGAAAGGAAGTGTGGTGCAAAATTTGTTTGGAGAAGATTGAGGAGATTGGCGAGCAAAATTTGTTTTTGTTCTCAAAAATCGAATTAATGTGGTGCCGACACGTGTCGGGTTTTAAGCAAGAAGAAAAATTCTAGCTAACAACTCGGTTCCACAGATTTATTTTCTTTTTTCTTTTCTTAATTGCCTTTAATTGTTAAAACCCACCTTAAAACCCACCTAAGAAACAGGGCTGGAGATGCTCTAAGGAGTAATATAAACATTATAAAACTAAACGTTATATTATGGAGATAGAGATACATATGATACAGACGTGTCCACTAAATCAAGTCGTTGAAGATTCGCAGGTTTCCAATTTGGGATGCTCCCAAATAATTTAAAATAAAACCTACTACACCAAGCCACCAATTAACAACGTAGGCAAACAGTGATAAGGTAATAAATAAATATACTCTTTCAAATAATTCTGGTTATGTGGTATATAAATTACTATGTCAAGGTTGATTTTTATTTTTTAAACTAATGTGATTGGTATTTTGCCTATTTGGTAGTTGAAAAGTAACAAAATTAGAGTGAAGGATATTAACGTTAACTCAAGTCCATGTTAAGTACATAAGTAAAGGATTGAGGAGATGCACCAACAACGTTAACATCTCCCAAAAATTTGCGTGTCACTTTTGAACGCTAAACTTATTCATCTTTTCTTCCTTCTCACAGATGGCATCAAAATCTCTTAGAGTATCAAACATTTTCATACTGCTGGTATTGATCCCACATATAATCCTAGCGTTGGGTTCTGCAGCCCCAGTCCCGGTCTTATCCTGAACGAAGCGGCCGAGGGAAAGATATTCACGGTTGAGGTAATCTATCGGCTTTAACCATTTCAAGAATCTCTAATTCATTGAATACCACTATAATCTCTATTTAACACGTTATAATTATTACAAAGAAAATCCATAAAATATAAGAAAAATATAAACAAAACATAAGCAAAATATAAAGAAAATATAAGCAACATGTAAGAAAAACATAAGCAAAATCCTACTAGCTTCCCATATGCTTCCAAAACCTGCTTTCGTTACGTTTCCGATTCATTAACTTTTGCGATTCCAAATGGGATTCATAGCTTCCCATATGCTTCCAAAACCTGCTTTCTAGGAAACGCGATTCCACTGCGTTTCCGAGCGATTCCGGACGCTTCCGGTTCCGGAAACGATTCCGGAGCGGGAATCGATGGTTGGGTGACGCTTCCATGTATCGTAGAATCCTAGTGACAAGCAAATTGATGATGATGATGATGAACCTCCGAGATTTTGATGGGGCAATGATGGATGTTACCACACGTATAGTTGTAGAGCTTGTAAGTGTTGGATTCTCCCTGACTGACGAGGGTAATGACTAATGAGTGAATGTCACTTTCATTTGATTTTTTTTTATATGAATCTTGACAAAGTATAGTTTATGGTTTTTTGTATTTTTTTTTTTAAATTTCAAAATTTAACCCAAAAAATAAATAAGAATCGTCTAAATTGTGAAAATAATAGTGACATATCAACGTAAAAGTGTGTTTACTTCTACATAATTTATGGTTAGTATACCTAAAAGTGAAAAAAATATGCAGCCATGAACGTGGTTTCCCCATTTACATGCAGTAAAAAGAAATAAAAAGAGAAGATGCATGGGTTGTGTGTACGTTTATCAATAAATAAAGGAATGAGACGTGTACATATTAAATTAAGAGAAAGTTTGGGAAAATTCCAAGTTGTGTTTTTAAATTAAAAAAATAGCCTTTTTTGTTTGTTTGAAAACTATACTTTTTCAATCAAATTTACGAAAATATACTCACTACAACTGAATAAGTTTTATATCTTAAAAATACCATGCATCACTAGTTTTATTTTTTCCAAAAGTACTAATAAGTGGTATTTTTCCAAAAATATTCTGAAATGATTTTGAAGGGTTTAGGGAATGATTTTGACGTATAGACATATTTTATATGAATTTCTTGACGAACAATTAAAGGTCATACATCTCTTGGTGTACCTTATTGAAAGATGAGAATATTAGTCTCCGTTTAAGAATTTTGCAAGAAAATATTCAAGATTCTTAAGATTACTTACCATAAGCTGATTATGAAACTAGCATGATTATGCAAAGTGGTCCTCTCTTAATCAAAGTACCATGGTTCTGTGCTGCCTGATGCTCGGTAAGGAGGTTTCACTTCACCCTGAAAATTGCATAGAAACAATCCATCTCAATCTTAGTCCAATTCATGTAATGCTGCTCAAACTAGATTCTCTTATATCTCTTAGTTTGTGTTATAGCATTTTCACTACAGCCAAAACAAAGAAAATAAAGCAAAAAAGACTGTCATTTGAATCTCTGGTGGAGAAGGAGAGGCTGTTGAAAAAAAAAAAAAAAAAAAAAAAAAACTAATGTGATTGGTATTTGCCTATTTGGTAGTTGGAAAGTAACAAAATTAGAGTGAAGGATATTGACGTTAACTCAAGTCCATGTTAAGTACATAAGTAAAGGATTGAGGAGATGCACCAACAACGTCAACATCTCCCTTAAATTTGCGTGTCACTTTTCAACCGTAAATTAAGCTTTTGAAAATTCACATCTCCATTAAATTTTCCTCCAAATGAATCTTAAAATCCTAGTGGTGCCACAAATTAATTTATACTACGTAATAATGACATTAATTATATAGTAGAACCTCTAATTTTCAAGTCTCGAATTCAGTTTTTGGTCTAATTATCCCTCGATAAATTAATAATCTCACTAAAGTAATAAAATATTGTGGTCCCAATGTTATTATTTTATAGAGGTTTTACTGAAACTTTCAACATTCTCATTTTGTTTTTGTAAGGCATATGTATTCACTTTCTCGAAAGATTGATGTATATACATTTACGAAAAATCCTAATGGTGCCACAAATAATAGAGAGATGTTCCAAATATGGATAAAATAATGATTGTGTTTACCTAGCTTACGTAGTGGTAAAATCAACATAAAGGGGGCTTTCTTCACCAATAAGCCTTGGAAGCTCTGTTGCGGAATCTTGTTATAAATAAACCCCTTCATGGATTCGAAACACAGTATATCACAAGTATACAACCATCACATAAACTTAATCCTCGACTTTTTCCTTACCTGGCTAACTCTCTCTCCCTCTCTCTTTCTCCCTCTCTCTGTCTCTCTCCCTCAGAATCCGATTCAATTCAGACACTTCTTCCCAACAAAATGTGACTTTCTTTGTTCTTCTTTCAATTTCTAGTCGACCAAGAAACCTAATACCACGAGGTAGCAGCTTCAGGTCCGTCAATTTCTTTGTTCTTCTTGTAAACCCTAACGGAGGCACGGAGACGATCATATAACTTAATCAAATCTCGATCGAAGCCGTATCTGTTGTTCAAGGAGGCACTAAATCGACCTGCAACAACGACCTTACACCGCCAAGCCCAAGGAGAAGTCTCCGCCACCTGCTGCTCTAGCTTTACCGGCAGAGAAATGGGGAACGAAGCGGCCGAGGGAAAATATTCACGGTTGAGGTAATCTATCGGCTTTAACCATTTCAAGAATCTCTAATTCATTGAATACCACTATAATCTCTATTCAACACGTTATAATTATTACAAAGAAAATCCACAAAATATAAGAAAAATATAAACAAAACATAAGCAAAATATAAAGAAAATATAAGCAAAATGTAAGAAAAACATAAGCAAAATCCTAGTGACAAGCAAATTGAATATGATGATGAACCTCCGAGATTTTGATGGGGCACTGATGGATGTAACCACACGTATAGTTGTAGAGCTTGTAAGTGTTGGATTCTCCCTGACTGACGAGGGTAATGAGTAAATGTCACTTTCATTTGATTTTTTTATATGAATCTTGACAAAGTATAGTTTATGGTTTTTTTGTTATTTTTTTTAAAATTTCAAACTTTAACCCAAAAAATAAATAAGAATCGTCTAAATTGTGAAAATAATAGTGACAAATCAACGTAAAAGTGTGTCTACTTCTACATAATTTATGGTTAGTATACCTAAAAATGAAAAAAAAAGATGCAGACATGAACGTGGTTTCCCCATTTACATGCAGTAGAAAGAAATAAAAAGAGAAGATGCATGGGTTGTGTGAACGTTTATTAATAAATAAAGGAATGAGACATGTACATATTAAATTAAGAGAAAGTTTGGAAAAATTCCAAGTTGTGTTTTTAAATTTAAAAAATAGCCTTTTTTGTTTGTTTGAAAACTATACTTTTTCAATCAAATTTACGAAAAGATACTCACTACAAATGAATAAGTTTAATATCATAAAAGTAGGCAGCATCACTAGTTTTGTTTTCTTTTTCAAAAGTACTAATAAGTGGTATTTTTCCAAAAATATTTTAAAATGATTTTGAAGGGTTTATAATATAAATATTTGGGTTTGGGTTTAGTATTTTGGGTTTAGGGTTTAGTTTATAGGGTTTAGGTTATACTTTTTCAGGGTTTAATTTTGAGGTTTGAAATTTTAGTTGTAGGTTGTGTTATTTTTGGGGAAAATAAAAAGAAATTTTATATGGCACCAGTGGAAAAATAAAACTAGTTTTGTGTTATTTTATTTTTGATTTGTTTAGAAGATGTAATTGTTAATTTAAATATGGAAAAAGGTATTTTTGCATATAAATAGTGTAGTTTTAAGAAAAGAAAAAAAAGTTGTATTTTTCAAAACTTTAAACAGAAAAAAATGTGGCAAACAACAAAAAGGAGTATTTAGACTGTGACCCGAGTTCGATTCTGGGGCAAAGGATAAGGACATCACGGGATGTTATAACAACCAATGTGACGGTTTTATGCATACTAGCAACACAATAGCATTAGGAGCTGCCATTACTCGAACGTGAGAACGGAGAATGCAGAAGACATTAAGTTCTACTTTGGTGGTCCAGGACCTCAACGTTTGGGAAGTGTTTGTGGAACAGTCTACTTTGGTGGTCCTGGACCTCAACATTGTTTGTTTAAATATAAATAAAAACAACAAGTCTACACAAACAATAAGAACATATATTTGACCTCGGACACGATCAATAACATTCTATCAGTTATGCAAATGCACATAAATGTCATTTCTTTTTGCAATTTACCTTTTCATTTCAATAACACAATAACTAAAGCATTCCATAGCCAATAACGCACCTACACTTATATTGGCTATTAAATGCTTTAGTTGTTGTATTATTGTAACAAAAATGGTAAATTACAAAAATAAATAACATATATGCGAATTTGCAAAGCTGAGAATGTTGATCCGACTCCAAATGATCAAATCTATGTTCCCTTGTTCTTGTTTTGAGTCTGATTCTGAACATCTTAGTGCTCTTCTGTCATGGAAGCATAACAAGTAGAGATATCTCAGGAAATTAGAAGGAACCGTTGATATGCCTCTTCAGGAACACATAGAACATGGCTATCAAGAGGCATATCAACGGTTTGTTCTAATCACCTAAGATATTGTTAGGATTCCATTACAAAGCATCACTAAGCTGTTCATAACCAACCCGTAACAAGAACAACATAACATAACTAGATCTCCTACACGATCCATTTTCTCAGTCTTTTTCCTATCCGAAGAGAGGCTCTCTAATCTGATGTCCTTTTTCAACAAATCTTCTCCAACCAGATGTTTCTCTGTTGTCCCAAACATACCACATAATGGTACTTAACTAGTGCCATGCTGGGATGAGGCTGAGTCATTCTGCAGAAACCATATCAAACATTCAAACTCATAATCTGAATATAACTGGAAATCAGTTTCAGTGATTAATTATAGCTCACAGCTTTCTCAGAATCTATAGTTTAAAGAGACATGATGATCAGCTAAAGTAATTTATCCCTTTATCTTACTCATCTTTCTAAGGCGTGGACGTGATCTGCAAAAAACAACATATCTTCTTTCTTCTTGACGAACAATTAAAGGTCATACATCTCTTGGTTTACCTTATTGAAAGATTAGAATATTAGTCTCCATTTAAGAATTTTGCAAGAAAATATTCAAGATTCTTAAGATTCCTTACCATATAAGCTGATTATGAAACTAGCATGATTCTTAAGGTGGTCCTCTCTTAATCAAAGTACCATGGTTCTGTGCTGCCTGATGCTCGGTAAGGAGGTTTCACTTCACCCTGAAAATTGCATAGAAACAATCCATCTCAATCTTAGTCCAATTCATGTAATGCTGCTCTAACTAGATCATCTTATATCTCTTAGTTTGTGTTATAGCATTTTCACTACAGCCAAAACAAAGAAAATAAAGCAAAAAGGACTGTCACTGCCTTTCTTTCAACATATCTCTGTGTCACATGCACCTTTTTTTGTTGAAAACTCATTAAAATATATTGTTTTTACAGTCAAGAAAATAAAAGTTGGCAAAAAGACACAAAATAAAAAATTATACGTAATATTAAATTGGTAAGATAACTAAAACACCACCTAATAATTTCAGGTAAACTGGTAACAAGAACCCAAAACAAAAAAAGCTCCGGAATCTAATAAACAGAACAAACACCAAAAATCAGAAAAGTTTGTTGATTTTAGACAAAAGAAAAGATGTACGTACTTGTTGATGAGGATTATATGAACGGTACGTAGTTTATACTGACTACCATTAGAGAGCAATCACCTAAGCTGCTTATGAGTGTTATTTTTCTATTCTCTGTTTTCTTGTTTTCCTTGAAAACCATCTATATACAGACATGCAAGAACTAAAATTCTGCACAAACCCTAGTCACTCGGGGAGTAAACTCAAAGAACAAGAGAAGAATAGAAGAAATAAGAGAACGAATAAGATAAACTTTTCTTTATTCTGTTTTTTTCTGACATGAAGTGTTTTACCCTTTGCCTACTTTATACAATCCAATCGTACATTCCAGAAGTCCTTTAGCCAATCAATCAGTGATCGACACCTGTCTCTTGCTTTTATTTCATAGAGAGAAATTGCAAAAGAAGAAAGTTGTTTTGTGCATGCTTGATCCGCTTCTGACGTACTGTTGCATGGTATTTGTGTGTAACCGTATTGATTCTCCTTGACCATTTCATTCACGCGCTTTGCTCAATGCCACTACAAGACAGACACGTGATTTCTGACGGAAATTCCGACGACAACGTTTCCGTCGGAAATTTAATGACGGCCGAGCGACAATTTACCAACGAATAGATTGTGGTTGGACATCCGTCGGAAATCCGTCGGAAATTACCGACGGAAAATTGTGGTTGAAAATCCATCACCAATTTCCGACGACTAAGCAACGCCTTACCGACAAATAAATAGTCGTCGATAATCTGTCGGTAATTTCCGACCGAAAAGTGTGATTGAAAATCCATCACAAATTTCCGACGATTAAGCAACGCCTTACCGACAAATAAATAGTCGTCGACAATCTGTCGTTAATCTGTGGGTAATTTCCAACGATTAAAGATGGTTGCAATATTGTCAGAAATTACCGATGACGTTCCGACGGATTCCCGTCAGATCCTCTATTTAGCCCTAGTCGACTTTTATTGCCTTTATATGTAATTGTCGTCGGAAATCTGTCGGAAATTACCGACGAAAAGCGACGGATTTCCGACGGATCGTCTTTATTTTAATCTGATCGGCTACTCTTTCCTTTCTTCTCACAGCGAAATTAAACTCAAACAGAACAGAAAACATCATCTCGAAAACCTTCAATCTGTAATGTCTTCTTCAGATTTTCGATCATGGATGGATCAACCTCATCTAATTCCTACAACCAGATTATTAACGGAAGAGTACAAAAAAGGGGTGCAACAGTTCATGGATTTGGCGATTTCGCAGCCAAAAGCCAAACAATCTGGTAAACTTTATTGCCCTTGTATGAATTGTGGAAATCGTAGATACCTCACAATATCTAAAGTCTGGTCACATCTCTATCATAATGGATTTGTGATGGTTTACAAGATTTGGTATTATCATGGAGAAACTGATGGAATGATAGATTTTGGTAGTACTAGTGCACAACAAGGTGGGGATAGCTTAGCAGAACCTGAAACAGTAGATTGTGTTGATATGGTGAATGATGCGTATCGTGATAGTGCACCATCGATTGCTGATTACAGAGATTGAGGGGAGGAGCCTAATGTAGAAGCTAGGAGGTTCTTTGATATGTTAGATGCTGCTAAATTGCCTTTATATGATGGATGTAAAGTTGGTTGTTCCCCTTTATCAACTGCAACTAGGATGATGAGTCTGAAGACTGACCACAATATGAGTGAGGAGTGTGTGGATGGGTGGGCTGAATTAGTGAAAGACCTTTTGCCTGAGGATAATCTTTCACCAGAATCTTACAGCGTTGTTCAGAAACTTGTTCGTGGTCTTGGATTGCCGTATCAGATGATAGATGTGTGCATAGACAACTGTATGATATACTGGAGAGAAGACGAATATGGTTTGACATGTCGTTTTTGTCGGAAATCTCGGTATAAGGAAGGAAGTGAAAAAGTGCCAATCCCTCAGAAACGGATGTGGTATTTACCGATAACAGATAGATTGAAGAGGTTATATCAGTCGACGCGCACAGCAGAGGCGATGAGATGGCACGCAGAGCATACAGTTAAGGATGGAGAAATTGCTCATCCTTCAGATGCTAAAGCATGGAAACATTTTCAATCTGTGTATCCAAGTTTTGTAAATGAAGCGAGGAACGTATACCTTGGTTTAAGTACTGATGGTTTCAATCCTTTTGGGAAGCATGGGAGGCAATATTCACTGTGGCCAGTAATTCTAACACCTTACAATTTACCGCAAACTTTATGCATGAAACGAGAGTTTTTGTTCCTTTGCATACTTGTTCCTGGACCAAAGCATCCGTAAAAAGCCTTGGATGTGTTTCTCCAACCACTGATACATGAGCTGAAAATGTTATGGGAGCATGGTGTTGAGGCATTTGATGTTTCTTGTCAGCAGAATTTTATGATGCGTTCAGTGCTTATGTGGACTATTAGCGATTTTCCAGCATATGGCATGTTATCTGGATGGACAACTCATGGAAGGTTATCATGTCCTTACTGTAAAGATAACACTAATGCATTTCAGCTGAAGCATGGAAGGAAAACAAGTTGGTTTGATTGTCATAGGCGATTTCTTCCAGCAGAGCATCCTTATCGTGAGAGTATGACGAAGTTCAGAAAGAATTGTCAGGTCAGTGATGGTCCACCTCCTGATGCAGATGGCAAGTGTATGTTGGATGAGTTGAGATATTTTGGTGCAGAGAAGACAGTTGAATGTGGTGGTAATAGGCATGATAAGGTGGACGCTTATGGTGATTTGCACAACTGGCATAAAAAGAGTATTTTTTGGGATTTGCCATACTAGAAAGATCATCTGCTGAAACATAATCTAGATGTCATGCACATTGAGAAGAATTTTTTTGACAACATTATGAACACTGTTCTCAATGTTCAAGGAAAGACCAAAGACAATTTGAATTCAAGATTAGATTTGCATGAATATTGTTCTCGCCGGGTGCTACATGTTCCAACAAATGGGAAACCTCCAGTACCTGCTTTCCGTTTGGATGCAAATGCAAAAGAGGAGTTTTTTGATTGGATTGATGATAAGGTCAGATTTCCAGATGGGTATGCATCCAACCTTCGAAACTGTATTGATCATGGAAAAGGAAAATTTACTGGGATGAAAAGTCATGATTGTCACGTTGTGATGCAACACCTCCTTCCATTTGCCTTTGCTGGTCTTTTACCACCTCATGTCCATGAAGCCATTGCAGGTACATTTTAAATTTATTTTTAAATATATTTATTTCTTAATTTCTTTTTATATAATTAAACTTCTTATTTAATCATATTATTTTCGTAATTTTTAAAGTATTATTGTTTTTTTTTCCAGCAATAGCTTCTTTTTCAGGGATATATCTGCCAGATCTCTGACTACAGCAAAACCTGCAACATAGGATACCAGAAATATTGTGCAATCTGGAGATTGTTTTCCCACCTTCCTTCTTTGATGTTATGGAGCACCTAGCTATTTATCTACCTCGAGAAGCAGAACTTGGAGGGCCTATACAGTATCGTTGGATGTATCCTTACGAACGGTTTATGTTTCATCTTAAGAAGAAGGTGAAAAATTTAAGCAGAGTTGAGGGTTTTATCGTTGCGCAGAGCATCAATGAAGAGACTTCTAACTTTGCAGAGTTTTACTTTCCAACACAAGTTAGAACAAAGACTCGAAAACCCGGACGACACGATGATGGAGGCGAGAAACCACATTATCCAGTCTATGTTCCTAACATCTTTTCCCAGATTGGAAGACTTAATGGGAAAGGCAAGAAGCAGAAGCTAACAGCTGAAGAACAAAACCATCTACATATGTATATTCTTACAAACTGCGAGGAGATTGAAGAATATAAGAGGTATTAAATTAAACTCAAATTATATATGCTAGTTAACACAACATATGCAATCAGTTGTCGTTATGCTCCACAGCCACGCAGCGTTATCTCAGCCTAAACCGCCCGGTTATTGCCATCCCAGCTTGGTAAGACGCACATTCGACGTTGGTTCTTCGTCCTCTAAGCCACCGGACGAATCTTGGACGGCTGCCGATATCACACTTTCACTCATCCAACCTCGCTAGCGGATCAACTCCTCGGTTTCCTCCTAAGTTAAACACTATTTTCAAGTTTGGTTATTTTATTTATTTTTTATTTATTGTGTCTATTAAAATCATAGAAAGTATTAATTCCAATTGCGTGATCAGAAACTTGTCTTTCAAATAAAATGTTGTAAAACTCATGGAAAATAGAATATTGTTAAAGCTCTTATTTTAATATTTCCCCCTGGTCGAGTCTTTTCACCGTTTAAGCAAAAAGACAAGTGTTTTTTCTTCTCTCTTATTCAACTTTGTAAAACTACAGTACACATATAGGCCACAAACTTACACATGCATCAAGTCATGATGCACAAGTTTTATTCAAGGGGTAATAAGAATCTCCCAAAACGTTGATAAGGAATACGAATTGGTGTTTTCATATACTAACAACAGAGGAAACTCATATCATATGTTACATTCTCTCTATTCTGTGGCTTTGCCTTTGCGTCGGTTGTTGCCACCACAGCTCGTCTCCAGTACATAGCAGACCATCGAGTCAACATCGTCCCCGAATATGCTATAAGCTTCCATGGCCTGCGTGTAGCTAAACCCCATCGACAAAACCATCTCGATGCTGCTGCTCAGAACCGTCTTCTCTTTTACCGCCGCCTCCTTTGGTTTCACATCACTGCCTGAAGGTCCTGCTTCACAAAAATTTTATCTTTTTGTCTCAACATGCTTTTTTTCTCATTGTACTCAGAAGGAGAGAAAAAAAATACTCACTAGCTCCAGAGGAGGACGTCTCAGCGTTACAAGTGGATGATTCCTTGGGACCGATCCGTGGCTTAGACCATTCCATAAGGTACTCAGCACGGGAAGCTTCCATGACCGACCGTTCTATTTCCTTTTCCGTAAGCTCGAGGTCAGAGTAATATCTCCCTTCTGCTAAGAGCGCCTAGAAGAAAGACAAATACGGTATCAGCAGCCACACACTCAAAAAGACAGATTGGGTTAAATATGGATGATATGTGAGCTACTTGCATTATCAATCTGATGTTCTTGCTGAGCCTTTATAGCAGCTTTCACCTGCTCCCCATCCACGTGTCTCTGGATTTCAAAACAAACAATAAGATGTGAAAAAAGTACAAAGATATTGCTACTCTTTTGCATCAAGAAAAACAGATGTTTAACTACACTTACCCCACTAAGGCTACTAAATCCAAGGCCTGCACCAATTGTTAACCGGTGTGGATCCACCAAAGAATTGTAATGATTCCCGTGGTGATAACTCAGCCTTATAGGAGGTGTATCCGTGTTGTAGTTTCCTTGAAATATGTTGATAGGCTCTACAAAATGTTGTTACCATAAATTTCTTGTCACAGTAAAGAATAAAGAACAACTTTCAGTGTCGAGTATAAGTTTGCACCTGTGCTATATGAGTAAATGTGGATGGGCCTATTATAGATTTCTGCTAAAGCTTGGATCTCCACGTTGTTTCCGTAGACCTATCACCATTGTATCGGAAAAGGGGGTCAAACAAATTCTGTTTGAAACAGAAAGTTAACCAAGTGAAAACCAAAATAAGAGCAAAGCACCTTATCTCTTCTTTTCCTCTTCAAGTAAGAGGTAAATCCTTCCGTTATGAACTGAGAAAAGTGATCCCTCTCGTGCTCCTAAACCAGTAAGTTGAGTTCTACCAGTAAGTTACCATCAAAACCAAAAACACTAACTTTTTCTCAGTCTAAATCAAGGTACACGCATACATGCTCTTGTTAGTCTCTTACTCTGTTTCATTCCAGTTAACTTAAGATTGATACAAATTATCAGCCATTAAAATGGAAAGATTAGCTTTAACAGGATGCAATAAACTGCCCACTAAACACGGTGAATAGCCTATCTGTTAGGTACAGTCTTACCAACTCTACTTCATTTATCCTTGTCAGTTCACTAATCTTATTCATGTGCTGGTCTCAAAAGCTAAAGTCTCGTGGAAAGCATCTATTAGGTAAACGAAGAAACATTACCATATAATCCATGCACATTTGCCTAGTCAAGTCATATGACTCTGAGTCCCCATACACTTGATCTGCAACAGCCCGAAAAAGACAATTTCCATCTTCCAACATACGCCTAATCACAAAGCCTTTTGATTGTCTAATCTCGGTTTCAAACTGGTGTTCTCTTTCCTGGGAGAGAAGAATTCAATAAATACAAGCTAAGAGTAGTCCATACAGTAACAAAAAAAACTGAAAACAAACTTACCGAGCCAGAGCCGGGATGTGAGGGTCCAAAGGATGGCATATGCTCATCGGAACTGTTATAGCCTTCGTTCTCAATGTGTGATCTTGGAGAAGAAGGATGAGATTCAGTTGCGGAAACGAGAGATCTTGGCCCAGCCCCTCTCCTCGTTGCTCCAATCCGTAAAGCGCCAAAGCTTCCCAAGACCGATCTTTTATTAACATTCGAAGAAGGCTTTGGTGGTTGAACAGGTAAAGGTGGTGAATCAGGATCATCACAGCCACTGACTGGAGAATCACAGACTACACTTTCACTTTCAACGTCAGCATTTTCCGTAACAACTAAAGCTTCATCATCTTCTCTATCCACAGGTGGTTCATCACTCTGCACTGCCACATTCTTAGCATCAGAAGACTCTGCTTGCTCAACTACAATAACCTCTTCTTGCTTTTCATCCGCAACTTCTTCATCTATACTCACTGGTGGAACCTGAACATTACTGCTTATCTGTGGCTCTGAGGAAGAAGATGAGCCAGACGACGAGGAAGAGGAAGAAGCGCGGTTCGGGTTAGAAGAACTGCCTGCTGAACCTCGTTGAACCAAAATCCGAGTCATGTTGCTGCTAAAAGTCTCTCTACTCAACCAATTTCAAGATTAGAGATTATCTCCCCAAGATTTGTCCCTTGTTCTTGCTTTAGGGCCAACGATGACAATCCCTTGATAGAGGGATTCGTTCCAACCGTTCTCCAGCTCGCAGCAAAACGCTCTCTGCATTCCCCTAGCAATCATCAAACACCTTTAGATCTGAAACATTCCCCTTAAAAAATCCAACCTTTACTTAGCTCAAAGCTCTGCAACGTCCCCACTAAACACTATAGGCAGAGGAAGAAGAAGCGTAAAAGGATAAACTAATTCACCGTATCGAAATCAATTCAGAAACTGACACAAGTTCCACTAATTAAACTCAATTTCCCCTCTTTATTCTTGGAAATGTAATAGGAGGAAGCTAGAAAAGCAATCAAATTGGAAATCGATCAAAGATTGGGATCGGAGATCGAAAGCAATCAAAATTGATTAATCGAAACCCTAGAGTTGACCTCAGTATGTGGAAAATTACCAGGGATTTCAGCAGCTGAGGATACCGATTCGAGATCCTTCGGGAAGAGTAGAAGAATTGAGAAGAATGTCGCGGAATCGAAGATTAGGGTTTTCACGAGAAGAAGACGCTCATATATATATTCTCTGAGGGATTTGGTAAATTTTTGGGAGAGAAAGAGGAATTTTTTTTTTTAGAGAAGAAAATTGAGAGGAAGCAGATTTTTCTTTTTTGTTTAAACGTCGTGTTGGGTTGGGAGAGACGGCCGGGGTGCTGACGTGGACTTAGCGACGCAGCTTCGCTAGTGTGTTGACACGTGTCCACAGCATTACGGATGTTGCTCCGAGTTGCTGAGCAAAGGTAGCTCTGCCACTTGTTTGGCTATGTTGGGATATGCAATTGAGCTAACTAATTAATTGCTAATTTTAATGTGTGTTTTACAATTAAATGATATTGAATTTTTATTAAATGGAATATTAATTTTTAAGTTATGAATGCCAAATTTTTGAGATATGACTATATCAAACTTTAATATATGATGTATAAAACTTTAGTAAATGTAATAAAAGTTTGAAGTTTGTTCTCTTTGAAATCGGCAATTATATAAGAAAAACACAAAAACGAAATATGTGTCAGATAAAAAGATTGATTTACAACATGATTCACAAATACAACCCAAGTTACATAACACAACAAAACCAAATCATACATCTGACACTTTCCAAATCCACACAAATGAATTTCATACCACATAGAAATCTAAAAGACACAAACGCAAATATTTTAAGTGGATCTCTTGAGAGCAAATGCAGAGAGGATGACGAGGATCATCAGAAGAGCCCCCGCAATAAAAGAAGCCACCACGGCGCCGCTCGTTCCTTGGCAAAAGTCACCGAACTGCTGGCAAACCGGAAGCCAGTTCGAGCTTGAATTCCCGTTGTGCGCCAAATAAACTATTGCTGCAGAAGCTGATGCCGCCATCATAGTGAGGCCCATCATCGCCTAGACCAAAACAACCATTTGCTGATTAACATAGTGAGAGATATGACATGTGCAAACAAACATCCATACTCATTGTCATTTGAGACCAAAATAAAAATTTCGTTATTGATCTTGTTACCTATGTATACACACAACCACATCTTTATTTTCTCTATATTTATACATTAACGAGTGTCTAGTATAAGCCTAGAGACAACCTTTAGAGAGTAGGGGTAACTTGAGGTTATATATGTGATTAAAGCCCTTGATTTTATTTTTCAGCGTTAGTGTTTTTCCTAAATGAATCCACAATTTTACAAAAACTTTCATCGCTAATTTTTTTTCTTTTCCTTTTGGTCAACTTTGTTTTTTTCACTGTAAATTGTAAATGCTAAAGAACAAAGAAAATGAGCACTGAGTTTGTGTTTGGCGTTTGTATTTATATTTTATTTTCATTTTGTAAAATGTGAGAAAGTGGCTTTTGTTCTCTCAGCAATCTAGCACATAGAAAATGTTACCGTGTCACATAAGATAAGGAAGAGCCTAGGTGGCACCGCGAGAGGCCGGAGGATACAGACAATGGAAAAAGGCAATGAGAGGGTTAGGTAGCCGCCCACGATTGAGTTTACTACCACAAAAGCTCTGAACAAAAAACAAACAATAAATGATTCCGGAATACTCCATGCTTATATTTAAAACTAAATGCTAGAAAATATTTCGATAGTTGGTTATGAAATTCTTGGTATAATAGTAAGCGTTAACATTTAGACTTTGGAGAGTAACTTACGAAAACGTTGGTAGATCGGTATAGTCAGCCTGGAACTGCAAGAACTGAGTGAAGAAAGGAAGAGTCTCTTCCGTGGTGGCCATCTTTGCTGCAGCAGCCATGGCCGTGATGGCTGCAATGAGTCTAAGAACAAAATCGAAAATCGCTACGCCTCTTTTCCACCCGGCCATGCTCACCTTTTCTTGCTTATGTTTGTCCATGATTCGACTGTAGTTCATAGGAGGAGCAAACACATGAGCTTTGCCTTTGCCTTTGTCCAGCTTTGGCTTTTGAACAATGGGTTCTTCTTCTTCTCTTCTGCTCCCTGCCTTTTCGATATCCATAGGAGATAATTGAGAAATAGAAGAAGGCTAGCTAGAAACTAGGTAGTCCCTTGGAAGTTGAATATGAATAAAGATTCAAAGAAGGAGCTAAATATGATGATACTGATGTTTGATGAATCCTACGTCTTACATTGTAAGATATATATGCATGTATGTAATTGAGTTGTTGAAGTGGATGGAATGGGTTTGGGTGTGAATATTCTTTCTTTTAGGTTTCATGAGAAATTAATTCATAATCGAACATTCAAGATAATTGTTTAGTACGATATAGAAGACGCGCGACTTGCTCCATTTCGACGGATTTAATATCATTAGTTTTAGTTTCCACTTTTCTCTACCTACGTATAAGTGTTTCTAAGTCAGCAACCATGTACCTTTAAGTTATAACCAAACTAGAGCATTATACAATACACAAAGACGTTCTTCTAAAGAATCAATACTTTTTGACCAGTGACTCTGAATGGGGCATATACTATACTCTTTTTTATTTTATTTTTTTGTAGGATTAGGTCACGTTGAATTATTTGCAAACTTTGCTTTAGGTTGCACTTATTAGGTAATGTAGAATACTACTAAATAATTTTGTCTTAATTTTTTTTTTTTCCAACAACATGTAATATCCAAGTTTGATCGGGGCGGTGATCGTAATATAGTGACACAACGACAGAATTCATATAATCACTATTATATCTTGATTTATTCTTTTATTGTGAAGATATTAGATATTGCTAACTCATTTGCAGAAGATGGTAGAGAACTTTAGACTGATCATTACAAGAACCTGTATTACATACTCACTAAGCTGGTTCAAAAAGCTAGGCTCGTGAACCAGACAACTCGGAATTAGTGAGTTTATATGAAAAAAGAAAAAAAAAATCTCCTGCTGGAACTCTTCTCACGAGGCACTCGGTTTGAACATTCAAACTACGTGAACTAGGAAAAATAGAAGAAGACACTCAAGTAATCCACCGAATGTTTCCCCCATTCACAATAATAAGTCCAATGCCAAAAGATTATCTGCTCTTTACCATGATAAATCAGTTTAGAAGTGAGGGGTCAAGCCTTGCTCTGCTTCTTTAAGGTTTGAGGGAACAAAAATCAAATGAGTGTTCTAAGAACTTAAAGTATTTCATTTTGGTTAGAGTATTCAGTTTGAAACAAGAAAACTAAGAGTTTGTACATAAGCACATGAGAC